GCTCAAGAGAAGCAGATTAAGTATCTTCTCTGTCAAGTTATCCACCAAGTCAGGTACCTCTGGCTGCTGGAGGCTCAGGTGCTTTGGCAGTGACCACAGGTACTTTTTCTTCTCGAGCAGCTTTCCTGGGCACTTCAGGCGCTTCAAAGATATTAGTAACCATCAGTTTGACATACTATACAGGACAACAAACAATGAAACCTAAACCAAAGGTACGCGCACGAAAATAACCAAGCTGGCCTCCTGGTATGAATCCCATCCCTTTCTCACTCTCTCACACAAGCACACGCAGACGCAGACCATCTGTAGTTAGGTTATGTTTATGTTACGCAAGTACCAGGTAACTGAGTTCCCAATTCGCACACAGTGGCAGTACTGAAAAACATCAGGTAATCAGCAGCAAGATTCTGCTTGATAATGTTCATGGCAACATGTACCTTGGGCTGGTGCTGGTTCTGGCTTTTTTGGCACAGCTACTGGCACGGGCTCTTCCAGAGCGGCTTTCTTGGGCACCTTGGGCACTTTAAAGATATTAGTATATTTTAGTTTAGTGGGTTGTACAGACCTAGACGAGACTAACAGACAATCAGTAACATTCATGCACAGTCTTTCCTGAGAAACTGTTGTGTCTACAGTTGGTTGACAGTGATGTTTTGCTTCAAGCCTGTGGAATGTGCAGGGTGTCAAATATGTCACGCAGGAGGTGGGAATTCTTTGTTTAGCTTCAGTTTTTGAGACAGGGTGGGAAGCCTACACTGTCTTTGCTTGAGCTGATCAACGTCTAATGTATAGCGTCCAACTGTACTTCAATGTCTTTGGCATGTTACTCATGATTTTGTTTTATGTGGTAACTTTTGGCTGTCTGCATCATCTTTTTACTTGATGCTTCTTACATTTGTATATTTTTGTATTCATTAAAAATATTTTTATGCCTTTCATTCCATCACTGTGAAATGGTACTTCACATGAGGATTCTCACTGTGTTTTGAGGGAATCAAAACACAATGACAGAAAATACATATTTTCTGGCCTTTGCTTGGGAATTTGTGAAAAAAATGAAATGGAATAGCATTGCATTAATTTATAGTGTATTCAGATTTTTAATATTACTTAAATAATTTTTGAGTATTTCACCTGGAAAATCTCTTTTCCTGAATATTCTGAGGAAATACATTTGAACTATTTTCATTGCGGTTCACATTTTGTACATGACTCCAACATGGTAGATACCAGATTATGACAGTAAAAGATCAATTAAAAATGAGATTTCTAAGTAACTCAGAAATTAAGAAACCCACCATAATAATGATGGGGTTCACCATCGCATATACCTTTAGCAAGTGGAGTTCCTGGTTTTTTAGGTACAGAAGTTGGCATTTTCTCCGTTGGGACAGTCCTCTCACGCATCTCAGGCACTTCAAAGATATTAGTTCATTTTACATTTACAATACATCTAAATATAAATACACAGACTGAAACACAGAGGATGAGAAATGTTCTTAAGAAGCAATCTGTCACACACTCATGCTCAGTGCAATTTGTTGTGGCAAGCGCCATTTAAAATCTCACATTAAAAAGAACAGAACAAAAGAGGTTAAAACAGTGCTTAAGAGAAGATTATGTGCATTTATGTATTCATGACTGTATGTACCTCTGGCTGATGGAAGTTCTGATTCTTCCAGAACAGCTACAGGAACTTTCTCTTCTGGGACAGCCTTCTGAGGCATTACTGGTTCTTTAAAGATATTAGTATATATTAGTTATGCGTTTAAGCTCTAATATGAGCACTGAATCATACTATATTCAAGAAAAAGACTTCCTATTTGTAAGATATACCTTTTGGTCGTGGAGCAGCTTGTTTTTTATGTACAGCAACAATCTCTGACTTTTTGACCAGCTTGGCTAGTGGTGGTTCTTCAGGTTCCAAAATAGATTCTATTTCCTCAAATGCCACTTCAGGCTTTGGCTTTTGAATTGTTGTAAAATGCTTTAATTTCTGGGCTGCCAAAAGAGGTTCTGGTTCCTCAGGCACTGTGACAGGTGCTTGCTCATGGTGTGCCACAACCATCTTTGATTTTTGGGAATCTGCAGCAAACTCTGTTTCTTCCAGTGTTACAATAAGTTCTGTTTTTTGGGGTGCCACCAAAGGTTTGGTTTTGGGGGACACAACATGCTCTGTTTTTTGGTGTGTTGCAACTGTCTCTGACTTACCAAGTGCTGCAGCGAGCTCAGGTTTCTCAGGGGCCATGAATGGCTCTGGTTTTTGGGGTTCAGCAACACGTTTTTGTTTTGATGGCACCACTCCACGCTTTAGCTTTTGAGGTGCCACATCAGGCTTGGGTTCCTCAGGTACCACAGCAAACTCTGGTTTCTCAGGCACCAAGAAACGCTCTGTTTTATGGGCTGCCACAGCTGGCTTTGTTTCCTCAAATGTAACAAGTTCTGTTTTCTGTTGTAGCAAAACAGTCTCAGACTCCTCTGCTGCCACAAAAATATCTGCTTTTTGGGCTGCCACAGCTGGCTTTGTTTGCTCAGATGTAACAAGTTCTATTTTCTGTTGTACCAAAACAGTCTCAGACTCCTCCGCTGCCACAAAAAGTTTTGCTTTTTGAGCTGCCACAGCCGGCTTCGTTTCCTCAGATGTAATCTGTTCTATTTTCTGTTGTACCAAAACAGTCTCAGACTCCTCCGCTGCCACAAAAAGTTTTGCTTTTTGAGCTGCCACAGCCAGCTTCGTTTCCTCAGATGTAATCTGCTCTATTTTCTGTTGTACCAAAACAGTCTCAGACTCCTCCGCTGCCACAAAAAGTTTTGCCTTTTGAGCTGCCACAGCTGGCTTTGTTTCCTCAGGTGACACAACAAGTTCTGTTTTCTGTTGTAGGAAAACAGTCTCAGACTCTTCTGCTGCCACCAAAAGCTCTGCTTTTTGGGCTGCCACAGCTGTCTGTGCTTCCTCAGATGCCACAACAAGTTCTGTTTTTTGTTGTACCAAAACAGTCTCAGATTCTTCCGCTACCCCGAACTGCTCTGATTTTTGGGGTGCCACAAAAGGCCCTGTAACCTCAGGCAACATATCAGGCTCTGCTTTTTGCACTACTGGCACAGGTTCTAGTTCTTGAGGTGCCACAAACGGCTTTGTTTTGGGGGGTCTTGCAATGGCCTTTGTTTTTTGAGAAACAGCAACAGGTACTTTCTTGTCTGGGACAGTTGTCTTGGTCACTTCATATATATAAAAGATATTAGTTCTAAGTTTAATGATTGCTCAAACACATAACTTCAAGTAAATCAAAATACATAAAAGCACAATTGTAATGAAAACATTAAAAAATTGTCAAGCATTTATGTTAGCTTTAATGATAAATATAACACAGTTTTTTTTTTCTTTTCAAATACATACACACACACACTTCATGTCACCATATGTGGAGGTATATATGAACAGATAGTGTAATTTACACTATAAGTAAAAAATCACAGTATTTATAAACAAAGTGTGCAGGACAAAAGATATTAGTAATACTGCATGTATTATTATTAAAAGATATTAATAATAGAAATTGAAGCTCAAGAATTGAGTGATGGCATATTGCTTTTCTTGGTAGACCTTCTGGTATTTCAAGAACATTGACATGGTCTGCTGTTAGCTGCTAGAATGGATACTTTTCTTCTGCTGCTACCACTTCAAAGATATTAGTTATCGCTGTTTTTATTAACCAAAGCAGGTAGTGAGTAGAACAGTACGAATAATCCAAAATAGTAAGATGATTTTGAGTAAAGAAGACAAGTAATTCACACATTCAAAATTTGTCACTATTCTTCTAAACGATCCACCTATGCATGTTTCACAAACATATCCAGATACATAGAACAAACACAATTTGAAATCTCAGAATCAGAAGGCCTGGAAAATTAGTTTAAAGAAAAGGGGAAAAATACTGCTTTTATTGTTCTACTAATGTTGAGACTTACCTTTCTCTGGTAGAGGTTCTGGTTTTTCAGGTACAGCCACAGGTTCTGGTAATTTCTTCTCTGGAACAATCTTCTTTAGCACCTCAGGTTCTTTAAAAATATGTATTTGCTTACTTTCAGAAATTTTAAGAATTGTAATTTAATATAGTTCAAAGGATAACATTATCAGAAAAAAAAACAACCCTCTTATAAACAGTCTATGTGTTTTTAATATTCTTTAATGTGCACCAGTAATAGCCACCGTTACTGAGTTATTCATAAGGGAAGAAGACAACACAAACTATAACACTTATGCATGTAAGAATATAGCGAAGGATAACACAGACTTTAAAAGATAGTATTCAGATAAACTAATTAAAATTTCTGTGCAATTTTATTAGTACTGAACATGTACCTTTAGGTGGTGGAGGTTCTGGTTTCTTAGGAACTTCAACATGTACTTTTTCTTCTGGAACCACTTTCTTGGGTACCTCAGGCACTTAAAAGAAAGTAGCTTATGTTATTCATAAGAAATTTAAACAGTTCCTTAGCACTTTGGACATGACAAAAATAAAACTTGCAGACATCAAAAACAACAGTGGTTTTTGTTATGAGCATCACTTATTTTTCTTTGGCTATAGAAAATTTTCTGAGGCAATTTTTTTTTTGCTTAACAAAAAGGTTAACTTCTATGCTTCTCTGTCTCTCACATATAAAAACTACAACTTAATCAACAAAAAATATTGACTATTTATAATTATAGAAAATAAATTTACTAAAATCACATTCTAGACAACAAAGGGTATTTCTTTAATTCATCATGTACAACAGTTACCTTTAGTTGGTGGAGGTTCTGGTTTCTTTGGTACTTTAACTGAAATCTCTTCTTGGACCACTTTCTTTGGTACCTCAGGCACTTGAAAAATATTAATAACTTTTTCTATGAGAATTTCATAAACAGCATTGAAGCACAATAGCATAACTGTACTAGGGAGTTAACCAATTTTCAAGATATATAGATACTTTTTCTCACAATAAAAATCAAAACATTTGTTCACTTAAGCTTAAACAAAAGAAGAAAATCCCACAAAGGTATTGGGTATTGTCTTCTACAGTGTTAAAACAATAAAGGGTGATATTTCACATTCTGTTATTTTGTTTCATAATGGCAAATATCTTTAGCTGGTGGCACTTCCATTTTTTTAGGCTCCACAACTGGTATTTTCTTTTCTGCAACTTGGGCACTTCTGGCACCTTAAAATTAATACTAATGTTAATATTAATATCTGAATAAATTTGAATGTAATTAAATGGAAAAAGGACAGAAGCAAAAGGACACCAAGGAGCATCAAGCAGACATAATATCCTTTACCAAAGAGACCTTTTTCTCTCAATCTTGATTGGGATACATTTGAACATATCAAGGGGAAAAGAGTCTGTTCCCCAAAATTAAATATATAAGCTCACATTTTATGAAGTAAAAAATATGGATAAATAGTATCAAAAAGATCTTACCAGTGAAAGGAAAAAAATTATTTTCATGTATTTATTAACGTCAGGTACCTTTAGCTGGTGGTACTTCTGGCTTTTTAGGCTCAGCAACTTTGATTTTCTCTTCTATTTTCTTGGGCACTTCAGGCTCTTTAAGAAAAGAGATGATTTACAGATATTTTATAGAATTTCACAGATATGTTCAAAATTTTTAAGTAAAACCACAAATTAGGAAAAGCCTTAATGGAATCTCATTTTTACTAAAACAAGGTTAGTACTCAGTGTCCCTGTAAAGTCTGAGGTAGCATTTCAGAGCCTTTAGAAGCTTTAGTCAAGTGGAGATCAGGGATGTGGCAGACTTAAATGCATTCTTCTGCATAAAATAACTTTTCCACTTAAGTCAACAGCATCTCTAATCTCTGACTAAGGCTGCCACTGTCCAGTCTGCTTTCTTTGTCATATTTTTCTATGCATGATAATTCTGTCTCTGTGTCAATATAGATTTTTCCCTTGTGTTAGACATCTGTATTACTCTGTACTTTGATGTTCTTAAACATTCTTCTGGAGCTAATTATTATTTTTTTTTCTTTTTTACTGTTAGTCAACAGTATGTCAGATTACAGAAGCACTGCTTTCCCTTAAAGATTTCTGCCATGGTATTCAAGAATCAGTCTCATAACTGCCCAATTATATGAGCATTCTAAACTCACTAGTACACTAATCACACTCCAAAGAAGAGATTTTTCAAAGCAGTAGCATACTAGAAGTATGACCACAGAAAATAAATATAGTAAAACAACAGAAACTAGTTGAAACAATCATGTTAGAGGACTTTTCTTCCAAACTTTAGTTCTATATATACCTTTGGCTGGTGTTGGTTCTGTTTTTTTCGGCACAGTGATGGGTACTTTCTCTTCTGGAATTTTCTTGGGCACATCTGGCACTTTAAAGAAAACAGCATTTATTTTTGTTATTTTTAAAGCATTTAAAGTAAATTGTTTAGAAGAGCGTCACAAGAAGAATAGCAGAATGATTCGTAAGAACGAACCTGAAATTAGATGTGCAATGCAGGAAATGTTGTATATTACTACATTCTATAGGAATGCTTATAAATAAGGAAGAAAGGATGAATTTTATTTTAATGTAAACACCTCTGCCCAAGAGAAAGAGAAATCTTCTCAGAGTTTAACCATTGTTGACATATAGACTTTAAATGGTGTTCCTGTCTTTTTTGGTACAGCAAAAGGTACCTTCTCTTCTAAGACAGATTTCTCAGGTAGCGCGGATACTTGAAAGATATGCAGTTTTGGGAATTAGAAAAATAAAACACACAATACATGGAAGTAAGATAGAACAAGTAGATATGAAAGGACAGTCTGACAACACTTATATATTCAAAACAGTTGCACTTGTTCTACTCTGACAAAGAATGGCTTGAAGCAGCTTAACTGGGAGACTTTTGTCATGCAGTAGTGACATATGACACAAAATGCTCATTCCAACAGCCTTCCAAAATACCTGAATGAACTGTTAGAAATGTTTTCATTTCTATATTGTATTTCTGTATTTATAATGTTTTCAATAGCCAAATGCTATTTCTATTCAAAAATGAATCAATAAGTTTAACATGAACAATGTGAAAGAGAACAGAGATTTCTTGCTTGAGTATTGTGGAATTTCTGAAGCTGTTTAAGTATATATTAATATCCATAAAATGAAAATGCTTATTTTGTAAATCTTGCTGCCTATTGACTCAGCTAAAGTTTTTCTTATTACTACTAGTCCTTCTGATAATTTTCTGATATAATTTCTGTACCACTGCAACGGCTTGTTCTTGGATAGAAGAAATAGCCAAATTGAACTATTTTTCAACATTTGGACAAGAGCAAAACAAGACAGAAGAAAGCTAAAGAAAAAGGAGAAAGAAAGGATATGTTGGCCTATACCTTTAGCGGGTGGAGCTTCTGGCTTTTTAGACAGAGGGACAGGCTTCTCTTCAGTGATAACTTTTGTGGGCACTTCAGGCACTTGAAAGATATTTACTGTTTTTAATTTTATGATTTAAAGCATACATACAAATAAATAAGACTAGTAGAGAAACACAAAAACTGACAAACAACATCACAAATTTCACACAAGTTGATTACTAACTATTAAATGAGTAAGAAACACAAAATATGAGCAAAAGTTGACATGGTCTAGGTTTAACTGGACTACTATAGTACCTTTAAATGGTGATTCTGGCTTTTTAGACACAGGAGTAGGTTCTGGTTTTTTAGGCACAGCAAGAGGCACTTCAGGAGCAATTTTCACAACTGCAGGCACTTTAAAGATATTAGTTCATTTTAAGAATTTTTATAGAACAGAAAAACAAGTCATACAAAAAAAGCCTCTATTAAATGCAAGTAACGAACAAAAAGAACGAACACAAATATTAATTATATTGAGCAAGATCTAAACTATGAACATGAATAATTAAATTTTTCTTGAAGGTCATCAATTTGCAAATTGCAGATAATCAATTGCAGATGATCAATGACCAAATTGCAGATGAGAGATGATCAAGAAGTTCATATACCTCTAGGTGTCGAAGCCTCCTCTTTTCTATGAACAGTGGAAATTTCTTCTTCTACATATATTTCCTCATAAACTTCACGTACTTGAAAGATATTAGTATAATTTTAAAGTTAACATAGAATTACATCTTCAGACAAGACAGTAAGAAAGACAAAGAAATCAGATGTACAAGCTCATCTTAATATGCACAGCTCTATCTTACATCTACACTAAAAATCAGGTGTATTTGGAATAAGGGGGAAAAAAAGCAACTACGACTTTCTATACTGCCACAATAAGACCTCTGCACATTAACAGAAGACATGTGACATGTCCTTAACTGATCTACTTTCTCGATTAGACCCCTCTAAATTTTTCAATTTGTCTGTTTTTTAATTATTATTTTTCCTTGGGGGTTCCTACCTTCATTTGCTGCAAAACTAAGCTAACAATCTTTTTTTCCCTAAAGCACAAATCCAGGTGAGTTTTATTTTTTACTCAGGTTTATACTGTGGCTGCTAACTAAATTCCAGGTTGTGGTACATAAAATATTCCCAAAATTGTTTAAGATAGATATATGAAAACAGATCTCTTATTCTTCGAATCCCACTCAAAATATTTTGTACCTTTAAGATGTGAAGCTTCTTCTTTTGGTGGAGCAGGAGGTATTTTTTCTTTGTGGACAGGTTTCTTTGGTACTTCAGAAATTTAAAAATATTTTATTTTACAAATTTGCACTAGGAAATAAGTACCACAGTTTGTAAAACAACAAAAATGCTACTACAAAAAAGCATAAAAATACAAGGCATTAAGCTGTGAATACAATATGACAACTTAAGTTTATGCATTTCTGTTTTTGTAACTCCTGGCACTTACAAGTCTGAATTTGGTAATCTCTGAAAAGATAACAAATGTTGCTTAAATGTTGCTTTTTTTTTTTTTTTTTTTTTTTTTTTAAAGCTACGTTTCTGTAAAAATATCTGGAGGGCTTTGTAATTTTTGTCTGAATTGAAGTCATAGTCTTCAACAGAGCTCCTGACATAACTGGAAAGAGGGCTTCTGGGACCTTTGCAGATTTGTCACTGCATTTCTTTGTTTATTTAGTTTCAAGACATTGTCAGAGAACGTAGTTTGGGAAAAGAAATGTGACTAGCAGTCAAAAAATGAGGTTGATCCTTGGCTCTGCAATGAACTCCCTGATAACATGACTGATAACATTTTTGGGCTGTGGGAAAGTTTAAATAATTTTGTCCGTTTAAATTTTAAGTTCTTGATGCAAAATGTATCAATGTGTTTGTGCAGCTCCTAATAGGAGACAAAAAAATAAATAATTACAGAGTATGTCTATGGAATTTGTTCTCCTAAATGATGAATTACTGCATTGGTAAGTGCTCGTTATTTTAACCTGTGAAAAGTGCTACTGAAATATTTTCTATTTCTTTGTGTTAGCAAAAGGATTTCCTTTAATCCCCCTGGTATGCATGTTCTCTTCCTCAGATAAAGAACCTAAATTGCTCATACAATAAGAGATGAAATGGAGGAAAACTGCGTACAGCACCTCCTATCGCTGTTCAGTAAAAAGACTCATGATGGATTTCTCACTTGTTACCTCAATTTTTAAAGAGATTAGAAAAAATTCCATTATGAGATCATATACCTTGAGGTGGAAGAGCTTCTTCTTTAGGCACAGCAGCAGGTATTTTCTTAAGTGAGACTGCTTTCTTTGTCACTGCAGGTGCTTCAGAGATATTACATTTTTAAGAACATTAACAAAATGTAAGTAACAAAACAAAGAACAAATGACAGACACATAGTAACTAATGAAACATTAGAATGAGAACATTAAGTGACTGGAGCAAAGACAGAGTGATGATGGTATGAATAGCTGACTTGTAGGTTATTATTATGCATGTTGGTTTATATATATATGGTTTTAATAGTGTACCTTTAGGTGCTGGAGCTTCTGGCTTAATAGGAATAATAGCAGGGAGCTCTTCTGTTGGAAGATCTTCATAAAATTCTGGCTCTTTAAAGATATTAGCATATTTTACATATTTTAATATTATGTACAAGACAAGATTAGAAAGAATGCATAAAATGCAGAGACAAATACAGACAAATAACTGAACATAAATTATTTAAATATCTAATTTCAACCTGATCGTTTGCCTACACTTATTAGAAATGGTCATTCCCAATGTGTAGAATACAAATTTATAAAAATATTTCATTATATTTTCTAATTATTTATTTCTTGTTTTAGATGCAATACTGTATTTCAGTTGAATTTCCCACACCCATATCTGGATTTAAGCATTTATATTCCAGCTCAAAAAATTATTTAAGTCATACTCAGATCAACTCTTAAGCCAGCATTTGCTTCATTCTGTTTCTTTTTTTTTTCTTTTTTTTTTTTTTTTTTTTCTAATACAGCTTAACTGTTTTCCCAGATCAGAAGTTTAATTTCCCTCTTATTTACATTTATTTCACCCAGCAATAGTGGAGAAAAGAAAAATGTTAAAAATTATATCAAAATGTTGGAGGCAGAGAGAGTCTCAAAGATACTCATGGAAATTACTTACAACTAATTACAACAAAATGAACTGAAAATGACTCATGTTTTATAAAACAACCTAGAATGTGAACCAAGGAATTCTCTGCAATTTACTGCTCAGTAGATGTATCACTGATGTACCTTCATATAAAGGAGCCTCATCTTCTTTAGGAATTAAGATGGGTATTTTTTCTTCAAGTACAGCTCTCTTATCAATCTTGGGAACTTGAAAAGATATTAGCTTTCTTTTAGTAACTTCAAAATAATTTTCAATTTTTAAAATCCCAAAGAGAAATCAATCCAGATAACAAAGTTCCTCTGAATTCCCAAATACTGAGCATTTTGATGAAAGAAACATTCCATCTAGAACTGTCTTGCTGGAACAATGAATTAAGTAGAAAACATATTGTTTCTGCTTTCAAAGAGCATATGCCATTTGCTTTTCTCACTCTGTCTTCTTGCCTTTCTTTCTGACACACGTGACAACATCAGTGGTTTGAACTTACTAGCTCTTGTGCTATTACTTCTCTAGGAATATCGTTACTATTATACTTGCTTTAAACTCCCAGTTTAAACTAAATTGACATCTACATCACAAAAATTAAGTTTTCATGTCTGGATAGTGTAAGTAGAGTAACTACTCAACATGTTTTTTTTGTTCATAAATCATCATATTTCTGTCTAGCACATGTATAGCAAACATACAGAATATCTGAATGAGAAAGCACTTAGAGCTGAAGCAACAGCTAAGGACTAAATTACACCATTCATTTTAGAAGATATTAGTTGGGAAAAAAACAGTCCAAAATTTTTCCTTTCCAAAAAATCTCATAGCTAAGGTTCCTTTATCTTTCATTTCAGATGCACGTGTAGGTTTCTTTTCTTCAGGGACAGCTCTTTTGATAACAGCCAGCCCTTTAAGATCTTATTTCCTTTTAGGGCTTTTAAAGTTATTTGGAAGAAGTTAGAAAAAAAGCAAATCTAAGACAGATTCATGAAGCAACGAAGGATTAAATGCTTCTTGACAGAATATTTATGTTAATTCTGAAGATTAGACAGAAGAATAACATACTTAAAACATTTTCTTGAAAGACAGACTTAGTTTTAGCTGATGGAATCTACATCCTTTTCAGGAAGACCAAAAGTACTCTTACTTCTGAACTTAAAGAATGAGGCACATATTTTTCAAAGCAACACTCATGTCTTTTCAACAAATGACTTGAAACAAACAGGTCAAAAATGACTCAATCACAAACAACTGAGTAGAGCTTCATAGAGACATAAAACACAGATACGTATTTCTCAACGAATAATGAAAACAAAAGACTGAAATCAGAGTTCATGACTCAATGAGGACAACACAGAGGAAATATACCTTCAGCTGGTGGAACCGTTTCCTTTTTAGGAACAGCGGGTACTTTCTCCTTTGGAACAGGTTTCTTTGGCAGTGCTGGCACTTTAAAAACATTTGTAACGTTTTTAAGAATTTTTGCAGTAGTAACAGTACATAAGAATAAGCATTAAAAAAAATGCAAACAGTGCAATGAGTCAGAAAAGAACAGTTAGAATTAGAAAAACACAAAATAGAGTGCCTTTGGTTGCTATTGAGTGGTAGCCTTAAGAGCTATCCTCCTCATCTGTTTTGCATGGATTCACACAGCTGTTTGGTAAACTCAATAGAGTGGGATTGGCCTTAATAAAAAACTGACCACAGGGTGAGTTTCTTGCAAATTAAGAGCTCTGAAGAGAAAAGTAAAGAACTCTGAATTACAACAGGAACTCTTCTAACGTGCGCTGATCATTGCTGTTCATAACACAGTCTTTGTGGAGACTGACACTGAGAACACATATCAATATCAAATCCGCTCCAGCATATAGTTAGGTTGAAGAAAGTAATTGTCTTCTGGGATTCTGTGGGAAAATGGTTTGACTGCTTGATAGACTTCTTTTAATTTATACATCTACTTGTTTTCAATACTTAGATATTAAATGTTGTTAATACTCTGACAGGCAAAAATTAAATCTTGGAGGTCCTCCTCCAAATGCCTTTGCCCTCAGAAAGAATTTGTCCAAGTTTTGATTTGTTAAATAAGTATTCATCTTTAATAATTAAGTACCTTAATCCCAGTCTTTGACAGTACTGAGAAAAAAATTAGGTATTTGCCGAATCAGAATAGGTAATTTACTGCTTTTGGGGATTCTGAGAAGACAGAAGACTGTGTTTTCAAATTCCTCTTAAAGCTCATGTACCTTTAGCTGGCGGAGCTTCTTTTTTTGGAACAGGAACAGGTACTTTTTCTTCTGGCAGAGGTCTTTTAGGCACCTCAGGTTCTTTAAGAAATATTTCAATACGGATTTTAAGTTAGTTTTGAGGAAGATACAACAGATACAAAGTCAGAAAGCAGAATAATCACTTAATTTAGAATAATTATCTATGCTGTCAAGAGAACAGCCACTAGTCTCAGAACTTGATGGTAGCTAAGGAATATAAGTGTACATCTTTCTGGTACATTTCAGATACAGTTTTGATTGGCATGGTGGATCCTATGATCTTATGGTCACACATACAAAAGATAAGAAGGAAAGCTTTGCTTGAATTTTAACAGCTCCATCATTCATTGGAACTAAAATGTACAAAAGAAACACATTGATACATAATAGTATCGAATCCAGACTGAAGCTGAATTGCATCAGAAAAGTATCATTTACTTTGTATCACATCTACACTGGTTCAATCTTTCCATTCCACTCAGGAGAGAATTCCTTAGTAATAGGGAATGGATTTATCATCATCAGCTGCAGACAGACAGAGTAGTACAAACGGGATAAATATAAAGAAGGAGGCTTAAGCAGTAGCTGGAATCTTAAACAGCAATAATAAGAATAAAGAAATCATGACATGATGTACCTATAGCTGGTGGGATTTCATAAGTTTCCTCATATGCTTCCTCATATTTCTCATAGATTTCTTCTTTCTCCCTAAACTCATACTTCTCATAGATATCTTCCTTCTCTTCAGCCTCCAGTTCATACTCCTGTTCCTGGATTTCTCTGTATCTCTCAGGTAATTCAGGTTCCTCATATGCTTCAATTTCTTCAGTTTCCTGAACCCCCTCAAATTCTTCAATACTTTCATACGTCTCATACTTCTCATACTCTTCATATGCATATTCATATTTCTCTGCTGCAGGAACAGGAGCAGGAGCCGGAGCAGGGACTTTCCGAATGGGTTTCTTGGGTATTTCAGGCACTTTAGAGATGGTATTATTGTTAGTACATTTACAGTTATTTCATTTCATTTACAGTTGGACAAAACCATCCATACAGAACAGAAAATATTTGTGATAACCACAAGCACTATTTACGTCAAAATTTAAGAACATGCTCCAGAAATGGTACATATTCCAGAAGATTTTAGGAAGGAAGAGGAAAAAAAAAAGTTTGGAAGAAAGAAATATATCTGTACCTTTACTTGGAGGTGGTTCTTTGGGCTTGGGAACAACGGCTGGTACTTTCTCTTCTGCAACATCTCTTTTACGCACCTCAGGGACTTTAAAGATATGATTTTCTTTTAGCAATTAGAAGGAAAAACTTAAAGCAATATAATTAAAAACAAACACACGGACAATAAACAGCTTAATGACTTCACAATGCAAACAGTGATAAGAGTTTTAACATAAATCAGAGCAGAAATCTCATACAACAGAGAAAAGTTAGAAAGAAGAAGCTCAAGAGTCTTTTTAGCATGAATACAAATGATCTGGAGCACGTGTACCTTTTGCAGCAGGAACTTCCACTTTTTCAGGAGGGGCAGCAGGTACCTTCTTTTCAGGAACAACTTTCTTAGGCACCTTGGGTACTTTAAAGATATAACCTGACTTCAGTGTTCTTGTTGCACAGCTTTTAAATAGACACAAACCGAGACACTTTCCAACAGCAGAACAGAAACTCAACAGTGTACAGAAACAAACAGTGTAGTGACAAACTCAGTACAACACAGACATATTAAAAAGTCTTGTGCTAAGCTCAGCTTGTATGAAGAATGCTATCTATCAACAACACAGCATTTACAAATGCAATACCTTTTTCTGGTGGAACCGGCACCTTTTTAGGAACAGGTACCTTCTCTTCTGGAACAGGTTTCTTAGGCATCTCAGGCACTTTAAAGATATATTTTCAATTTAGAATGTCATCAACCAGAAGTAACAGTAAGACTACAAAAAACATAGATATATACATAAAGAAATAACAATAAAGGACATGGGCAGACTTTTTGAAGAAGTTAAATTGTTTTGGAGATTATTATTTGTCAGGAATCTGACAGGCACTCTGAGACATTGATACAGAAAGACAATAAGGACACAAAAATAACACAAGTAACAAGCAACATAAAACAAATGTTGCTACTGAATGAGAACAACAAGAGATAGCTTTCCTAGTTATTAACTTATATACCTTTTGCTGGAGGAAGCTCCATTTTGTCAGGAGTGGGCACAGGTATTTTTTCTTTTGGGGCAGGTTTCTTAGGAATCTCCAGCTCTTTAAAGATATTATTTTGCAAACAAATTTTAAAATTACTTTCAGAACACTGAAGACACTAAGAAACATGAAACAAGACCACAAACTCACCAATACGACAGTTAAGATTTACATAAAGCTCAGAAAAAGAAATGAAGTACATTAATTAAGTGAAAAGATCTCATGGATAACTTGCAAGCAGTGTTGTACCTTTTGCTGGTATGGTTTTCTCTGGAATAGTTTCCTCTTCTTCTTTCTCAGGAATAAACATAGGAACCTTTTCTTCAGGCACAACTTTCTTTGGTGCCTCAGGCACTTTAAAAGATATTAAGAACTTTTGCAATGTTCCAAAGAAAAATTGACAACGTAGAACAAAAAGACACCAACTTTAAGATAGTTACTGTAACAGTAAGTAACACAAGGGAAACTCAATTCATTACTTTCCATTCCTTTTATGAAAATAACAATTTGATTATGAGACTATGTGAGAATTTACTTTCGCCTAATTCTTATACTTAATTATTACCAACTGTATTACCATTGTAAACTGCAAATGAGCGGTTGTAGATTTTTTTAGTTTCTAACACATATCCTATAATTGTTTTCTTTTCAATTTTGTTCTAAAAACTCAGCTGCTTAGGTAGACTTTGCTCAGCTTTGAAGAAGAGGCTCTGAGTAATCTGCTTCCACATCAAATTTTGCATTTAGGATCCATCTTCTGGTTACTTACAGAGCCAATTGTGTTCTGACTTTTTTGTGTGTATTAGTTAGTAGGCTTGAGATTATAACATACACTTTCAAAATATACGTCAGAATGATCTCCATGAATTGAAGAATTTTGAGATAAAGTCCCACAGGACATTATTTCAGGTACTTTGTTGAAACATTGTGAGTTAGGAAGATGAATTCTCACTAACAATATCACAATGAATTCTTTAATTTATGGCAAACATTTAAAATTGAAAACAAGTAAATCATTCAAGACCAGATTTCTCAGCCCAAGGAAGCCCTACCTGAGATCTAGCACTCCACTATCTACAGTGGAGTAGCAGTGTGCTAGAACCTGGGATGTGGCTTCACATGACTATAAACTGATTCTACTGCAATATGAAAATATAAGGGAAGAGAATTATCTTCACACACTGCAAAATGATATACCTTTAGCTGGAGGAATTTTCTTTACTTTAGGAACTGCAACATGTACTTTTTCTTCTGGTACAGCTCTCTTGGGCACCTCTGGCACTTAAAAGATATTGTTTTGATAAGAATTTTTCTATTACATTTAGAACATCACAACTACTAAAAAAATACAGAACAAGGGTCACAAACAACCATAAGATGAAGAAAACTTCCTTAAAAAGAATAATTAAAGTTTACATCCAGCTTAATCACTAGAGATGAAGATCTGATGAACTGAGCAGAGCTTTCAGGTAATTTTCAGGAAGGAATGTTGTACCTTTTACTGGTATTTCTGGAATAGCTTCCTCTTCTTCCTCTTCTTCAGGAACAAAAGTAGGTGCCTCTTCAGGAGCAGGTCTTGGTATTTCTGGCACTTCTGAGGTAGTATTTAATTGTAAGAAACTTAGACACAATATCAGGAGCAGAGAGAGAACTTACACTGAAGCTGAAGAGCACAAATTAGCAAGTACATAGACAACATCAGAAGCAGAGAGACAACATACAGAAGCTGAAGAGTGCAAATTAGCAAGTACATTTTTAACAATCTGCTATGATACTACAGTTATACACTAATAACAAACACAGAAACAACAAGAAGCATTTTGCACAGATTCGCCGATGAGAAGAGATACCTTTGGCTGGTGAAGGCTCTGGCTTTTTATGTACAGGGACAGGTACTTTCTTTTCTGGAATTTTCTTGGGCACTTCAGGCACTTTAAAGACATTGTTGATTAAGAAAATAATTTTCAGTGTAACATAAAATAACTGTGTAGCTGACATTAAGATAACTACACAAACATGATAAATTTAATTGTGTATGATAACTGTTCTTAAAATAACAACTATAGATTCCTCCACAGATATAAATTTATAAACAACTAGTTGACTGCATTGTAAGTCAATGTAGTAAGGCTGGGGGGAAATCTAGATGTTTAGGTACATTATCTTTCAGAGCAGCTGGTTTTGAAACTGCAAGTATTTTAAAACAACTTAGAATTGTAAATAGCTATTATCTTTTGCCCCACTCAAAAAAAAAAAAACAAAAAACAAACAAAAAAAAAAAACCACAAAAAGGAGACAATACATGACACAAACATGGAAATTTAGAAAGTGTAAAGTAAATATATCACCCATGTTCAACATAAGTGTACATAACACAGTCACAATACAGTGCTCTGATAACACACAGGGCAATGAATGGTTCAGTATGAAATACACTAAGAAGAGGAGTGGGTTTGTTGCTTGCAGTCTTCTAAAACTGGAGAAACAAAACTAGGGTTACTTGTTTGAACCAGAAAATGGTGTACCTTTGGCTGATGGAGGTTCTTCCACTTTTTTAGGTACTGGGACAAGTACTTTCTCTTCTGGCACAGGTTTCTTTGGTACTTCAGGAACTTCAAAGATATAATTGCAATTAAAGAATTTCATTTTTGAACCACCACGCAAAGAATCAATAAAAATTGAATGAATCTATCTGAACGACAAAACGAACACACAAGAATAGACTCTTCAAACTACATTACATTAAAGAACACATGTGAACGAAGAACTTCGCTTTTTAAAAATATTTGGCTAAGAGCTGATATACCTTTAGCTGGTGGAAGATCCTTCTTTTTCTTTACAAGAATTGGAACCTTCTCCTCTTGCACAGGTTTCTTTGGCACTTCAGGAACTTTAAAGATATTATTGTAAAATGAGCCTGGAATAAGCAGCTGCAACACCATGACATAAAAGCCAATAACACTAAACATTTTAACACAAACGCACAGAATGACAGTTCTTAAGACCAATAATCCTTTTGCTGTCATCTTGCTTAATACAAGTGAGAAGATAAATGAAGTCTAGAAGACCTTTCTGATTACATATAATTATAAGTTGCTATACCTTTAGGTGGGGGAGCTTCCTTCTTCTTTGGCACCTGGACTTTCTTTTCAGGTTCAGGTTTCTTTGGCACCTCAGGCACTTCAAGAGATTTATTTTGGTTAAAACATAACCCACGAGCTATTCAAAACAGAGAATAGCAGAAAACAGCAGTGCAAACACATCAAACACAGAGCCCCCTCCCAAAAGAAAAGAAAAGAAAAGAAAAAATAATGCCCAAGTGAAGCATCTGCAACATGGTGTAAGTTATATATTCAGAGAATGCCTGCTAACATCAAGTGATGATATACCTTTTGCTGGAGGAACTTCCTTTTTCTTCAGAACAGGTATTTTTTCCTCTGGAACAGCCTTCTTGAGCACCTCAGGCACTTGAAAGATACCATTAATGTCTTAGATATTTACTTCTAAAACAACAGGAACAAACAAGCAAGCAAGAACTCCTAACACAAATAAATCTCAAAGTCATACCCAAAACAAACAGCTATAATTTAAAATGATTTGAGCACAAAGACAAAATAAAACAGAAAACAGATCACATTAATTGCTGCTCAGCCTATCCTCCTTGAAGATCCACAGATGCCACCAAGACATTTTCTTTTTTAATTCAAGAATTTACTTGTTGATCCAAAGACTGAGAAAGGCAGAATGTGGCTTTTTAGAACCAATTAAAGATAATGGTGGGGAACCTAACTAAAATACAAATTCAACCCTTTCCTCAATTTTTTGGAACAAATGAAAATGCTAACAGTAGATGAAAACAAACTTTGTAATAAGCACTTGCTTTAAGTGCAGTATTAATATTTAGGGTTTCACTTTTCTCCTTACTTTCTTCTAGAGCTATGATCCTAACACTTCTAAGACATTCAACAGGCTATACTTGATCATGCTGACTGCATCAGTTTTGCACATATATCAAATATATATTGCTGATTACATTTTATTCTTCAAAATTTTCCAAGTGCTACCAACATGCTAAAAGCAAGTGGACACAGTTTACCAATTGATTCAAATCCAACAGAGAACTGGACAAATAACAAGCACTCAGCAGTTCATACCATAATTTGTTGGTTAATGGCATCAAATCAAATCCTGACTCAGCTGAAATAAGCACAAATTTTCCATTTAACTGCACTTTCAACTAAAATGTATACTAATAGTTATTGTACTCTACAATCCAGAAGTATTCATGTAAGTTTTATGTCGATGTGAGGAGAATGATCACTTGCTGAGCATATTGAAGAAAGACTGCTGCACATACAGGTTAATTTTAACTGCTGAGATTAGTCAAGAGAAATTTTAACCAATCCTAATTTTCCAGCTCAGGAGAAACCTCACTTTTGCTGTGTGCAGCATGGCCTTTTCTTTAATAGGAAAAATGTACTAATCAATTTATTAAAATTATAGAGCAAACAACTTTAAATATAATTTTTACTCATTAGTTAGTTAAAAATTTTTTTTCCAACTTCCTTATGGGGAAAAAACCACTATGGGTTGATTTGATTCATATCTGGAAAATATGCTTTCTGTACTCTTAGACAATTGCATCATATTGGAAAACTGGACATAGTCCATGTCTTTATATTAAGACGTAGGAAGACTTTATTACTAAGATCTTGGCATGGTCCAGTTTTCCTCTCTAAACAGTGAATAACATGTTCACTCTGTTCTAACAACTTTGAAATTTTATACTATCAACATAAACATGATTTCTGAGGAAAATATCTAGAAATTAAGGGGATTGAAATATGTCAATTTAATAGAACTTTAATATCTTTTGTTTTCATAAATAAATACACTAACAACAATTACAGAATTTTCAAATAATTTTGAGAGGAATTCACAGAGGCTTGTGCTCTTAAATGACTTATTTTCAATTACCCTGGCCATTGGCTAGATAAAAATATAGTTTTTTGTTACACTTCTCACGAGCAATTCTAAACATTTCAAGCACAGACTGACAGTGGAATTTGACAAGGACAAAATAAAGTCCAATTAAATTGTCTTGGTTATATAGACTTCATGTGAAAGAGGAAAGAACATTTATGACGTGGAACATTTAAATTTGTGGAAGTAGTGAAGTGTAAGCATATAGCACACTTTCAACTCTGTATCCTAATCCTTAAAAGCCTTGGAAAAGAGCAATCTGTGAAGCACATCAGAACACACTAAGACAAAACTATTATACATTAACAGAAGATACTTCTCATTTTTGCACAGTCCTATTATTAAAGTATACCTCTAACTGGTGGTGGAGCCTCCTCTTCATATTGGGGAATTTCTGCCTCCTCCTCCTCATATTGAGGAACTTCCTCTTCATAATAAGCAGCTTCTTCTTCATAATGGGTGACTTCTTCCTCTTCATATTGAGGAACTTCTTCATACTGAGGAGCTTCTTCCTCATAGTGACTAATTTCTTCATAATGTTGGACTTCTTCCTCATAATGGATTACTTCCTTCTCATATTTGGTTACTTCTTCATATTGTGGAACCTCTTCTTCCTCCTCATCCTGAGGAACTTCAATATACACCTTTTCTTTTTGGACAACCATCTTGCGTACTTCGGGCACTTAAAAAGATATCAATTAAAAGAATTTTAAAATTTAGCACATACATCTTAATAATACTAAGGATCACAAGGCAATGGCAAGTAAGAATTAATATCAGAGGACAAACAATTCTCAGAAAACAGATCGGTACTCGCTATACATGGAACATACAGGACACAGAAAACGTTTATATCATATTTCAATACTTCATTCAGTATACCTTTGGCTGGTGGTCTTGGCATTTTTTTAGGAGGAGAAATTGGTACTCTTTCTTCAATGATAGCCCTTTCTGGTACATCAGGCACTTAAAAGATACAGTATATGTATATTTAAGAATCCTTAGAAGTGGCATTTAGAAGAAAAATATTCTTGTCAAGACAAAAAAAAATCATACAAATACATGGTTAATACACAAGACAATTGCACTTATTGACACTGGACATGTAATTACAGAACTAAAGTAGGCTGTAAATCAATAAAAAAACAATAAATGTTTCAAGATCCCATCGTGTTTGAGATGATTTCTACTTCATCCACTGCTGCCAGCAGTGAAGTTAAGTCTGCTGATGGGAAAAACTCAAAATCCATATTTGACCAACTACAAAACCACTAAATTCCATTTGCATCCTCTTTGGCTGTTCTTCTCCACAACAGTGACATCAGTAACAGAACAAAGTCTCAATCACTGTTAACAAAAGGTCTGCAAAGAAAACTCTAGATGAAGATGGGGGAGCGTGTAGAAAAAAGCTGAGTGAGTGGATAAGAATGGATAAGATCCCTAATCTAATTAAGGCTAAAAGATTTCACTGTTCAGTGAAGAAGGCATTTCTCTTCTGTCATTTGTTTTACATAATGCCTGGTTTCTTCAGTCATGGCAAGCAACCACTCTATAGCAGCAAAAAAAGTTCCAAAAGATTAAGATGTGAATATGCACAGATTTTATGATTCAGAAAATTCAGGAAAGAATGCATACTGTGTTTAAAAAGCATATTCTCTTCTCTTCCAGCAACAGCGTACGGGTTTTGCTTTCTGGGACTTACTAATCTATATCAAGGGAAGCTGCACAGTATTGTAACATCTGGGAGGCAGCAAAGCTTGCTAAGTTTGAGAATAATTTTGACCTTTATTCTGTCAGATCTGAGATCTTTATGATCTTTAAGGATGGAATCCATTCCGTCAATGGCAAATCTGAGAATTCCCACATGCTTCCTTCATGGCAAGCTACAGTGACTGTAGATGCAGAGGGAATGGGATGATGTGAAGACTACCAAGCTTTTTAAAAGTTCTCTGGCAGAGTTCTTGATTTTTAATTGTAAGGGCCAAGTACATCTCTATTTGAAATCTTAAAACTGACTGGAACTGGTAACTTTGATTGATTTGATTACAAAAACTGCATTGTGAGTAAATACTCTTCTCAGGAAAAGCAGGTTTCTATGGATTCTTTTATCACAACAACACTTCAATTTGCTGGGAGAACAGGTGAATTTGATATCCTTTTGTTTTGACCCTTATTTTCCAAAAACAGCTGGTAAATTACAAAGACAGTCCTCTTATATTTTCCTTACAATATTCATGATCAGCCTGTCCCCAAACCATTCTCCAGTAGATTAAATAAATTATTTAAACTTCACATTGATGTGGTTATATTAGTTTTTCAATTCATACTGATATATTCAGGGTGATGATAATTTTATCAACAGCAACAGGAGCAAAAATAGTAAGTGTGAGCCAGCTTGTGAATAATTTTCCACAAATCAATAGATTACTTCCCTAAGTAATATGGCAATTAATTTTCTTTAAGAGCCATGGACTTTGATTAAAACCCTCCACCTGGCAGGTCTGACACATGAGATTATGCTAAGCCACAGCTGCCTTGTTTTCCCTCAAATGTCCATGAGATGGCAGGATTTGCAAAGGAGGGTCTAGTGAAATAGTTGAGCTTTCACTGTAACAATAAGCCAGAATGAAAAAATTAAGCCTTTTTTGAGACTTAAATATTGCTCTGGGATTCCTTTGGTATTCTACAAGCTTCATCTTTAAGATAAACTAATCATCAATTGTATTCACAGAAAAATAGATTATATTATGGTATCTTCTTTTTCTTTTTTTTTTCTTTTTTTTTCTTTTTTCTGTCAAATGTAAATTTGGACAAAGTTTGTCTTTGTTCATACCTGTGTATGAAATCTCCTCCTTTGTGTGAAGAGAAACAGACACTTCCTCTGACATAGCCCAGTGTTCTTCTTCTGTTGGCACTTTAAAGACAGAGTCTAGTTTAATATCTTTTCTGGTGCAATATCATGTACAAATACATATCCCATTAAGTGTTTCTTAGAAAAGTGATAATTATTTCCAGACATCTCTCACACCCGAAGTAACTGGGGAAAATATCTCTAGTGTATTACAAAGATTCTTTTAAGGGTCCCTTGGGGGATGCTGTTGGAGCACTAGAACTATAAAAAAATGTGCCAGAATGTTAGGTTTTAAGCTCTCATGGTATTGCTTTAGGGAAGTCTGTTCATAGATTAATCCATGGGCAGGAGTACCTTCTCGTGGTGGTGACACTTTTCTTTTTGGAACAGCAACACGTACTCTTTCTTCTTGGATCATTTTCTTTTGCTCTTCTGGCACTTTAAAGACAGTAGTTGTAAGAATGCTAAATTCTTAAAGAAATAATGTATTTCCATACAATGTCCATACAAAAGTATAATGAAAAAATAATTACAAGGGAATAGAACAGATCTACACATCAACAATACTTACAGTAAACACAACAAAAACAACACACAAACATAAAGACATTTAAATTCACAGAGAAACTGACCAGCTGAATTTTTAATACATGGTGGCTAGGACGGCACTGAGTATTTGGGAGAATATTCTTTTGGAGGTGTTCCAAGAATAAATTCCCTAGAGCTAGTTCCTTTGAAACACCTGACAATTTTAGTAGCAGTAGAAATATAAGCTACTAAAGTAATACAGAAAACGTTAGACTCACATACAGTGTAAAACGCATCAAAAAGCAAACTGCATAAACACACAAAATGAGTACGCAAAGATAGAGATGAAAGATTTCTCTAGGTCCTTCAGAAACATAATTTAATCACAAAACACATGACACTGAACATACATGACAAAATTACATTTCAAACACAAGATCAGAGAAGCGCAACATATTTCTAAGACCGAAATCTACCACTCTGAAAATTGACTACGTTCTAATACATTGATATTATTTTTCTAAATGTGTTCACATTTATTCGCTGAGTAAATTGCTTCATTTAGCTCTCCAAAGCACTTAAGCAGCCATTGTAAACAATGAAGTTACTAGCAGCTTAGAAAATGCAAGGAATGCAGACGTGTGACTGTTCTCCATCACCTACTGCATTTTTTGCAAGAGAGAAGACCAAGTTCCTTTCTCATTTATAAAGCTCCTTCTCATTTATAATCAAGATGATAGAGAATGGAATATTAGCCAGGCAGATGATGAGTATGATACATGCACATATCTGACATTTAGAAGTCTTCTCTACTTTGAAAAGAACTTAGATACCTTTAGCTGGTGGAGCGGCCACTTTCCGTGAAACCGGAACAGGAACTTTCTCTTCTGGCACAGTCTTCTTGGGCACTGCTGGCATTTTTAAAATTTTTGTTTGTTTGAAAAGATTTTGACTTAGTCACAAACATTATCAGATGACAAAACACAAAAGCAGAGACCTGATAATTCTTTAACTCAAATGCGCAAATGACAACAAACAACAACAAAACAATTTGTGCTATACAACTATATGCAAAAAATATAAATCACCAGATAAAAATGCTTTCTTATGTAGCTCTGAAAAATTATATACCTCTTTTGGGTGGAGCCTCATCTTTTTTAGCAACCGCAACTTTTTCTTCTGTGATAATTTTTCTGTGCACTTGAGTCACTTTGAAAGAATAAGAATACTTAATTGTAACATTTGATGTGAAGACGCATGGAGTTTTTTGTACTTCATCTGATTTTGCATAAAAGAAAATGCTTAGGAAACTTCAACAACAAAAGCGAGACATCACAGAAGAGTGTACTTCAAACCATAGAACAAATACAGCAAACAGTTGGAAGAAAGGAGAGATGCAAAGAGATCACAGATATGAGCAAGCAAGAACTTTTATGTAAAACACCTGAACACAAATACTGCAAGACAAACAAGAAAACGTTTCATGACATTATTCTGTTTACCTTTGGTTGGTGGTGGTTCTTCAACAGCTATCTCAAAAGTGGGCACTTCTTCTGGACGTTCTTAAAAAAGATTGTGCAACTTTAGAAAATGGGATTGACCTCACCAACAGGCATAACAAAAATATATAAATGCCTCCAGCAAGACACAATCCATAGTTCATATTGTAGACAAACAGACATAAGTACATGCTTAACGCTTAAGAATTTTGGTTTGTGGGTTTTATTTATCAGCATGCATGCATGTCAAAGAAGGAACGTAGGAATAAATTTATTTATTTGTTTATGCAAGTGGACCAAACAACAGATATACCTCTTGATGGTGGAGCCTCCACTTTCTTAGGAACAGGGACAGGTACTTTCTCTTTCGGAGCTACTTTTTTATGAACTTCAGGCACTTCAAAAATATGAGTAAGATGGGAAGATGAGAAAGAATAAGTTGTAATGTTTGTAATTATCTAGTACATTACTTTTTGTCTTTTTTTTTTTTTATAGTAGCAATTTACTGAGTTATTTTTCATAGTAGAAGATGGAATTTCGGACAATAACTCATCATTGAAAGCAGACAATATCCATGGCAGCATAAAAAGACAGTATGATAAACATTATCCCCTTTAAGAGGCGCATATAACATCATCCAAATGAGGAACTGTTTTATACCTTTAGCTGCTGGAGCTTCCTTCAGAGCAGCTGGAATTTCTGGTTCAGGGGCAACTCTCCTAGGCTTCTCAGGCACTTTAAGAGATTACAACACATAGTTTTATAAAGAAGAATAGTATCACTTTAGCATACAGACATTTCCTTAATGTAAAAACCCACAAATGTACAGAAACACATAGTGGCAACATATACTCAGAAGCATGACACAAAGAACACTGAAACAGTAACAAGCACTGTTTTTAAATGAAAAGAATGTATACCTTTAGCAGGTGGGGCTTCCTTTCTTTTAGGCACAGTTACCTTCTCTTCTATGTAATAAGACTCTTCTTCAGTCACTTAAAAATAGTAAAATAAAAATACTTGAATTTCAGTACTAGACATCTATTACTGTCTTTACAACACTGGTATGAAACAAAATATTTGTAAGACAAGAGTAAGAAGTGAGAATTACTAAAAGACATCTCTGGTGTCTTTTAAAATCTAGATTTTTACCCTCCTGCTCCTTCTGAAGTCAGTGGAACAAGTCCAAGCAACTTAAGACTTATCTTGTATTTCCGTGAATTGGAAAATCTGGCATATGAAGTGCCAGATCAGAACTTTCCATTCCTGTGTTTGTTAGTACACTATCAGAACTTGTCCACTTCAACAAAGCTTCCCAGATACTTATAAAAAAAATCATTAATTCATTGGATGAAGTTATCCCTTGTAAATACTTTCCATGGTGTTGCTTTTGAAGAAAATTGAGACAATCGGTATAATGTTACTGTTCTTCACAGAATTATTTTAACACAGATAAACTCAAATTGGGAATAATTTTATCAGTTTACTGTGAAATGGTATAAGAAACTGGAATACATCATGAGATTCTGAAGGGTCTTTACTTCATCCAGAAAACAAAGTGAAAGAGTAATTTTCAACAGAGAGTAAGTGTAAAAAAAAAAAAAAAAAAAAAGCAAAAAACAAAGAGACACCTTATTTTCACTGTATCAAAGCAAGAGTAATTACACTTCTCGAAAGCAAGACAAATTGAAGACAGTATTACAGTTTCTGAAATATGAAACTTAAGGCATATTTGTGCAGCAGTAAAATTTCCTTTTAAATAGAGTAGATCTTTATGCTATTTTTGATACAAAACAAAACTTTATTTTTGTTGTTGTCTAGTATTCTTGAATTGTGATCATACCTTCAGAAACCTCCTCTCTGTGAATGGAAACAGATACTTCCTCTGTTTCTTCTTCAGACCACTCTTCAACTATTGGTTCTTTAAAGAAAATATTTAGTTTTATTATTTCTGGTGGATGAGTAGATGGTTCAATGGACGGACAAGGTGAAGATCACCTCTTAAAAGTTCTGTATAACAACATACATATTGTATAGAAAGTGTTGTGCAGACATTCATGATCTGCACTAAGTGACCCATGTACGATATTGTGTACTGCTGTCTCTCTCAAATATTTTTCACAGGTCAAATGTCAGCCCATCAGAATGCCTCAACTCCCCAGACCTCCCCCTCACAACAGCTGATGTGGGGAAAGAATTAGATGTTGTTACTTGATCTAGCTACATGAAAGTAAGAAGGATACAAGATAAGGGCAGGTCATGAATTGAAAGGAAAGCTTGTCATATATGTCTACAAATATGACTGAATCAGAGAAAACATCAGAGACTGATTTGCAGGGGAGAAAAATTAACAGTATATCAGTACATGTGAGCATACATTAGTATGTTCATATTGCAAATAGATAACTTCCATATCTTCCTGTAAAGCCCACTTGTATTTTTAATAGAACATATAAATTATGTTGACAAGCAAATCACTAAAGGCATATGGAATGTCAAAATGTTGATTTCCTCTGTCTTGAAACAGACCAACTTTAAAACAACCAATCCCAGCCTTTTTTGAGTATGAGAATCTGAACTAAAAGAGTTCTTGTGGAGAACATAATCCTGCTACTTGCCAGGCTGCAGAGAGCAAGTAGGGAGTACAAGAAATGGATAGCTGAGGTCCTAAGTGCTGGTATCTAACCTCAACACTATACATCTATGCATCTCATGAAAGTTTGCTGGTAAGATTAGTAGTAGTATTCCCATACATTTCATGGGATGTTAAGCGGCATTCAGAGGGTATTAACTAACTAGAAGTCTATAAAATATTCCTACAGAAAACTCACTCAAAATAACTAACACAAAATTCTTGCATATTTTGATCTTGGTCTTAGAGCAAGAGACTTGTAAAAGAAGCATAGGTTTCTCATTGGCAGTTGTTAACAATCTACCTTCAGGTGATGGGATTTCTTCTGGAACAGCAATAGATATTCTTTCTTCTGTAATAAGCATTCTTTCTTCAAAAGTTGCTCTCTTCTGCACTTCCGGTACTTTGAAAGATAATAGCATTAAATGGATGATTTTCTAATGCCAGTGTGAAAGCCACCTTCCAAAATGCAAGTAACTAAGTTTCCAAAGAATTGCTTAAGGGTCTTGAACAAATAACACAACAGAGATTCAACACTTAACATTCATATTTTTGTACGTACAGCACACAAAAAGTAATCATTTTTTTGCTGTCACTAAATCAGTACTGCGGAATTCATAAAGGCAGCACAAATGAATGACAAGACAGAACATACACACAGAAGCTAAGAAACAGCATTTTATTTATTCTACTGGAAAGCATACCTTTAGCTGGAGGAGCCTCAACTTTTTTAGGAACAGCAGGAGGTACCTTTTCTTTAGGGACAGGTTTCTTAGGAACTGCAGGCACTTTTAAAAAAAACATTTAATTTTAGGATCTAGAAAGTGAAAAACTTTCAAAAGCAACACGAAATAGAAAGGTATTGTTCAAACAGAAGATTACACAGACATTTTGTTTACAAAGCACAACTGACTAAACTGAGGGAAATGTTTATGTTCTGAAGACTAGGAGAGAATACCTTTTGCAGGTGGAGCCTCTTCTAGTTTAGGAATCTGAGGCAATTTTTCTTCTGGTACTGGTTTCTTAGGTACTTCTGGTGCTTCAGAGATATTAATTAAACAATATTAAATAAAATTACAAGTGTCTCAAGACTACATCTAAAGCACAATTACCAACAAATCTGACACACAAAAAAAACCACGTAACTAGTATTACTGAAGCACAACTGAACCCAGATTCACCTAACAATAAAGAACAAAATTAGACAAACAAAATGCTTAAGATATTTGATTTAAGTATACCTTTAGGGGGTGGAGCTGCTTCTCTTTTTGGAACAGCAACTTTTTTCTCAGGGGGAGCTCTTTTGGGCTCCTCTGGCACTTAAAAAACATGAAACAAAACAATTGAATTCCATGTTTCAAAGATCTGTTTGAGTATTTTACAAATGCATCCATTCATAAGAATATCAGGACACGTCAATATCACATAAATATTACATCTAACACAGAAAAATATAAGACTAACATACAGTTGAAAAAAACATTTATCTATTCAGTCACAGGAAGCCTCTAAAGTGCTTTGAGACTAATTCCTTAACTTGAGAGAGCTACTTGAGTATATTACCTGACCTTAAAAAGTGTTACATGCATACAAACAATTATACATTAAAAAAAAAAAAAGCACCTGACAAATATAATTACATAGAAACTAAAACCAACAAAAAAACAGTTAAAAAAAAAGATATTTGAGAGGTACACTCCATCACTAAATATACCTTTGAGAGGTGGAGGTTCTACTTTGTGAACTGGAATGTGTACCTTTTCTTCAGGTGGAGGTTTTTTAGGCACTTCAGGCACTTTAAAGACATTAAAATGTATTTAGAGAATCTTGTCAAAGCTTTTGAATTGTCTTAGATGAGAAGAGACACACAACACACATACATTACATTTGCTTACATTTAAAATTGAGTAGTAACTTGAACAAAACAGTACAGAACAGGTTAAAGTTAACTTTCAAAAGATTCTGTACCTTTTACTGGGGGAGACACCTCCTTCTTAGCAACAGCAACTCTCTTTTCTGGAACAGGTTTCTTAGGGACCTCAGGCACTTGGAAAGCATTTCCAAAGAGAGAGAACTTTAGTTTTCACAACACTTATTCAGATTTCAAGACTGCTCTATAACACACAATGTCTAGGCAAATAGTTAAACACTGCAGCACAATACATTGTACAACCCTTTGGACATAATGCAGACTATTTAGGAAAGACACAAAAATACAACATAAAATTCCAATATCAACATTTATGTGCTATTGCTTTTCATGGCACTCTAGAAGAAAAAATACCCAACTCTTATCTGCAAAAAACACACAGTCAAAGCAAACACAAGAAACAAACACAAGATTGTTAGGAAAGAGAAGAGCCAACACTGAGACACATTCAAGCACTGTAAACTAAGATAGAGCACAAAGCAAAAAAAGAGAACAGGCAAAATGAAAGGCACATAGACAGCAGATTCATGAAAACATTCAAGACAGCTTACAAAAATATACTGAAAGATAGTAAGATTTTTTATTTTTTTTTTAACTTGGGTAGAAGAAGTACCTTTAGCAGGTGGAGCTTCTTTTGGGACAGGAACAGGCTTTCTTTCTTCTGGGACATGCCTCTTTGTTATCTCAGGCACTTTAAAGAGATATGTGGTGAACATTTAGAAGATGGAAAGAGAGTACATTGCTGTAGGCTGTTTTCAATATGCTGTGTAAGCAAACACCGCATGTTAAAAAATATGCCATTTTTCAGACAGGGAAATATTCTCAAATTTTCCCAAAAAATCAAAGATTTAATTAAAGTACTGATTAAGAAGTAGACTTGGAAACGTGGTAGGAGATGATGTTTGAGGGCAGAACCATAAGAACTGAGCCTTGATATGCTGTTCTTTGATACAGAGTGGTAAGACAAATAAATTAAAAAAAAAAATTAGGCAGATAATGCAAAGATTTAATTCACCTTCAACGTGATGAATCTCCAGTTCTTCAGAAATGACCTCTCGTTCTTCCTCCTCTTCAACTTCCTTATGTGCTGCAACAGGAATTTGAAAGATATTAAATACAGAGGTGTGAAATCCTAATGTCTGTAGTAAACTGAAATACTTTTAAGATATTATGTGTCCAGTACACAAAGGTTCACTGACAACATTTGCTAATGTTGTCCAGAAAATCAATTGAATGTGCAGATCTCACAGTGAGCTTTAAGATTCAATTTTTAAAAAAAAATCTTAAATATTGATTAGTATCTCATTCTTAAGCAATCTACCTTCAATTGGGTAAACAGCTTCAAAGAATCTTTCTTCAACTGTTTTCTCATGCTCTGTAGGCTCTTCAAAGAGAAGCATTTAAATAATGTTTAGAAATAATAGCTTAGATGTTAACATCTGTTAATCTAAAGAAAACTGAGGATAAATAGCACAATGAACAAAAATAAGCAAGGCATGTCGAAACATAAATGTCTAAATATGTAATTTGAAACAGAAAAATTGGCTTAAAGAAAAAATGGCAATACAGAAAGTACTGGGTTTTTTTGGGTGTGTGTGATTTTTTTTAACATTACTTTTTTTTTAATTTGTTTTTAAAACTTTTTTTTTTTTTTTTTTTTTTTTTTTAAACATACCTGTGATATATGAATACTCTTCTTCTCTGCGGACAGAAACTGACATCTTTTCTTCTGAAACAGTCCATCTTTCTACTGTCGGTACTTTAAAGATAGGATTTTGTTTTAGTATTTTATATTGTAGATCCACAGCAGTGGTAGAGAGCATGTGAATTTTATGAAATCTGTATCTGTATTGTATGCTAAAGTCTTAGAACATATTTAGACAGTCAGTAATGACATTCTGAAACACTGAATACACAACAACAACAGATGTAAAATTTACTTGGTTAGAAACTAAGGATAAAGATATTCCTAACAAGAGAATATAAAATAAATTCATGCTCAGACTTCTGCAATTAGTGTATCACAATGATTTCAAAGGCACTTCTTCAAGGAAGTGTTAGGGCACTGAGATGTTATATAAGCATGTGCCAACAGGCAGAACATTTAAAGAGAAAACCAAATCAAAGTACAATATCCGACAGACTATTTGAATACAAATCACAAAGACAGCCACAAACACGACAAGAACATACTTTATGACACACAGAATCATGGTAGACATACATTTTGCACAATGAAAGTAGTCACAGTATGATCAGTACAACAGATCCAAGTACATGCACAGTTCTATATGTTCACAAGAGACACAAGAATTCACAGGGTACTGGAAATATTGTAAAGTACAATTGAAAGCTGCAGATCTTTACCTTCCTTTTTCATAACCTTTTCCTCGACGATCATTGGTGTAGGCTTTGCTGATGGGATTTTCTTGGTAACTGTTAGCATTAAATTTGGTTAATCAGACATATATTCAGAAAAGAGATTAAAACAAATTATGGCTTTTTAGGAATAATGTTGGAAACACAACAAACAATCTAGCCCAGAACCATACAAAGCAAGAAAAAAAGAAGTGCTTGCTTCTTTCAATTTGCTGCCTTCTAAAGGGGCTGGTAACTTCTGTAGTGCAGAGAAGGTCATTATCCTAACGTATTTTGAATTCTAGCCTGATTTCCTGCTGCAGAATGGTAAATGCTATATGAGAAGAACTGGTTACCAAGTGAATGAAGATGCATCTTGTAACTAAGATATCCTGATAGACAAGTCAAGGTGGAAATTTGAGGAAGATGGAGATTTCACATCTTGAGCTTAAAGTGAAACACTTTTTGTCACTTGATCCAATTATATACTTTCTGTTTTAAAGCATCCATTGTCAACAACTAAATTTCCTATTTTCACCTAAAAAACTTTTTGTCTTCCTTTTACAAAATGCTGCAGAAGCCGTTATTACAGCTGTTTTAAAGACTGACAAATTGGTCAGATCCATGTGAAATGAATCATAGAATTGCTCAGGTTGAAAAAGATCTTAAAGATCATCAAGCCCAATCACAGCCTAACCATACTATCATAACTCTAACAACCCTCTGCTAAATCATGTGCCTGAACACCACATCCAAACCATTTTTTAACACATCCAGGGATGGTGACTCAACCATCTCCCTGGGTAGTCTACTCCAGTGCTTAACAACCCTTTCTGTAAAGAAGTTTTTCCTGATATACAACGTAAATCTCCCCTGGCACAACTTGAGGCCATTTCCCCTTGTCCTGTCACCTATCACCAGCGAGAAGAGACTAACCCCACTCTCACCGCAATCACCTGTCAGGTACTTGAAGAGAGCAACAACGTCTCCCCTCAGCCTCCTCTTCCCCAGACTAAACAGCCCCTATTCTTCAGTTGCTCCTTGTAGGGCATATTCTCCAAGCCTTTCACAAGCCTTCTTGCCCTTCATGGGACACAGTCCAGCACCTCCATGTCCTTTCTATACTGAGGTGCCCAAAACTGAACACTGTACTCGAAATGAGGCCTCACCAATGCTGAGTACAGGGGCAGGATTACTTCTCTAATCCTTCTCACCACACTATTCCTGATACGAGCCATGGTGCCATTGGCCTTCTTGGCCACCTGGGCACACTGCTGGCTCATATTCAGCCAACTGTCCATCAGTACACCAAGGTCCCTTTCCATCAGGCAGCTTTCCAGCCACTCCTCCCCAAGCCTGTACTGTTGCCTGGGGTTGTTGTGACTAAACAAGCACATGCGTATTAGCTAAGTAACTTTCACATAAAGGCAACATTAAGGTAATTAAGCAGTAGTTACCCTCAGCCCGTTTGAGTTTTTCCTCTGCAACCCTCTGAGTGGTAATCTCAACTTTTTCATCAACAGGTTTCTTCACAACTGTAAGCAATACAAATATACTCATCATTTGTGTCATCTTGCAAATTATTTTTCAGACATAAAACAGGTAGAACTGACTTTTTCCTGTTTAAGATATGAGCATCCAATGCATTATTCAGCACACTGTTCACTGCCACTGAACAATAGTGGTAAAGGTATTCATGAAATAGGCAATACAGCCCACCTTCCCCTGAGAGATATGCATTGATCTATACGAACAGTTCTTAGAAACTCCAGCTTCCACTGGCTTAAAAACATCACTTAGGTCCAAAGCTAATATATTTTAAGAGGGAAAGATTATTGAAGCACAGATTAATTTTACTAACAGTTCTGATTTTGCTTCAATCATTTTGTCATATTCTCTCTCTGCAGGAAAATCTGAGGTGAGAGAACAGAAGGGTTGCCATGCCATGGCCAGGGCACTGTTCAACATGAAGATCATTCTCTCCTCTTCAAAGAAATGAAGCCATTGCAGTACAGCTTGAGGAAGTAGCATGAGAGAGGTCAAAACGAGCACTACTGTTAATTTTGCAAGAATGACATACCTTTATGAACTGTAATTTCTTTCTTTTCCTTCTTTTCAGCTGTAATTGCTGCAGGCTTTCGCTCAGGCACAGGCTTCTTAGGAACTTCCACCACTTTAAAAATAAAAACATTTCCTAATGATGAAAATTACATTTTCTAAAGTCTCACAGAAGGAATTAGTTACGTCATTATAAGATTATGAGTTGAAACAAACACACAGTTTTGAAGATTGAACTGCTGCTGTACATTTTTTTTGCTTATTTCCATGTTTTTCCATTAAAATCACATTCTTATCATAGAGGCATACTATAGCTGAAGCACACAAGGAATTGCAAAATTATCCCACCATTAGCATAAAAAAATTGATATTAGAAAAATTTATCTAAATCAAGTCTATCTAGAATGTGTGGATGTGTGAAAATGATAGCAGAAATATCCTGAACAACTGAAAATAAAACAAATTACAAACTCTTAATTCATATTAGATTTTAAAGATGGCCCAATCTGCAAAGTTTGCTGGTAATCCTATAATAGTGTATCATTTGCATTTACATTTTGCCATACCAGGGTCCTTATATTGTCAAGTCCTAGTTACAATTTGGCAGCATGTTTGGATTCAATTGGTAAAACAATTGTAAATCTTTTATACCTTCTTCATGAATGATTTGTTTTTCTTCATAAGCCACCTCCCTTTTCTCGTAAGTTTCTTCCCATTCCTCTTCTCCTTCATCATAACCTTCTTCCTTGAAATAATAATCATGATCTTCTCCATAATCTTCTTCCCATTCTTCATAAACTTCTTTGGGTTTTTCATATACTTCCATTTTTTCTTCATGAATCTCTTCTCTCCTTGCCATAGATGTTATTTTGACCTCTTTGGGCTTCTCTGGCAGTATCTCAGGAACTTAAAAACAAAGCAAAAGAAAACAACCATGTTATCATCATAGCCTGGAATCTGCAAAGTGTATTGGATGTTCACAGTTAGTGAAATTAGTTCTTCCTTGCAGACAGTGTTATGTGAATTTTTTTTATAAGATCTTACAGATCTTATAAAAGATCATAAGCACAGACATCCAAGAGATGTCTTTTCCCAAAATAATGTTACTATTTTTAAGAGAGTATTTGTTGTGGTTTTTTTTTCTTTTTTTTTCTTTTCTTTTTTTTTTTTTTCAAGTTACCTTCAGGTGGTGGGATTTCCTTGGGACCCTTTTTAACCACCTTTTTCGAGACTTTCTTTACTGGAACTTTCTTTTCTGCTTAAAATATATATATATGGAAATTGAAGTTAAAACAAAAGAACAAAACATAACTAAACATATGTACACTATCTAGTTACTTTAAGTATTCTTACCTGGCTTTTTCTCCTCTGGTGGTGTAATGAGGGGCAGAAGAATAGGAATGGGGGCAGCTTCTGAAAATATATATATATACATTTAGAACGAGTATGGTATTGAATTCTAATTGAAGAAAAATCATATTGCATTTGAAAAATGAGATTTTTTTTTTTTACTGTACTTGCAGAATAGGAGCAAAATTGGTGCTTACTCTGATAGTTCACTGTAGCTGGAACAATGTGTTTTGAATGGAAATCTGTAGTCGGCCTTTATTTGCATACTGATACTTGGAAGCTTTTTTTCCTAGCACCATTCTCCTTTTCTTGCTGATAGTAAATCATCCAGATATAAAATCTTTTCCCTCCTGCTGTATCTCAAAGCATTTACCAAATTATCATGGAAATGAAACAAAGAATGAATTTCTAGGTCCATACTGAACTGCTGAATCTAGCAGAAACATATGTAATGCTTGTCTGTAGTCCACTCACAGAGTCTGGGAAGCTAAGGGAGTTCCAACCTGTTCCAATCTGTTTATACAGCTTCAAAATAATGTTCGTCTTTCATTTTCTTTTATTTTTTTTATTTCTTTTAAAGAGCACTCCTATTTTATGGTTTTCACCTTCCACAATGCAAAATGAGTCCAACCAAGCAAAGGCTTACTCTTACATATTTCTAAAGAGTGGACTAACCAGATTCTATCAAAACCTTATCTGTGATCTTTCTTTGAGGCTCCTACTGCCTTGCTGTTTTAATACTGACATAAAAGAGAACTGCAGAACAAGTCTAGTTTGTTATTTTACCTTCAGCTGGTTTTGGAGGTGGAACTGCTACCTTGGCATCAGGAACATCTAGAAAATAAAAACATTTAACTATGTAAAAGAAATAGATATATGAATTTGCTGCTCCGAGGACTAGCTCATGGTGTTTCATTTTTTCTTGTTCTAGCACACAGTTATCTTGGCCCTTAAGCATAAGCAACCCAATGTATAGAAAACTATTTGAATTAATCTTTCTTATATGGCCAGACTTTACTGTTTTTTTTGTTGTTGTTGTTGTTGTTGTTGTTGTTTTTTTATTATTTCTACATACTGCTCACCTCATTCTGGAGTAGGCTCTTCCTTAAGAACATTCAGAAAGGAAGATCATTATACATCATAAGGAGATTATTGCTATCTATTTTGCTTCCTTGGTTAATTATTTTTCAGCTGTGATGAGGACATTGATTATATTTATTGGTATCTCTTCATTGCTGTATTCCTCAGTCATTTAAATAAACTCATTTGTTCTAGAAAATATAGTTTCCCATACCTACCATACAAAATAAGACCCCAGACATGATGATAATCAGTGATTTTAAAGTTACCACAGTAGTAATCACCATAGTGTATTAGAATAAATAATTCCTCATGTATACAGGTAAGACGTATTATTTCAGAGTGTAGGTTTGATTTAATACAAGCATGAAAAAAGGATAAAGCAGAGCAATGCATTCTATGACAGATAACAGACACGCTAATCTTGTGCATGATCTTTACCTGGAGGCTTCAACTCCAGTTTGATTTCTGCAAAAGAAAAATAAATTTCTTTCAGAATTATTTGTTCCAGAATCATGCTTTAAACTCACAGATTTGCAGACGCTATGATCACAAAATTGTTTTAAAAATCGGCTAACCTTTGGTTACCAGATAGAGCTCTGCAGTGCTTCTTGCTTCTCCCCTTGGTTCGAGACGAGCAATTACAGAATATACACCTGCAACAGCCAAGAATTTTGTATTAATATGACTTTATAATTAAAAGAACACACAACAAAATCTGATAAAGTAGCATCAGTCCAAACATTCTAGGAATTTTTACCTTCATCGTCTGCAGTAACATTGTGAATAGTCATATAATGACAACGACCTTCACTTCTGAAGCTGTACTTCGGGCTTTCTCTCAGTTCAGTGGGGCCTTTATACCATGTCACAACTGCATCATCAAAGGAAACTTCACACTCAAAGGTAGCAGATTGGTGTTCGCTTACTACAATGTTCTGTATGCTCTTTGTGAACTGAATTGGTTCAGCTGTTTTAGAAACAAAAAATAAGTAAGTTATTGTCTACCATTCAGGCTATTTAGCTTTCATGACAATAACACATTATAGTAAGGTATAATAACAAATAAGAAACAAGAGTTTCCATCTACTGTGAAGTTTTCTACATAAGAATGAAGATTAGAAGATGTAAGTATATAAATATAATAAGATTGCTGTAGATAAATTATACAAGAGAAGTCATAAGGGAAATAAAGAGAAGGTAAAGAATAATTAAAGAAAAAGAAGTAATCCAAGGAAAAAGAGGAAAATATGAGAGCATCAGGAAAAAAGAAAATACAAGAAAATAGGACTGATGATTTCAGATCAAGAGGTCATTACTAATGATGACTTAGTTAAAAATATTAAATTACACAAATACTATCACATATGGTTCAAAGAGAAAGAAAAGCAAAACTTCTTGTATGATCAATTTTCAAGTTTGAGGATATTTCTTTAAGAAATCCCTTTTATTTTCATCTTTTCTGTTAATGGGATATCCAGCAACTGTTTATCACTACTGTAATAAAGATATTCTATATCTGTTTACAAACCTTCAATGGCCAGATCAGCAGTTGTTTCTAGATTGTCAAGCTTGCAGGTATACTGTCCCTGGTCTTCTGTTCTAACATCCTTGATGATGAGTTTGTGTACTTTGTCGGAGACTTGTGTTGAATATCTCCCTCCTATCTTAATTGGCCTCCCATTTCTATACCACTGAGACTTGGCATTTGGGATAGAAAACTGACAAGACAGCGTGCATGTGTTTCCTTCCTTGAAAGTAGTGTCATGAAGATGCCGTTCAACTGCAGGCTCTATTAGCATGTTAAAACATACATTTTAGAAGACATCATACAATATAATAAATAAAGTAAAAAATACTTCAAATACACACTTCAAAATATACTTACCAATCACAGTTAGTCTAGCACTGGCAATGTGCGGTCCACACACTATTCTGTAATTCCCTTGATCTTCAAGTTGGCAGTTTCTGATTTTCAGTATGTGGCGATCACCTTCAATTTTAATTTCATATTTGTCGCTGGAGTCTAGTTTCTGAGTTCCCTTGTACCATGAAAGCTTAATTTCTGGATAGTTAATTTTAATCTCACATTCAAAGATAGCATCTTCATCTGTTAAAACTGTTTGATTTTCGATGTCTCTGATTAGAGTAACAGGCTGAAAAAAATATTAGTTTAAATTAGTTTCATCTTTCTTGTTATGGGTTTGAATATTTCATGAATCAGGACAAAAATATGTCACCTCTGTTTGTGTGAGCCGTTGCTGAATAAATGCTACAAGTTCTTCAAACTCCTGGTCCTCTTTTTGAGCCTTTTCTGTGAGCTCAATTTCCTGTAATAAGACAAAATGTACATAATGGTTAGATACTAAATGCCAAGTTGGCATGTTTATCCAACACAGAATTAGTTCTTACATCAAATTTGATGTAACCATACTATAACTAGTCTATCTTCCCATCCTAAAAATAGTAGCCACATAGTCAAGGCAGAACGCAGTTGGCCAGAAGGGCCATCCCTTCTTCTTTGGTTTGAGCATGCAGGAAATTGAGAACGATCAGTAAAACATCTGAACAGATTCCAGAAAAGCCTGTATAGAAAGTACAGGTCACCACGTCTGTTTACAAGAACTTTGTTACTTCTAACAAAAACAATGCCATAGTGGCAATATATCTCACCAATCTATGGCTTTCTTCTTCTCTGGTCTGCTTTAGTAACTCAAAAGCTTGCAGGAGGCCACGGAAATCTGTAATTCCATACATGCGAGCATATTTCTCGTATTCTTTGGGATCAACATTTTTGAGAAGTTCCAAGATATCGATAGTCTGCTCTTCATCTTCCTTCTTTTTTGTTGGAATTCTATTCAAACCAATAACAAACATTAAATTTATTAAGTTTCCTAGAAAGACGTCCACTGAAAAAAAATCCATCAACTTAGAACTGCTACATACAGCACAATCCTTTAGTGTAACCTAGTCAGGTGCTTCTATTTTCAGTACACAATTAAACACGTATAATAAACATTAAACATTGTATCTTGATCTGAGTCTTATAATCAAAAAGTTCTGTGTTGATGGGAAGGTAGTTTATACAAATTCTGTGTATACCTTTTCAGTTTTCCCCTGACATCCTCTTCAACAACTTCTTGCTTCCTTTCTTCAACTTGCAGGTTGACACTCCTCTCAATTTCACCATGTTGGTTAAAAGCTACACATCTGTACGTGCCAGAATCTGTTTTTGTTGTGTCCTTTATTTCCAGTTTGGCTTCATCTCCTCTCTGCTGGATTATAATGCGGCCACCCTGGTTGAGTTGCCTCCATTTCCCCTTCATCCACTTAACATTTGGAATTGGGTCTCCTCCAACTTTTGCAATAAATGTTGCAACAGTCTCTGCAGAAAGATGCAAATAAGAAGGCTAAGTATTTTCTTGGTGTTTCTATGACAGCAGGACATGATCTCAAGCATCAGGCATACGCAAATAGAAAACAGGGTAATTTTAGAAATAATTCTTACTTTCCATGACTTTGACACTCTGAGGCTCTGATACAAAATAAAGTTTTCCTTCCATGTCTGCTTTCTTAGCTGCTGGTGCAGCTGCTGCTTTTTCTAGGGAAAAACAAACAAACAAACAAGATTTACAGTATCGCAGAATAGGTAAGGTTGAAAGGAGCCTGCAGAGGACTCAAGCTGATTGCCCAGAGCTTTCTAGATGAAACTGAATATTATGGGCCACTTTGTGGTCTTCAATAACATTAGTTGTGTCGTTTATATTTTCACAGATGCAAATTCCTAGATGGATATGCAAAAATAAGAAGCTTCACTTTCTAAAATGAGTCAGTTTTTAATGAAGTATTTTCTGTCTATTTCTGGAAATTTTATTCCAAGTTATTTGCATTTTTAAACAGTGATCTGTTGGTTGTTTTTTTTTTTTCTTTTGTGTAGTACTTATCTTTCCTGCTACCCACATAGTGACAAAAACTGTTTCTACATGTTACTGGATCTTCATGACATGAATGCATTTGTAAGACAGGACACTACATGGAAGGTCTCATGTTAGGCAATATTTACTTCTAGTTATAATTTCAAAATGCACTGGAGCTTTAACAGCTTTGAAGCAACTAACCTCTAAGGCGACATTATGAATCAAATTCCTTTTCTAATTTCTTTTAATAAATACTGCTACTACAAAAAACATGCACAGATGAATGTAATTTTAACTAACTTAGCTTTCCTTTTTGTTAAATTCTGTTTTCTTTTAGGAACTAAATTCTTAATCTTTTCAGTGAGGATATATTACTGATCTGACACTGAACTCACAGTTTATGTTGATATTTATATGTAAATTATTTTTCAATACACCGTCTCCCCAGATTGCATAGTTTTGCAAAGAACTAAAAGATACTAATTGTTTCCTGTTAGAATATTAGTATCTTTGTTCCACACAAAACAAAGCAGGATGAAGTTTTATTTTAGATTTCCATTGCATGTTTTGATTTTGCCTTGAACTGTACCTTTAACTGTCACTTTAGATCTGCAAGTGTCAGTGCCAGCCACATTTGAAGCTTTGCACACGTATTCTCCTGAATCAGATTTGGTAACTGCAGCAAGTTCCAGAAGAGCTACTCCATTAGCAAAGCTGAAGCTGCATCTTTCTGAAGCTCTTATTTCTCTTCCTGCCTTCAGCCACTGAATCCGGATTGGCTCTGATCCTCTGACATGGCAGCTGAGCTGCAAGGTATCACCTTCTTCTGTTGCTGCTGGCTGAAGAGGCTGGTCAAAAACTGGAGGCTTTTTTGGTTCTGAAAGGTGAAAATGCTTCAGTGAATTCTCCAAGAAGGAAAGTATGATTAAGAGTGTAGGAGAAAGAGATACATGTGATTCTTAAGAAAGAAAATGACAAGGAATGAGCAAGAATAAGAAGTCTGAGAATCCCAATCATAGTTTTAGGAAATATAATTACTATCTAGACAGTATGCTTTGAATGCAAACATGCAATGAGTGCTTTACATAACACATTCTCTGCACACAGTAAGGACATTCACATGCAAAAAATAGTAGAACTAATGTACTGCTGTTAGTCTGTAAACTACATAAGCACTGGTAGAGAAACAAATATAGAATCTCCTGCAGAAGCATTAGGACAATGTGCCATGCTGCTCTAGCTTAGTTGTAAGTGCATAGAAAAATTGTTATTCTTAAAAAGAAAAAAAAAGAGAAAAAAAAAAAAAAGAGAGAGAATGATTAAAGATTCAACCAAAATATCATGTTAAAGATTTCAATGTTTACTTTAGATAAGTCATAGTAAGTAGTGAATAAATAAAGAAGCCACTCCCTGAAGAAATGGTTTGATTTCCCCCAGATTGAAAGATTCCTTGATATTGTGGTTCAAATCAGCTTTATCTTGTCCATCTCAGTACAAACTATTGATGTTAAGGTAAGCAAACACATATAATCACATGCAATTAATTTATTAACTGTACAAGTTTATAAGATAGAAGCTGTATATTTGCAGCTAACATACCGAGAAAAAGTAAGAAGTAAAGAAAAACATGGCTTCAACTAACCTCTGATAACAACAGAGGATGTACACAACACACTTCCTGCTTCATTGGACACCTTGCAGGTATATAAACCAGCATCTGATTGCCCTACGTTCTTGATATGCAAAAGCAAGGTATTGTTTTTGAATGATATTTCACAGTGAGGACTTGAATGAACTTCCTGATTGTTTTTATACCAAGAAACAGTGAGAGGTTGAGAACCAGCAACACGGCCCTCAAGTTTAAGTTCATTCCCTTCTGTTTCTTCTACTGCTTCAGACAGTTTCCGAGTAAAAGTAGGTGGAGTTTTTCGTTCTGTAAAGAAAGAACATATGCATCAAACCTGAAATGAATAAATCTAAATAAATTATTTCAAGAAAAAAAAAATAACATTGGGGAATCAGTATTTGCTCTCATTTAAATAAGACTGTTTTTCCATTTTTTAGTGAGAGCAAGCCAAGATCAATAGCAAGTGTCTTAATCATACATTTGCTGTTGATTTTCCTACGTGCATAAAAGCAGCTACAAAAAACCCCACATCTTTTACATTGATCTAAGGCAACTGACCTTAAAAACACAAGATTTTCGTTGAGTTATCAAGAAAGAAATAATCCGAAGACAACAAAGAAATTAGTTTGAAGACAATATTATTTCTTTCCTTCTCCCATTGTTGTTAATGACCCTTCCAAATTCCCTCCAAAGACTTGTACGTACTTCCAGATAGGTGTTTTTGAGATGTATCACAAAAGTTATGCTTCAAGTTTTTTCTCAAACTTGTCCTGCAGCAATTAAGCTAGCTTCCTTTTCAATTAAAAGAAATGTACACACAAAGTATTATTTATTCAGTACCTTTAACATTCAGTTGTGCTGTACAAGAATCCTTTCCAACTTCATTGCTAGCATAGCATGTATACTTTCCAGAGTCTCCCCTGTCAACTCTCAAGATGGTCAAATGGGCTATGTTTTCTACATAACTGATCTGATAGTTTCCTCCTGTTCTAATTTCCTGGTTATCTTTTGCCCAGGTGACTCTAATTGGCTGTGTTCCAGAAATGTGACACTCAAAGTCAGCACTTTCTCCAACAATACCATCCACAGGTGTAATTGGGGTATCAAAGAATGGAGGAGTCTTCCCCTCTGAAGAGCAAAGGAAATAAAAAGCATCATGTTAACATCTCAATTTGCCATTGTAAACCTCCCTGAAATAAATACTACTATTTTTACAATATTAAATACATATATAAAGTAAAAGTGAGTTTTAAGATATTTCCATTCAATAATTCACAGCCCACAGACCTGTAAGGACAAGTTTGCCACTAGAAGAAGCAGTTCCAATAGCATTGCTTGCTGTGCAGGTATATTGCCCCATAAAGCTCTTCTCGGTCTTCAAAATCTGCAGAGTTGCTACATTATCTATGAAGGATGTGTGAACATTGTAGTCTTCTTTTATACGCACATTGTCTTTAAACCAAGATACTTCAATAGGTTCTGAACCAGCAATGCCACAATCAAATGTAACTGGCAAGCCAACAGTTTCATGAACATCTCTCAATTTTCTTGTAAAAGAAGGAGGAAGTTTACGCTCTGTAAGAAAACATGTATTGTACGGTGAGTGCTTTCAAAAGCTATGCAACTGTTGCAGTGTTCACCAGTAATCACTGATTAAGCGATTCATAAAATGCATTTCTGCTAATAACTTATCTAAAAATTTCATCCACTATATCATTTAATTTGGGAGCTGATGTATAAATACCACAGTACATCTGGTTGTAGGAAAATATACAACAATTCAGCCCTCAGTTAGCCTATTTAACACCCAGGACTGTCAGGCAGAAACCATCAGAAAAATTTCCTAAGTGTGTAATGAAGATGCAGAACCTCCTATTCCTACAGAAGAAATGGGATCAGTGAGAGATTAATTTCAATTTGTTTTAATGGAAGGCCTTTGTTAATAGAAGACAGGGTATCTTACTGGCCAGGAAAGAGCAAAGCTTTTAAAAAGGAAAAAGTAATCTTAGTTTTTGAAAGAGCAAATATACTTAAGAAGCGTAGGCAATTTTCCTAATTTTTAGAAAGAATTATTCACCTTGAACGGTAAGCAAAGAAGATGAAGTAGCTTCCCCAACAGTATTTTCTACTTTGCAGATGTACTCCCCACTGTCACCGCTGTCCACTTGGCTGAAGACCAGAGTGGCAACTTGGTTCTTAAAGTGCATTTTCACAGTAGCTGTTCCTCTCAGCTTTGTATCCCCTTTGTACCATGACACAATCATTTCTGGTGTTCCAGCAACCCGGCACTGTAAGGACGCAGAATCCCCAACAGTCACCTGCACTGGCTCCAAAGGTGTAACGAAGTAAGGTGGTTCTAAAGAACAAACACATGGTATTAGCACAAAAAAGAAAAAGAAAAAAAAAGGTATGGCACAGTGACTACTAGTGGTTGAAATAGCAGCTGATAAAATGATAGTGGCTTGATGACGCACCTAGTATTGTAATTGCACCATGACAATTATCTTGCCCAGAGTCATTTTCAATATGGCAAGAATACTGCCCCTGATCTTCCAGTTTGCTATTGGGGATTTCCAGTATGGCAGAAGTTTCTGTAGTGGTGATGCTACACTTTTCAGATTGTTTTAATATTACTCCATTTTTCTTCCACGTCACTGAAATTGGTGGAGTACCCGTATATGTGCATTCCAAGATTAAATTTTTTCCTTTCTCTACACTTAAATCATTCACCTTCATCACAAACTTCGCTGGTTCTATAACAAACAATAAGAAGAAAATAAATTAAGTAAAGCCATATTATTTCTATGAAGAAGTGTAAGAAATAGTCTGCACAAACCTTTGACAAAAAGATGTGTTGTGCAAGAAATCTTCCCTGCCTCATTAGAGACCTGGCACGTGTAGTCTCCACTCTGAAGTGGCTGTACATCAAATAGCTCCAATTCTGCAACGGAGTCTTGCAAGGTAATGTTGCATTTGTGTCCTGGTGCTAGCTCAACGCTACCTCTAAACCATTTGACTTCCAGTGGAGGAGAGCCTCTCACGATACTTGTAAATGTGATGTTTGCTCCAGATAGAACATTAAGTGGTTCAGGTTTCTTCACAAAAGATGGTGGCTCTAAGTATACAAATAAAACAGACAAAGAAGTAGTACTCTTGATCTTCTGATGAAGAGCATGTAACAAAAGAATTAAGACTTTTTGCAAACAAATAAGTGTATCTGATAGATACTGACCTCTAACACTCAAAAATGTGCTGCATTCATCAGATCCAGCTACATTAGTAGCTGTACATGAATAAGTTCCCATATCAGATTCCTGAAGCTCATTAACTTTCAGAGAACAAGTATTGTCTGTAAGGGTAGCCTGATATTTGTCTCCACTGGTAATCTCCTGTCCATCATGAAACCAGGAAACAAGAATGGGCGGTGACCCATAAACTTTGCACTCCAGAACAGCAGAAGAACCCAGCTGACCGTATGTTTCTTTCAGTCTTCTTGTGAAAGAAGGTGGTATAATACGATCTGTATTTGTTTAAAAAAAATAATAAAATAAATGAAAAACTATCGTACAGAAGCTTAAAATATAGAATGTTCTCTATGTATCATAAAATCAGTTCGATTTCTTTTACTGTACATACATTATCAATCTGCTCCTGCATGCCTATGTCAATGAGAAGTGGAGAGTTGATGACTAAGGATATGCTGGAGATTTTACTCACACACTTTTAAAGGGCAGGATTTTTTGTTTGTTTGTTTTTAAGTATTTTTAATACTAAATAATATTGCACCAGTTGTCTGAAAAAAGACGCTTGGATTAAAGGTGAAAAAATCAAATCCTTGCAGCAGTTCCTGCCCCTAAGATGTCAGGTAGGCATCTATCCCTGACTCTTGTCATCGTCATGTGCAAAAGAACTGAAAAATTATACAAGCAGTGAGTCTCCCAGACTGTCAGTCATAAGAAACAGTATGCTACATAAAGGCATTGTAAAGGAACTTTTGATCAGATATGACTCAAAAAGAGTAGACAACTAACCTGAAACTTGCACTGAAGCAGTGCAGCTGCTTTTACCAACACTGTTTTTCACCTCAAAAGTATATTCTCCACTATCTTCTAGTCCTGCATTGAGGATCTTAAGCCCAGATACTTTGTTGAAGAAACTGATTTTGTATTTATGGTCAGTAGACAATTCATTCCCATCCTTAAACCACCTAGCAGTAAGCTCTGGTGTGCCATCTACTGTGCATTCCAGAGTACAAGAGTCTCCAGCTGTAACTTTCACTGGGCCAGGCTTCTCTACAATGACTGCAGGTTCTGCAATGAGATGTAAGTCACAACATTTTAAAAAACAACAATGCAAGAGTTATTAGTACTGTAAAAATTGAAATTTTTTAACAGTGTTTTTTTATTGCTGTTGTTTTTGTTATCCCATGCTACCCACCGAGCACTGTTAATTTGGCAAAGCATTCCTGAAATCCGGCATCATTTTTTATCTGACAAATGTATTTCCCAGCATTGGCTGGCTCTGCATTTCCAATCTTCAAAGATGCAACGTTTTCTGAATAGGAAATCCAAAGATTTTCACTTTCTCTAATGATCTCCCCTTTGTCTTTTAACCACAGAACAGAAATGGGCTGTGCTCCTTCAACTGCAGCTTGTAGTTCAATTGTCTCCCCAACCACAACAGTGATATCACTCAGCTTCTTCACAAAGGTTGGTGGTGCTATTTAAGAGAAGATTGTAAAAATCACAGTCAAGGAAAAGCAGGAGGACAGTAACGGGAACAATGACATTCTGAGAAGATGCCAATCTGTATACAAACCTCTCAGTGTTACAGAGCCAATGCAGGAGTCACTTCCCACATCATTTACAGCTTTACAGTGATATTCACCAACATCTGCAGTATCCACATTGAGAATGTGAATGCTAGCAAGGTAGTTCTCAGACATGACCTTGTATTTCTTGCTGCTTCGAATTTCTCGCTTGTCTTTATACCATGAAATCTGGAATGGAGGTGTGCCCTGAAGCTCACATTCCAGATGAACATCAGACCCTTTCAAGGTCTGGACTGGATGAGGCTTCTTGGTAAAAGCAGGGGGTGCTGAAACAAAGGAGTTAAAATTTGTGTTATTTGAGCAGAGGACATTAAAGAGGAGAGAGTATTCAAGAAGTCAAACTGATACGGAATAAAAAAGGCAAACGATAAATAAAAGAGATCTCCCACAGCATAATAAGCAGGCAAGAGACTTTGCATCTTTTCCAACAGGTTTTGTCCCTTCCTATTAAAGAAAGTGAGATTTAACAGCTTTTCCACACGGGAGTACTCATATGGGCAGAAAGGCACGGGGAAGAACTTGGATTCTCACCTTTCACTTTCAGTGAGGTGCTGGTGCTAGCACTACCAGCTGGGTTCTGGGCTTCACAACTGTAGTCACCAGTGTCTTCAACACTGAGGTTGTGCATTTCAAGGACTGCCACTGAATCCACAAAGGACATGCTATATTTTTCACTTGGATGGATCTCAGTTTCTCCTTTGTACCAGGTAACTTTAATTTCGGGAGATCCACCTACTTTGCACTCATACCTAGTGGAATCATGTTGTTTCACAAGTCTTGAAGAGTCTAGTTTCTTAATAAACCTTGGCGGTTCTGGAAAGCCAAAAATGGGAGATGATGCTTTAAACTGCGCTGATTCTTTGAAAAAGCAGGTAAATATGTAACAGAAAATATAAACTTTGGGGACTTATGCAAACATTCTAACTTTGTAATTTCTATGTTATTATTATTAATTCAAGTTTGTCCAAAATGTATATTAGGTAGCAAACAAATTCTCTGTTGGCATTTCAGTTAGTTTCTCCTTATTTTACTTTCCCATTCTACTTCTCTTTCTATACATCCAGTTTAGATCAGCTGATGTGTGGTTTTCTTTAATAATATCCTCTTGCAATATGTGGATAATAAGAATGACCGTAGAAATGCAAGAATTCAAACTATTCAGCTAGGAATTATTAAGAGAACTTATGCTGAGTATTATAGCAACTGCTTTATAACCTAACAGGTCATTAAGAATTGATACAGTCAATAAATATACCCGAGTTAAAATCCTTCACACATTCATTGCAAAACCAAACATAAAGGTGCATACAAGGAAGAAAAGTCCAGGAGCTTAGGCACCACAAATAAAAGATGTTCAAAACAGTCATGCTGGGAAGAATTATGAGATGGTTGGTATTACTGAAATTGGTTATAAAGATCCTGTGACTGCACAGTAAACTAGATAGTTACATTCTTTTCTGTTAGGAGAGAAAGGAGCAGATGTTTGATGTTTTACATCAAAAGTAACACATGAATGATTCAGAATCACAAGACTCTGAATACTCCTGGATCAAAGATAGATGTAGTAGAATGATGAGGTGGTAATGTGGGTGAAACCAAGGGATCCTTCTACAGTTAAGTCCCTGTTTGAGCATCCGTCTGCAAAGTGTAGGAAGAATATCTGTTTTATTCTGGGTTCCTTCAACCTGTGGGATGTTTACAGAAGATCCTATGTTGTTAGTAACAAAACTTTCTTTGAGTTTCTAAAAATAGAGATGATGTCTTGTTAACACAAGAACTCTTGAAATCTCAGTAATTTACTATCAATTTTCACACTGATAAACAGATGATTGCCTGTCTGCATACTGGTCAGTTGCTGGCCAGTCACACTCTGACTGAATTTCTTTCCAAAAATGAGAACATAGCTTAGTAAAGCACATACTTAAAATGTTAAGTAGTTTCTAAAAGAGTTATTAAAGCTACAGATTTAGAACACTAAATCTAATTTAATTTAAAATTTAATTTAAAAAACTGGGAGATGCTGAAAGTCAGTTGGACACAAGATCTTGATTCTAGAAACAAAGCTATATATATCATAAAGATGAGACAGCAACTTCCCAAATTAAAAAAAAAAGGTAAACCAATTCATACATAAGATTACACTTCCAAGTACTGTAGGAATTTTATGACAAATTATGAGAAAAGAGAAAACCGCACAAATTCTAAAGAATGTAAGTAATGATAAGATTAAAAAACATAAAAGGATCAATTCACAACTTTGTGAATAAAGAGTTGCAGAGTAAGAGAATTAATAAGGTTAGTCAAGATCCTTCTATGAACAGTAACTTCAGTCAAAAGAACATATTAGTACTGTTATCATTCACAATAAGCAAAATTGTGATTCTGGTGCAAGCAAGCTTGAAACCTTCAAAAGAGATTTCTTTCTTTAAAAAGAGATTTCTTTAAATAAGATTTCTTGCTACAGTATTTCAATAACTTTTGTAGGACAATCTATATAAGAATAGAATCTCTATTTGCCACTGAATCCACAGGTAATGCAGTTTGCCACAGTCCTCATACACTCAGAGAGAAAAATCTGTATGGAAAGAATATGCTCCAGATCTATCTAATACTTTTGATGTGTATTTTTTACAAAATCTTAGTGGTGGTTCAGCTTCTTCTGTTATTTGTCTCAGAGTAGAAGTTACAGTATTTACTCTTGAAATGTTTGCATGCATATGTGTGCTGTTCTTTTCACCTCAAAGCTTACACAGAGGAAGAAAAGAACGCCCCTGAAACAACAGGGACATAGAAAGTCATACATCATTTAAGTAGTTGATTTTATGTTTGTCCTTTCATAAAATAAGCAGGAATAAGATATCCGGAACAGCTATAAATATAACCAAAGTTCCCACCTACATTAAGGAAATTACAGTAAGATACAAGTGCCACTTACACGGGGCCAGTTTTAAAATTAGACCTTCAAAAAATCATTACATCCACACACTATGTGGAGAAATGTTGGCAGAATGATTGTTTTGCCACCAAGTCTGCCCCTAGATTCTACAATTTTTCCTATTCAACAACAGTGGTTTTCAATGATTTTACTCTGGAAGAGTGAAAATATTTGCAGGAACTGAACACACATTAAAAAACACATTTAAGTCTCTTAGGATAATCTGCTTCTTCCAGCTACCGTTCCCTCTTCTAGATAAGTTAGTGAATGACATTTCTACAGAAAGATTTTAAAGCAGACAGCTTTTGCTGGCTGATGGGATCATTCATAAAGGCACAACGTGGTATTAAGTAAATTTTAACATTTCAGTGAGAGAATTCCTCTAGTAGGACTCACTGTATCAGACCAAAAGGAAGATGGATAAGCATTTAAATATTAAAATAGTATTTACATGAAATAACAAATCTCATTGTACCCTCTTGAAAAGATTGTTAGTCTCACATATGCACTATTCAGGGTGTCTACTTCGCAAATCAAAGTCTGCTGAACAGTAGAGCTCCCAGCAGTACCTTGTACAGCCAGCTGGGCGGCGCATGCATCCTTTCCAACACTGTTGCTGGCAGTACAGGTGTAGAGTCCAGCATCTCCTTTACCCACTTTTAGGACCACCAAGCTGGCCGTGTTTTCCACCAGCATCATCTTGTAGTTGCCACCTGGGCGGATCTCTCTGTTGTCTCTGGTCCACACAATCCTCATGGGTGCGGAGCCAGTCACATGGCACTTAAAGGTTGCCCTTTCCCCTAGTGCCACATCAATAGATACTGGCTTGATGTCAAAGAAAGGTGGTTGTAGATGTTCTGCAAAGAGGAAGGCATGGCAGATCTCACCATCAAACTTTACTACACACCTCACGATACCATGCCCATACTCCCTTACCACCATACAATGAGTAGAGTGCGAGAAAGAGTGAAGAAATAAAAGAGGAAATAGATACAAAGTATCTCTGTTTAAGAGCAAGATACAAACCTGTAAGGAGAAGCTTAGCACTGGAAGATGCAGTTCCCAGGGCATTTTGGGCTGAGCAAGTATATTGACCACAGTAAGCCATATTAGTTTGCAAGATCTGAAGAGTTGCAACATTATTTAAGAAGGTTGACTGCACATTATCGCTGTCACTTAAGAGAACCCCATCCTTGTACCAAGAGACCTGGATAGGCTCTGAGCCATTTATACGGCAATCAAAAGTCACTGGAGCACCAACAGTTTCCTGAATATCTTTCAGTTTCCTGGCAAATGTAGGTGGAAGTTGACGTTCTGCAAGACAATAATAATCACCACCATAAGTAGGAAGCTATCCTGTTAACCTAGAATTACTTAACATACAGAATCCAGTAAGAACCCCTTTTTGTAGACAACAAAGAGTTTTTACAAAATACCCCAGGAAAGAGTGGCCTTGGGCCCATCACCTTTAACAACAAGCAAAGCTGTGGTAGTAGCAAAGCCAACATTGTTTTCTGCTTTGCAGGTATATTCTCCAATGTCACTGTCCTCCACGGTGGAGAATGCCAGCGTGGCCACGTTATTCTTGAAGTGCATTTTGTAAGCCTGTGTTGATCTGAGTTTGGTGTCTTCTTTGTACCAAGACACCTTGATTTCTGGTGCACCACCAATCTGGCATTTTAAGACCAAGGGCTCGCCAATCTTCACCTCCACACGGTCCAGGTGTGTGATGAAATAGGGTGGTTCTAGAGAGGAAGAAGCATAGTGAGTAGAGGCAGAGCATCACTGGGGTACCCTAGGGGATCAAGGGTGGTACGTACCTAAGATAGATACAAGGCTGTGACAAATATCCCCACCCGCCTCATTTGACACCTCACAGGTATATTCGCCTTCATCACTCTTGGTGCTGTTGAAGATTTCAAGAATGCCAGATTTGTCAGTAGTTGTAACACTGCAGCGTTGAGACTGAGCTATTGGCATGCCATTTCTTTTCCAGGTAACAGAGATGGGAGGGGTACCCGTGTAGATACTTTCCAAAACAATGGACTTTCCTTGTTCTACACTGAAATCACTTAACTTCTTCATGAAGACTGCAGGCTCTGTGTGGAGGCACAGGTCAATAAGGTGAGGGACAAGTATGGCAGCGCTGCAGAGACACATCTATGCATAGACAAAACACACACCTTTCACAAAGAGTTGAGTTGTGCAAGAGGCACTGCCAGCATCATTTGTGACAACACAGGCATAGTCCCCACTGCTCCCTGGCTCCACATTGAACAGCTGCAGCTGTGCCTTAGACTCATCCAGAGAAATGGAGCAGGTGCTGTCTGGCACCAGCTCCCTGATGCCTCGGAACCAGGTGACTTTGAAGGGCGTGCTGCCCTTGATATGGCTAATGAATGTCACACTTGATCCAGGCAAAACTTCCTGGGGATCAGGTGTCTTCACAAAAGAAGGTGGTTCTAAGGTCACACAAAGAAGTGAAGAGGGAGAAAGATATTAATAGGAGATTTCCTGTTGGGGATGAAATCTAAAACAGGTTTAAAATAAAGAGAGTGCAAGGGAGAAACCAGAAAAAAATACACGAAATAAGAGATACGGTATAAAGAGGGAAGAAGCGTTTTGTAGAAGGGTCTGTGATACCCTTCCACTGACCTTGTACAGTCAAGAAGGCACTGCATTCATCAGATCCAGCCACATTAGTTGCCACACAAGTATATGGCCCTGTATCTGTGACATCCAGGGCATTCAGCTTCAAAGCACAAATGTTATCCAAGAATGAGATTTCGTATTTTTCCCCACCAACAATCTCATTCCCATCCTGAAACCAGGCCACAGACATGGGGGACGTGCCAGACACTTTGCACTCCAGCAGCACTGAGGATCCCAGCACCCCATTTGTTTCCTTTAACTTTCTTGAGAATGAAGGAGGAACAAGGCGATCTAAGTAAGACAGTGCAGAAGAAGAATAAGAAAAGTGCACGTTGGTTGTTTTTTTTTTCAGTGAAAACGAAAAAAATAAAACCACCCAAAACTCCTGTCTTTAAAAAGATAGAGAGCTGACCTGAAACATCAACTGAAGAAGTGCAGCTGCTGTCCCCCACCTCATTGTGCACCTCAAAAGTATACAAGCCCCTGTCACTCTTCTCTGCAGAAAAGACTTTCAAAGTAGATACGTTGTTGAAAAAGGTAATCTGGTATTTGCGGTCGCTCCTCAGCTCTCTGCCGTCTTTATACCACTTGGTGATAAGTTCAGGCGTCCCCCCTACTCTGCACTCCAGGGTAAAAGGGTTGCCTGCCATCACTGTGATCGGCTCAGTCTTCTCTAAGATGACTGCTGGTTCTGAAACAGGAAGGAAGGGGAAAATGCATCATCAGGAAATTCACCTGCAAACCACTAAGCAGAGGATAAAAGAAGCAAATAAAGGTGGTAGAGGAAACTGTGCAAGCCACAAGATATAGTACCTGTGGAGCAGGCTATACCCACCTAGGACTTGTAAAAATGCAGAGCACTCCCTCATGCCAGCATCATTTTTAATCTGACAGATGTACTTTCCAACATCCGCTCCCTCAGCACTGGCAATCTCAAGAGTTGCAATATTGTCCATAAACCACATTTGGACATTTTCACTCTCCCTAATAACTTCACCCTTGTCTTTCAGCCATACAACAGAAATTGGTGGAGACCCTTCCACCACTGCCTGCAGGGCTGTTGGCTCTCCAACGAAGATTGCAGTGTCACTCAGCTTCTTGGTGAAGCGTGGGGGCTCTGATGGTAAAAATGAGGCAGAGGAGAATTAATCACACATGCCTGCTTGAAAGAGATGCAGCCAGGAGATCAAGAAAAGAAGGCATTGGTATTGTTGATCCTTTAGCATACAAACCTTTGAATTTCACTGGGCAGGTGCAAGTGTCACTCCCCACTTCATTCATTGCCTTGCACTGATATTCTCCAGTATCTTGAGATTCCAGGCTGAGTATGTGAAGGCTGGCAATGGAGTGCTTTGCTGTTACCTTGAACTTCTTGCTGCTCCGGACCTGCCTCCGGTCCTTGAACCAAGCCACCTCAAAGGGTGGAGTCCCTGCTATCTCACACTGGAGGATAACATCCGAGCCTTTAAGTGTGTCCACAGGGCTCGGCACCTTGCTAAAAACAGGCGGTTCTATAAAAAAAAGAATCACATCATAACGTGTGAGACTGCTTCCCTGGGTAAGTTTCTGGATAGTATCAAAAGGCAACTTATTCAGGAAGGAGGCCTGTACTTCTTCTATTTAGTCTCCAAATACATGGCCTCTCCTCTAAAAAATGCTGAGCACATCTCTCCAGGAATTCATCCCAAGCACTCAGAGTCTCAAGGCCAATATGGCACTTCTGTATCTGGAATCAGAGCTCAGATCCCTCCCCCAGAGTCATTCTCCCCTCTCTCCAGGACCATATTCCAGCTTTCCCCATCTCTTTCCAATTATGAAAGTTACACTCAATTAGGTTCAGTGCAAAAGCCCTCCTCTTACTAGATTTCACTCCTGTCTGAATCAACGTATATGAAAAGGAGGCAGAGGGATGGCTGCAAAGTGTGTCCAGCTCTCTCACCATGGCTGGTGCTCCATCTATTCCATGCTTCTCTTCTGAGCTGGCAACCTTGCCTTATTCAGCTTGCAATTGACTTAAATGGGGAGGGGCAAGGGAGTGGCTACACAGCATTCAACACCCACTACCACTTTCTGCCTACTTTCTGTTGCCTACATCACATCACTGTTCAAATGTGAGAGCAGCTGGAGACACTGCCCCAGCAGCCAAAACTACCACGGTGGCATCTCCCTGCCTCGGTGTGCAGCTGAGAGTGGGATCAGGATTGCGGTGGTGTGTGGAGCCATGCTGCTGACCTTTAACGGATACTGAAGTGCTACAGCTGGCAGCGCCGGCAGAGTTTTGGGCTTCACATATATAATCACTGGCATCCTCAGCGCTGGCATCCAAGATAGTTAGCACTGCTGTAGACTCTACAAAGGACATGTGGAGCCTGTTGCTCGCCTGGAGTGCCTGATCATTCTTGTACCACGTGATCTTGATCTCTGGTGTGCCAGTGATTTTACATTCAAGTTGAACCGTGTCTCCCTGCCTCACAAACTGCAAAGCTTCAGGCTTCTTGATGAACTTGGGAGGTTCTGCAGAAAAAAAGTATGTAGAGAATGACAGCATGCATTTGCCACATGAAATCTACAATGCTGAGCAAAAGTCACAGGGAGCACAAGAGCACTGGAGTGCAACAAAGAAGGAAAGATGTAAGAAGGATTAAAGATGGCAAAAAGAACCAAAACTCGGTTTCGCCCACTCTGGAGGTGTAAAAGACACTTGAACGACGATTGTTCCACTCAAGAGAAATTCTGAAGTTACCTTTGTGGGGTGAAAATATTCCAAGAGCAGCACAAAAGTAGTGACAAGCCCATCTCCCCCAGGATCCTACCCCAGAAGCATCAAAAATGGCAGGTACAGTGGCACTTGCTTGCATTTCTTTAAGGCATATTTCTGCATGAAGAACTTAAGTAACTTATAGTCCAGGTTAAATCAGTAATTAACAACTCTAACTGAAATATGCAAGATAGTTGTATTTTACCATAGAATAATCACTACGCATGAATACCCCTGTAAGTGTAATTTAAGCACTAATGAAGAAGTAGGATATTATCACGTGCAGCTCTCCATACCAACAAAGAGCTTTGCAAAGAGATTTGTCCCTTTGGAGAATTGGCAGGGACACAAATTTTCTATTGGCACACAGTATGAGAGCAGCAGAGTCATCTCATGGCATATCTGCTTTCTGAAAAGCTCACTTCTATATATTTCCAAGCTGAAAAGGGTGGAAGATGAGGCTCACTAATAAAGAGGCCTCTATACCCAAGAGAAAGAGAACATGCAAACAAAGTTGGCTTAATCACAAATACCTTTCACAGTGAGTTGGGCTGAGCAAAAGTCTTTCCCAGCTTCATTACTAGCCTGGCAAGTATATTGGCCAGAGTCTCCTTTACCCACTCTGAGCACTCGAAGATGAGCTGTGTTTGCTACAAAAGTAATATTGAAGTTTCCTCCAGTTCGGATCTCCCGACCATCCTTGGACCAGGTGATTTGTATTGGCTGGGCTCCAGTAACATGGCATTCAAAATCAGCACTTTCTCCAAAAGGCACATCAATAGATTCTGGCTTAGTATCAAAGACAGGTGCTTGCTTGGGTTCTAGAAACACACACACACAAAAAAAACAATATAATGCTCATACAGCTCATAGAAAAGTTAATCCAAAACACAGATACCATTCCATACATAAAATGGGAAGGAGGCACCTGTGATCCAGGCAAAAGTTTTGTAAGCCAACACACCTGTCACTGTAAGCCTAGCACTTGTGTTGGCAGTGCCCACAGCATTAGTGGCTGTGCAGGTGTATTGCCCAGTGTGATTCATCTCTGTTTGCACCAGTTGCAACACTGCAACATTATCTACAAAAGACATGTGCACACTGTGGTCATCACTTAATTGCACACCATCTTTATGCCAAGTCACAGTGATGGGTTCTGAGCCATTGAGTCGACACATAAGTTTAAGGGGTAAACCAACAGGGTGTTCGATGTCTTTTAATCTTCTTGCAAAGGAAGGTGGTCGTTTGCGTTCTGGAAGAAAACAAGTAAAAGATAAATGTATGCCAAGAAGCAATTTTTTATATAATTTTGCTAGAGAAGAAGTACAGTAAAGAAGCATTTGGAACAAAATCATCACCTTGAACTGTTAAGAGAGCCTTTGTAGATGCAGTTCCTACACTGTTTTCTGCCTTGCAGATATATTCGCCGCTGTCATTGATAGCCACTTTGTTGAAAGTGAGGGAAGCAATGTTGTCTTTAAAGAACACTTTGTACTCAGGAGTAGACCTGAGTTTTGTATCACCTTTGTACCAAGACACAATAATTTCTGGGGTTCCAGCAACATGACATTGCAATGTTGTATAATCTCCAACTGACACCTCAAGAGGTTCCAATTGTGTAACAAAATAGGGAGGTTCTAAAAAGAGAAGCAATGAGATAGGCTCATTATATAGTGCCAGGCTTTTGAAAGCACATACTTCAAAGAATAGGCAAGAAAAAGAAGAAAAGGAAGAACACACCTAGAGTAGAGACTACAGCTTCGCAAACATCTCTTCCTGCCTCATTTTCAACATGGCAGGTGTATTCTCCTGCATCCTCTTTCGTGCTGTCAAGGATCTCCAGGATGCAGGATTTCTCTGTGGTAGTGATGCTGCATTTGTGAGACTGAGCGAGTGTGTGGCCATTCTTCTTCCATGTCACAGAGATGGGCAAGCTGCCCATGTATGTGCCCTCCAGGATGATGGGCTTACCAGGTTCCACATATTGATCACTCAGTTTCTTCACAAAGACAGCCGGTTCTAATGAAGGGTAAGAATTCAGAAGCGTTGAGCATAGCAGTTACAAATGGAAAGAAAGAAACAGTATTTTAGGGCATACAAAGAAATGCAATATTTACGAACCTTTTACTGTAAGATGTGTTGTACAATTTGCCCTGCCAGCTTCATTAGTCACTAGACAAGTGTATTCTCCACTTTGGAGAGGGGTTACATCAAATAACTCAAGCTCCACAACAGAGTCCTCTAAGTAAATATTGCATTTGTCTCCTGGCACAAGCTCACTGGCTCCTCTAAACCAGTTCACCTTAAAAGGAGGAGTTCCTCTGATAACACCTGTAAAAGTTACGCTTGTGCCTGGCAAGACATCCAAAGGCTCAGGTGTCCTCTCAAAAGATGGTGGTTCTAAACATATAAGAGAAAAAGAGAGATAAGGCAGTTGGTACAGCATAACCCCAGCATTTCCACATACCTACTGAAGTTAAAGAAGAAAACCTTTACTTTCTAGTCAGTAGTATCTCTCAATATGCTTACAAAAGACCAGAGGCAATTTTAAGAAAGAAAGAGAAAAGAGTAGCTCAGAGAGCTTGCTGACCATCATATACTGACCTTGGACAGTCAATACAGCACTGCATTCATCTGAACCAGCTACATTGGTAGCTTTGCAGGTGTAAGCTCCAGTATCTGAATTGCTCAGTGAATTCACTTCTAAAATACACAGGTTATCAGTAAATGTGATATTATGTTTTTCCCCACTAACTAACTTCATTCCATTTTGGAACCAGTCAATAGATATAGGAGGTGAACCCGCCACTTTGCATTCAAGAAGTGCTGAGGAACCCAGGACACCAGGGGTTTCCTTTAGCTTTCTTGTGAAAGAAGGAGGAATTATTCGATCTGCATAAAAAAAATATAATAAATCCATTGTTAGAAAGAAAAGGAGGAAAGGAATGGAATCAAGAAAAGAATATGCGAATAAAAGAAAGTTTTAGTAAAAGATAGAAGACAAACTACACAACCAACCTAAAACTTCAACCGATGCCGTGCAACTGCTTTTCCCCACATCATTTTGCACTGCAAAAGTGTACAATCCACCATCTTCTTTCTCTGTGTCCATAATTTTAAGTGTAGATACTTTGTTGACAAAAGTAATTCTGTATTTTTGGCTGCTGGTCAGTTCTTTGCCATCCTTAAACCACCCAGTGGATAGTTCTGGTGTGCCTGCCACTTTGCACTCCAAAGTACAGGCATCTCCTATAGTAACCCTCATTGGCTCTGCCTTCTCTACAATGACTGCAGGCTCTGGAAGGAGAGACAATTAACACGTGTAGTGAAAACTGGATATCAGTAGTAATATCTGCAAGCATTATTACACTGAATTCAGGGCTTATATGTTTGATACTAAGGTTGTCTCGGTTTGTTGGGTTGGGAAATATTTTCAACTCTGTTTTTCCATCTTTTAACCCACTCTAAACTAGATATTTCAGATGTTCTCCAACACGGAGAACAAGTATTTTGAAACTTCTAGAAGATAAACGCACTATCTGTCTTTCTTCAAGCATGCATGAGCAGAAGACATGGCTTAGGAATACAGACAACTGAATATCACAGTGAAGAGGCCTGTAGTTCCTTTCACTTCTATCCTTGGGCAACTGGAAAAAAGCAACCCAGCTAATATTTACTGGAGACGCAGGATTCTCTGTTTTGCCTGTTTTGAATTCAGCAGCATAAGCAAAGGATGCATCTGATACTAAATTACCAAGTTCCTAACTTAACAAAGATGTTCTATAAATTTGTGCTTTTTACAAACCTAGGATAGTTAAGGTAGCCATACACTCGCGACTTCCAGCATCATTTCTGATCTGGCAGATATATTTCCCAGCACTGCTTGTTTCTGTGTGTACAAGCTGTAAAGTTGCAATATTTTCCATAAATGTGATCTTTGTGTTTTCGCTTTCTCTAATAATTTCTTCCTTGTCTTTAAGCCACTGCACAGAAATCGGCTGGGAGCCCTCCACTCTTGCTTGGAACTCCACTGGTTCACCAACCACAACAGTCACGCTGTTTATTTTTGTCACGAATTTCGGCGGTTCTGGACAAGAAACATGCAGTTGTAGTAAATACAGTGTCTACAAAAAAGAGGAGCAATGTGGTGCCATTGGGAGCACTACAGAAGGCCGATATCTTACCTTTCAGCTTCATCGTGCAAAAGCAAGTGTCACTTCCTACGTCGTTCTGAGCTTTGCATTGATATTCACCAACATCTGCAACTTCAACGTTAAGAATGCGAATGCTTGTATGGTAGTTCTTTGCTGTAACCTTATACTTCTTACTACTGCGGATCTGTCTCTTGTCTTTGTACCAGGTAACGTCAAATGGTGGTGTTCCTGAAATCTCACATTCCAGGCTAACCTCAGTTCCTCTGAGCATGTCTACTGGAGAGGGCTTCCTGCTGAACACAGGAGGTTCTACCAAGGGAAGAAAGGATCATTTTTAGAAAGGAGTATAGAAATCTTTGATCAACAGTTTATTTATATAAGCTCTTCCACATCAAGATTGCTGGGACAACCAACAGAAGTACGACGACTTCACTCAATTTTCTGGGCGCATCATGAAAGGCAGGTGAGCTTTCAGAGCTCTGAGCTCCTTTGTAGAAAAGGTAAAAAAACAGAGGTGTGATCTTTGACAGAGAGGGTATAGGTCTCATAGTCTGTACTAGAGGGTGTAAAACTGACACTGATTAGTTTGGATCTGTTCTTCATAATTCATATTTCAGCTCCATAGTATAGCAGATCTACCTGTCTTGGGCCTTGGGGAGACTTGGTAGTCATGGGGAACACCTAGTCTAGTACACATCTGCATTACAAATAACTCTTCCTCAAACTGTGGAAGAAGAGGTGAGGAGATATTAAGAAAAAAAAAAACCAAAACATGAAGAAAAAGGTACTGCCTGAAATTAGAAGTGAATCTAATGTTTTTGTGGATTTCAAGGGGGGGGGGGGGGGAGGGGAACCACTAGGGAAAAATAGGATGTACTCAGGGAAGAAGACGACAGCTAACCTTTCACTGTGACTTTGGTACTGCAGCTGGCCTTGCCGGCAGGGTTCTGAGCTTCACAGATGTAGTCACCACTCTCGTCTGTACTGAGATGATTCATTTCAAGTACGGCCACAGAGTCGATGAATGAGGTCCGGAATTTTTCACTGGCAACAATTTCATGGTCGTTTCTGAACCACACTACTTTCATTTCTGGAGATCCACTTACTTTGCACTCAAGCCGGGCTGAGTCACCCTGCTTTACTATTTTTGTTGCCTCTAGCTTCTTAGCAAACTTGGGTGGTTCTAAAAAACCAAAAAAGTGGAGTGAGAAAGGTCTGAATACTGGAAAGGAAAGAGGATGGAAAAGAGCAAGTCAAACAAGCACGGGTTGCAAATGCAGAGCAGGGAATTCACTTGGCAAGGTATCAAAGATCACTAAGGTGGGCATGGCAGAAAGAAAAGCAAAGAAATAGACAAAAAGACTTCAAAACAGCAAGAAAATGTGCACACCTGTTACCATCAACATTGTAGTGCAAGAGTCACTGCCAACATCATTTGAAATATGGCAAGTGTAGTGCCCACTCCTAGAAGAATCCACTGAATAGAGGGTTAAGAACCCAGTTGACCCTTCAATCCCAATGAAACAAGTTGGACCAGATACAAGTTCTAAATCCTCTTTGAACCACTTTACTGTAAATGGTGGTGTTCCTTTTAGTGTGGCCTTAAATTCCACCGTGGAATCTGGGATGGCTTGCTGGCTTTCAGGTTTTACTAAGAAGCTTGGTGGCTCTGCAGTTTTTAAGAAAAAGAAACATTAAGTTATATCAAGAATGCCTAAGAATAAAGAAAATGAGTTAGTTAAGCAGAGGCACTGAATGCATAAGAGGTTAAAGATCCCAGCAAGAAAATGGAGACCAAGTTTCCAGCATTAAGAGGTATAAGAGTGCTACATTAGCATAAGATTTACAGGTTTTTCTCAAGAAAAAAAAAGTAGTCAAAGAGTTTCAAACCTTTCACTGTCAAGACAGCACTGCAAGAATCACTTCCGGCAATGTTAGAGACATTACATGTGTAATTTGCAGTGTCTGTCAGCTCTAGATTAGCAATCTCAAGTGACATGGTGTTCTCGTGGCACAGGCTTCTATATTTTGCACTGTCAGTTATTTCTTTCCCATCCTTGAACCATTTGGCAGAAATGGGAAGTGATCCAGAGACTTTGCACTCCATCTGAATAGAAGATCCCAGAACCGTATCCTTTTTGGTTAGCTTTTTGATAAATAAGGGAGGAATTGCTTGATCTGTACAACACAAAACATGGCAAAAATGCACTGGTTACTTTACTGCTTATCTTTCACAATCTACTTTTTTTTTTTTTTTTTTTTCACTCTCTTCTTGTTGGATTGGCAAATTTGCCAAATGACAATACAAACCTAGCACAGTCAGAATAGCTTCGCAGGTGCTACTTCCGAAGTCATTTTCAACCTTAAAACTGTATGTACCACTATCTTCCTTCGATACAGGTTCAATCCTGAAACTGGCCACATTGTTTTCAAAGCTCATTGTGTAATATCTACTGGGTAGAAGCTGTCTGCCATCTTTGTACCATTTTATTCGGAGCTCTGGTGTCCCCTCCACAGTACATTCCAAAGTCACAGGGTCTCTTTCAGTAACTTTAAGTGATTTAGCCTTTTCTATAATCCGTGCAGGCTCTGTGGTACAAGTACAAAATACAAATGTGGTACAAAAATGGTTGTTAGTGACACTGAAAAGTGACTGATTTTCAAGGATGAGCTTGAAGGGGTGCAGCTACACACCTTGCACAAAAAGCAAAGCAAAGCATTTCTCCACTCCAGATTCATTCTTTGCCTGGCAGGTATATCTCCCCCTGTGGCTGAGGTCGACATTGGTAAGTTTCAATGTGGCCACATTATTCTCAAAGGTAATGTGGTGGTGTTCATCATCTTCCAGTATCTTCTCATCCTTAATCCATGACACAAATAAGGGTTGAGCACCTGCTATGACACACTGGAAGGATGCGGAGCCTTTCAAAACAGTAGTAACATTCTCCAGTTTCTTGACAAAGGATGCTGGTTCTATGGTGTGAGGTTTTATTGTGTAGAAGGGTAAGTCATGGAAAGGGAATAAAGGAGAGATCACATAAGGTCATCTTAGTCACTGTACTTCAGCTAGTGGCAGTAATCTTTGGGGTACTTTTCAAGAGACTGACCTTTCAAGCTGAGCCTTGTGCTACAAGAACAGCTTCCAACTTCATTTGATATAATGCACTGATATTCACCTACATCTGAGGTGTCACAGTTGGTCACATTAAGAGTAAATATTGATTCTTTGGTGGAGATAGCATATTTCTTGCTGCTGAACATCTCCTTATTATTCTTCAGCCACTTCACCTCAAATGGAGGAGTACCAGTCACCTCACACTCAAGCATGGCATCCAAACCCTTTACTACCTCAGTAGGTCTCAACTCTCGAACAAATGTTGGAGGCTCTATAAAGAGGAAGATAGGGAAAGTGGATAGTAACCTTGGTAATTATGAGGGGAGAAATGGTCTCCCCCATTTCATCACTCTAGTTATGTTGCATAGCTGGATGATGACAAAATTTTCAAAACCAACCTTTTACTTTCAACTCGATGCTGCAGCTCTCACTACCTGCATCGTTGTGGGCTTCACAAACATAAATCCCACTATCCGACACTCTGGCTTGAGTGACTTTCAAAGTGGCTAGACCATCAATGAAAGAGATGCCGTACTTAGCTTCATCAGTCATTTCATTCCCATCCAAGTACCACGTGACACGTATCTCTGGTGTTCCTACTACATGGCACTCAAAAGTAGTGGACTGTCCTTCACGCAAAGCTACTACAGGGGTTGGCATCTGAATAAACCTGGGGGGCTCTAGAAGACAGACAAAAAAAGTGAGGTTTCATAACATTCAGTTTTTTGGAAATACTTTTCCAAAAAGTGTTTCCTGTCTCCTCCCCCTCATTTGTACAGAAAAATCAGAACAACAAAGACGTGAATAACACTGAGCTGCACACCTTTTACAAACAAAGTTGCTTTACATGTTGCAGTCCCCACATCATTGCTTATCTGACAAGTGTAGTTCCCAGAGTCAGACATCCTAGCTGAGAAGAGCTCCAGCACACTAGATGTGTCATCCATCCAGACAGAACGATTGGCTCCAGAAAGGAGCTCCTGGCTGTCTTTAAACCACTTTATCTGCAGAGGAGTAGAGCCTTTCACCAATGCTTTGAACTGAACCCTAGCATGGGGCACAACTTCTTGGGACTGAGGCTTTTCCACAAAATATGGTGGCTCTATAACATGGGGGAAAAAAAAAAAGAAAGAGGATTACTTTCTTCTAGGAAAGATCCCAAACTATGAATTAGAGACATAATAAAGAAAAGAAGGAGCTCAAACCTTTGACGGTTAAGAACCCACTGCATTGGTTGCTTCCTGCCTTATTTGTTGCTTCACAAGTGTAAGAGCCACTGTCTGTGCCTTCGAGTTTATTGATTTCCAGAAAGGCAGTATTATCATGGAAAGAGTATTTGTGCTTTTCACTTGTTGTTATTTCTTGACCATCCTTGTACCACTGGATACTTATAGGATGTGAACCAGACACTATACATTCCAAGTGGACAAAAGATCCCTTAATGCTGTCCATTTTCTTGAGCTTTTTGGTGAATTTAGGTGGTATAATGAGATCTATCCAAGACAGAGTAAAAAGACAAAGTATGAAATTCAACCATGGCTGTGGTAGATGTCAACTCAGAATAAGAGAAAGTAAACAAAACCAATACTAAAAGAGGTCATACACACCTAGGACATTGATGCTGGCAGAACAGCTACTTCTTCCAACATCGTTGTGAACCTCAAATACATATTCCCCACTATCTTTCTTTTCCGCATGAAGTACCTTTAAGACTGAGACAGTATCTGTAACACTGATCTTATATTTTGGGCCTAAAGTCAATTCCTTGCCATCTTTGAACCATTTGGCTGTAATATCTTTTGTTCCGGAAAATTTACATTGCAAGGTTGCTGGGTCTCCCTCAGTCACATCTATTGACACAGCCTTATCCACGATTGTAGCAGGCTCTATTTTAAACAGAAAGACAGAGAAGAGTGTTAAGGTAACCTGTAAAAACAACACTGGAAAAAAAACTGAGGTCACTGCAATTCAGAGTAGGACCAACCTTTGACAGTCAGCAGAGCAGAGCACCTCTGAATTCCTGCCTCATTTTTAGCCTGGCAGAAATATTTTCCATCATGTTTCAGTTCAATAGACTTCACCAGAAGAGTGGCAATATTGTTCACAAAGGTCATTTTGATATTACTGTCTTCAATAACTTCATCACTGTCTTTCAGCCAGGACACAGTGATGGGCAAGGAGCCTTTAACAGCAGCCTGAAACACGACTGTGCCCCCTCGAAGGGAACTAATGTTTTCTATCCTCTTCAAAAACTGGGGAGGCTCTAGCAGGAAGAAAGTGACTAAGTAAGTACAGGCCTGGTTCATGCTTGTGTGGCATGGCAACCACACTGGCACAAAATCACGCTTAGTGGAGTTTTCCACCTTGCACTAACCTTTCAGTGTGACCTCTGAACTGCAGAAACAGCTTCCCACATCATTTGTTACTCTACACTGATATTCACCAACATCAGATGCATCAAACCTGAAGACATGGAGGCTAATCAAAGATTTCTCAGTGCTTATTCTATGCTTCTTACTGCTCCGCACAGGCTTATCATCCTTCACCCAAAACACTTCAAAGGGAGGTGTACCAAGCACCTCGCACTCCAAAACCACATCAGAATCCTTCAAGACTTCCATGGATTGAAACTCCTTTCTAAAATAAGGTGACTCTATAGTGCAAAAGAGAGAAAGTGCAGTTTATATTAATCACACTCTGGAAACTTGTAGAGCTGCACAGAATTTGAAGAGACAAACTGGTTGAGTTGCTGGAAGTCACACACACCTTTGACTGTAACAATGGTACTGCAAGTATCTTTCCCAGCATCATTTCTGGCCTCACAAATATATTCCCCACTGTCTTCAGTCTCAACGTCTGTAAGATGAAGTACTGCCAAAGATTTTGTGAAAGACATCCTAAATTTGTCACTCTCTTTTAGCTCCCTGTCATCCTTGAACCATGTGATTTTAATCTCAGGAGTACCAGTGACTTTACAGGTCAGTTCAGCATATCCGCCTTTCTTCACCAGGTGAGCTGGCTCTAGCTTCTCCATAAAAGCAGCAGGTTCTGTAGGTTTAAGAAAAACGTTCAGTAACAAGAAGGCAGCAAAAAGTGCCACTGAAAGACAGAAAGACAGTAGGAATGCAAACCTTTTACAAACAAGTTTGCAGTGGATGTTACTGAGCCAGCTACATTGGAGACTTTGCAGATGTATTTTCCTGAGTCGTTTGGTTTGACTGCATAAAGCTCTAAGTAACTTGCTAATGCCTCTGTCATAATGTAGCAGGCTCCTCCAGTCATCAGCTCAGTATCACCTTTAAACCATTTCACTGTCAGTGGTGTAGTGCCTTTAAATGTGCCCTTGAAACGCACAGTCGATGCAGGCAGTACATCCTGGGACTCTGGTTCTGCAATGAAGCTGGGTGGCTCTAGATTGCATTGAAAGGAAACAATTGCCAAGAATAAGATAAACATCCTGCGTTCTGGGGAAGAAAATCATTATCTCACAAAAAGAAAAAAAATGCAAGAATTTTGAAACAAATTTCCAAACCTTTTATAAACAAAGTACTACTGCTGTCTTTGCTACCAGCAGAGTTTGTGGCTCTGCAAATATAAACTCCAGCATCACTTGCATCTAGGTGTTTTATTTCCAAAGATGCAGAGCCTTCTGCAAAGTGTACTGTGTACTTTGCGCTTGTAGTGATCTCAGTGTCCTGCTTAAACCAAGAGACAGTCATTGGAAGAGAGCCAGAAATTTTGCAGTCTAGACGGCACGAGGTGCTAATGATGCTGTCAATGTTCTTCAGTGGTTTAGTAAAGAAGGGAGGGAGAGTGCGATCTGTTGGGTATGAAAAAACATGAAAGAAAGAAATACATGAACAAAAGAGAAATACAGTTCTACTTCTCGCTCTGCTAGACTCAGAGCAGAATAGCAGGGATCTTTGCCAGAGCCGGTACCAACCTAGCACAGTAAAGCTGGTAGTATAAGAGCTGATTCCCACATCATTGGATATTTCAAAGGTGTACTCGCCACTGTCCTGCATTTCAGCAGCATAAAACTTGAGTTGGGCAACATTATTTTTAAAGCTGATCCTGTATTTTTTGCTGGCAGGTAGTGGCTTTCCGTCTTTGAACCATTTGGTTTTTAGCTCTGGAGTGCCTGTGACAGTGTACTCCAAAATGGCTGGGTCTCCTGCTGTCACCTGAATAACTTCGGATTTTTCAATGATTTTGGCAGGTTCTACAACAGAATTAAACAATCAGCGTTAAGGACAAAAGTAAATTGCTCTTCCTCTTAGGCGGGAGACAATGCAGAGGAAATGGCACTCCTCCACTGACCTTTAACTGCCAGTTCACCAAAACAGGACTGACTTCCTGCATCGTTCTCAGCCACACAAGTGTATTTGCCACCAGAGCTCAGCTGGACACCAGTAATTTGCAGTGTTGCTAGCCCGTGTTCAAATGTCACTCTCACTTTGTTATCATCTTGAATAATGTCTTTGCCTTTCATCCACATCACAGAAATAGGCTCTGACCCTTTAACCACAGCCTGTAACGTAACATTGTCTCCAGCCAGAGCTGTCACGTTTTCAATTTTCTTAACAAAAGAAGGTGGTTCTAGTTCAAAGAAAAGAGATAAAAAGAAATACTCATCTGCTACATCATTCCATGAAATCCGCTGCACAAGATGAGACAATGCGCACAGTATATGACACAATTCAGTTAAAGAGCAGGCGAAGGAAAGAGCTACATTACCCAGCTGGAAGAGTAATGCAGAGCCCTTTAAGCCAAGTGTTCTCTTTAAATTCATAGGTTTGATGTCAGGTAAGAGTTAAGATATGCACAGAGTTTTAAGAGAAGATACCCTCCTCTCCACCCACCCGCAGAAATCCAAAGACATTTTAAGAAATAAGAGGTTCCCTGCAGTGAGCGGAGTGTTCTCTCTCCCACTGACCTTTCAAGATATATGTTGCACTGCATATGCACTTTCCAACTTCATTAGCTATGATGCATTCATATTCACCAACGTCCGCACTATTAAAAGACGACACCTCCAGAGAAACAACTGCTTTCTGAGAGGTCAACCTGTATTTTTTACTACTGCGGATCTGTTTCTTGTCTTTGTACCAGCTAATCTCAAACGGTCCGGTGCCAGCAACCTCACACTGAAGAACGGTGTTTGTTCCCTTCACTACCTCTGCTGGTTCAAGTGTTCGGACGAAAGATGGAGGCTCTATAAAAGCAGCAAGAAATGATTAATTGCCCATGCCAAAATAAAAGGAAGATTGTTCTCAAGTGTGACTGTCAGCAGCACGAAGAACAGACCTTTGACAACTACTTCTGTGGTGCAGCTGTCGCTTCCAACCTCATTTACGGCTTCACATGAATAGCTTCCACTGTCATCAACCTTCATCTCCCAGATGTCTAACACAGCCACAAAATTGACAAAAGACATCTTGTGTGTATTGCTTTCAAGGATTTTCTTATTGTCCTTGAACCAAGAAACCTGGATTTCAGGAGACCCTTTGATTTTACATTGAAGCCGTGCAGAGTCACCCGGGGTCAGTAAATAAGATGGATCAACCTTCTTCACAAAGGATGGTGGTTCTAAAAATAGGAAGAAAAAAAAAAAAAAAAAAAAAAAAAAAAAAAAAGGAAGGGAAGAGGAAAGGAAGGGAGAAGAGAGAAGGAGGGGGAAGGACAGGGGAAAAAACGAGGTAGGGAGAGAAGGGGAAAGAAAATAAAAGAAGCCTGAAATACAAAGACTGGTTCCTAGCACCAGAACAAAATGTGACTTTAGAAAAAGATCAACACAACAAATGCTGAGCTGCAATTCTTGTGGTCTCTCTTGCCCTCCCCCCCCTCCGCCTCTCCCCCACATGCAGGAGCAACTCTTGGATGTGTTTAACAAAAGAAATATTGAAGCAACGCACAGTGCATTGAAAGGCAGCTGGGGAAAAAAGCAAGAGATGAGTGGAGCTGATGGAAGATCTGAGGGGAGTTCACAGCATTATTTCACCTCAGAAAAGAATTTGCCTGCAAAAAAAAAGAAAGCGGGACCCGAAGAAGGGAAAGGTAAGTGGGACCTAAGACTATCTTACCTCTGACTGTGACACTGGCTGAAGAGGAGCTGCTTCCTGCCTCATTTGAAACGGTGCATACATAATGGCCGGAATCCTTGAGTTTAGCCAGAGGAATTTCAAGTGAGGCTATTTTGTCTTCAAAGAAAATTTTATAATCTTTGCCAGGGGGGATTTTGTTTCCGTCTTTTGTCCACTCTACTCTTACTTTCCTATCTTCATCTACCTGGCATTCAAGACGTATCTTCTTATTGACTGCTGACTGCACTGATTGCAAAACTTTAATAAAGTGAGGCTTGTCTATAATAACCATTTCAGCCTGGCAAACGTCAGCCCCAAACTTATTAGAAGCTTTGCAGGTGTAAATCCCCCTGTCACTGGTGGTGAGAAGGGAAATTTCTAACATGTGCTTGTTTTCTACTTTGGAAATCTTGTAGTGGTCCGAAGATGAAATGGTTGTGCCGTCTTTCTGCCAGGCGACGTCAATGACTGGAGTGCCCGAAACGGTACACAGGAACTTGGCGCTTTTGCCCGCAAAAGTGGTGATAGATTCAGGTCTGGTAAGAAACGTTGGCGGAAGCGCTTCTGCAAAATAAAGGGGTTCATTGTTATGCAGAGATGGGGAACAGATTATGCTGTCTCCTCATTTGCCGGGGACAGAGAACAGAAAGGGCAGTCTGCCACAAGTCACTCTTAAACAAAAGAAGTCAGCAGCGAAGGAGATAAGAGATATTAAAGATCATGAATTTAAGCTTTTGGTTTTGTACTTGGATCTATATAATGTTCCAGAGCTTAAAGGCATTTTAGCTCTGGAGCAATGTACAAACTAAAGGAAATAAAACTGAAACCCAGAAATTCCTTTCCTAAAAATGACACATTTGTACATGATTCCCTCAAGATAGTCAAGTTTTCTTATGTTTCACAGTTTGCACATCCTTCTTTAGGCTCTAGCATCTGACAAAGACATCTTAGCAAAGATCAAAAAGACTCTTCCCACAAAAAGTCAGAGTAAAAAAAAATAAATAAATAAAAAATAACCAAAAAAGCCCGCAAGATGCTTAAAAAAAAAAAAAAAAAAAAAAAAAGAGAGAAAAAAGAGAGAGAGAGAGAAGATAATTGCAGAGTTATCAATAGATTTAAAAAAATAGTTTTGCAAATTGTAACACCGTTGAACTGTCTTTTGTTTGTTTAAGAGGACCCATCCCCCATCACACAGAGTGCGGGTGCCTTGGAAACGGCACCCGCACGTTCAGGTAAGTGCAGCTGTGTAGTCTGCCTCACAAGTATGTCTGCAGGATAAATGTAAGATACAAGGATAATCACACTACCTACTACACCAAAGAAGTCAGATTTAAAATCGTATGTTTGCTCATTGTCTGCAAGTGAAATAAACCTTCAAGAATGTTATCACAAAGCAATCCCATTCTACTGACAAGCTAGTTCCTTCCACTCTTTTGCCACTTTGTATTCTCTCCTGAAACTTTTCACACTGGTTCTCTTTTCTAGGTACAGAAAGCATCTAAAAGAGCATTTTTGAAAATCACTTTTACTTGTCAAGATTACGTATGGATTACACATAACAGTAGCAATCAAGAGCCTTACCGTAAATGTTTGCGAGTATACCAGGGTAACCATTTCAAGATATCAAGATATTTAAGATATTGAATAAAAAAAGAAGTGCTTGGGACTCTGTACTTACCAGTTACTGTTAAAAAGGCTGTAGAGCTTACGCTGCCATGCTGGTTGGAAGCCTTACAGCTATACTCTCCACAGTCAACAACCTGAGGCCTTGGGATCTCCAGCGTGGAAAGGTAGTTGGAGGAGCGAATTGAGTATTTGTCCCCATCATAGATCTCTCGGCCAGCTTTGTACCACTGGAACTTGACATTAGGAGTAGTTTCTACTTCACAGGTAAACTTGGCCACGTGGTTTACGGCCACCTCCAGAGGTTCAAGCCTTCTTCTCAGGATTGGTGCAACTGAAACCAGAAGCAGAGATTAATTCAAAGCCATGCCCACTATAACTGTGAAAAGTAAGTGAAGGCACTAACTGAAACAAAACATGTGATCTTGCAATCCATATAAGATATAAAGGAAAAAAAAAATCTGTAAGAAATGAAAGTAGTACAATGTTCAGTGGACAGATTGCAATGGTGCAGAATAACATCAGGAAACACAGTGGTGAAACCACAAAAGTGATGTGCAATAGCAACATGTAGTAATAATGCAATTCAAACATATACCACGCCATCTTGGAGCCATGCAAAGTGACAATGTGAATAAGAAATTGTGCCAAAACAGGGCAATGATCTGAAGATTGGATGCAGTAGTGATGAAGCGTAAGAGCAGATTCACTTCCTGGGTGACAGTGGAATTAAGTGCTCAGGACTTCAGTGCAGTTCATCCTGATCTTGGCTGCATACTGTGGAAGTGAGAGACTACAATGTGGTAAAAAAAAATCATGAATAAAGAGAGAAAGGAGACCCTCTGATTAGTGCTGTGATTGTATTAGCATTGTATCTGTATCCAAAGATACAGATACATAATGGGGCAATTTCCTTAGCAGAGCAGTGTATTAGAAAGGTGGTCTTTTATCCCCATAATCCAACCTCTTTTAACAACTGTGAGCTTTGCTGTTGTTGTTCTTTTTCCACCTTGATTCAGTGCCTCACAAGTGTACTCTCCTTGGTGGATCTCCCCACACACTTGGCTGATCACTAATTTGTATGTGTCTTGATCTTGCAAACACTTGAATTTGTTGCCTGAAGACACCAGTTTACCGTCAAAGTACCAATTCACCTCTCTGACATTTGTTATGACAGATACCAGAGTGACACTCTCCCCTTCCTCCACAATAGTGTTAACCAGCTTGCTGTGTATGATAGGGTAATTCTCTTTACTCAGCTCATCCTCCAGATTCACACCTTTAGTTGCCAGACACTCTCTGCCCTCCTCCTCATGTATTTTTTCCCTTTTCTCCTTCCTTTTCAGTATTTCTGTGGGTTTCTCAACAGGAACGCCTGCAGGGGCTACATCAGCAGTGGCTGCCGCTGCCCCCACATCCTTGATTTGGCCATGTTCCATCAGAATGTTGACTACTTCAGCAGACAAAGGCTGTTCCAAGGGTATTTCTGCCTCTATAGTTCTCTCAGCCTGCTGGGGCTCCAGCTCAGAAGCTTCATCAATGGATTTTTCTGAGTTAAGTGAATGAGGAGGGCTTGGCAATGCTTCAGATTTTTCATCTGTCAAGAGGTGCTTTTCTTCATAAATAAGAGAATAGAAAGCCTCCTTTAATACTTTTTTCTGGTCAGCTATCTCAATGTCGACTTCTGCAAGAGAGACTGGAATTTCAATGGGATTGAGTCCTCCTGCGGTCACAACATAGGTGCACAAGGCATATTTATGTTCCTTGGTGATTTTTAGTGCCTGCACTTCAATGCTTTCTTTATCAGCCAACCACTCTGAAAACAAGAGGTTTTGCTCACTTACCACTGCAGCTTTTAGTGCATCTCTGATTTGGGACTTTATATCTAGGTGACAGCTCTTGGGAACCTGATAAGTGAGCTGGCTCTCTTTGGTAAAGGCTTGGCTTGTCCAGAACTGGCTAGCATACATCATTTCACAGGGCTGTCTTCCTACCTTGGAATACTGCTTAAGTGGGCTAGCAAGACTGATAACGTGTTCTTCCTCCAAAGGCTGGTTTTCTTCTAGTAGCAAGGGAAATCTCACAGCCTGTCCCTCACGGATTCTTGCAGCAAAATCTTCCTCTGCCGCTTCCAGGGCAGAAATGTTCTCCAGGGGGACAGCATGACCCTCTGTGCACGTCAATTCAGAGGGAAATCTGGGTTCAGCCTTTAGCTCTCCTTGCATTGCCTGGAAGCCTTCTACGACTTGAAAGTGGTCACCATACATGACATAGCTCTCAGTGGTGCTTGATACCTGTTGAAAGGCTTGGGAAACTTCTGTCTTCAGAGCAGCCATCTGTTCTAACTCCTCTGGGATGACTTGCTCTTTGGGCAAGAACATCTGTGCAGCCACAGTTCCAAGGCAGCCTGGCAGTGGTGTTTCAGTTGCCACTTCAGGTGAAACACTTTGGGGGCCACCAGGGAGGGTCTGCACCAGCTCCGCCAGAAGCTTGTTGTTCTCCTGCGTTGTGGCTGCCTGGGTCAGCATTTCTTCAACACCCTGCACAGCAAGGCAGGTTGGTGGCAGGCTAGGTAATATGCCCTCCTTGGGCAGCATGTGCTCCATCTGGCTCATCTGGAGCTGGAGGAGAGCCTGGGGTTCCCTCATGGGCTCAAGGCTAAGGGCTCTTTCTGCAGTGGGAAGCTCGCTGGCCTCCTCATAGGACGTAGGACTTTGGTCCTCTGTCACCATGGAGTGCTGCAAGGCTGGACTCTGATTGCACACAAGATGCTCCTCAGGCAGCACAAGGAGCTCAGCAGAGCATACAGCCTCACCCAGTGAATTCACTGCTCGGCAGATGTACAGCCCAGTGTCCTCCTCAGTACACTCCTGCACTGTCAGGGAGCCTGAGCCATCAGGATGGTGAGCCACAAAAGAACGTGCATCCAAGAAAAGTTGCTCGTTCCCCTTGAACCACTTCACATCAGGGCATGGCTGCCCAGCTACAGTGTACTCAAAGACAGCGGTGAAACCTGGTGCACACTGCACACTCTCTGGTACCCTGGCAAAGCAAGGGGCCCCTTGTGCCCGCTGCTGCACGTGGAGGTGGGCACTGCACGTGGCCTCACCGTGCACATTGCTGGCTGTGCACGTGTACTTGCCCTCATCCTGCATGCCTGCATAGGGGAGGATGAGGCTGTGGTCATTTCCAGCAAACACTAATTTACAATCTGTGGAGGGGGTTAGCTTCACACCATTGAAAAACCACTGGATTTTGGGTGTGGGGCTTCCAGTAACAGTAACAGACAGCCTAGCTACATCTCCCTGCCAGACTTCAACATCTGAGACCTGTCTGAGGAAAACAGGTGCACTGCCCCCCTCCTCCATTTTCTGCTTGCTTTGACTGGAGTAAACTGGTTTTTCAGACTCAAATTCAAGTGTTTTTTCTCTATCGGGCAACTGAAGGCTGCTGCTGTAGCCTTCACTTCTTCCTTCCTCAGAAGACACAGTAAGAGAACTAGAGATGTCTGTATGGAAAAAAAAAAGTTTAGTTTTACTAGAACGTTTAAGTAAACACTTAAAACAGCAATAAGCAGCTAAGAGTAACCTACAGCTGTGTTAGTGCTGTATACAATACAACTATTTTTGTATATCTGGAGTGTTTCTTACTACCATACAGCAGGTACACAAGGTTCTCCTTCTATCAGATACTTACCATACACAGCAACCCATGCTGTGCGGTCAGGTTAATTAAGAACTTGCCATATAGATTAACGTGGGCATCTCATTAAACTTGACATCACAGTATGGTTTAGACATAATCTCATGGATGATTTAGCAAACACTGAAAATAACAGTCAAGCAACAGTGGCGCATTTCACAAATACAGTGGTATGAGCCTTATTTATAGGCACACGCATACAAATAAATAGAACAGCAGTGCTAAGGCCCTGATTAATTCAAAATACCAAGAAAAAGCAGAATGTCAGATTCCAAGCTGGAAAAAATATAAGTTTTCAGCACACCAGCTCTTCCTCTGGTATAGTTACTTAATCTCTTTCAACTCTTGCATGTAACACAAGAAACTTCTGCTCCCTCAGAAGAATTCTGTTTTTATCAAAAGAATCTTTAAGTTTAAACACTGTTATTGCTAAAATAATGAGTTTGCATTCTTGCTTTACTGTCATTTATTTGACTTTCTGCTTTTAAGTGGCACAACTCTGCATATTAAAACTCCTATAATACCAGAAAAAAATAAGAGCACTTTGTTTTTTCTTCTTGCTGTTGTGAATTTAGACCCTTATGTGATGGACCACTTAGTTCTAATGGTGGTTTAAAATGTGAGGAAACAAATGGAGGAAAGAATGTGTTGTCCTCACATTCTTGACAGCAGAAACATCACTGAATTCTGAGGTTTCTGGGAATGGAACAAGATATCCAAGAAAAGCACACAAAAGAAAATCTTTAGAAATCAGATATTGTTGTCCACCCAGAAACAAATTAGCTCAGTTGTTGCCCATGATATTTGATGTTGGATGGACACTGAAGTTGTTAAAAAAGAATGAAAGGAGTGGATAAATATCTCCAGTTATTCTAATGATGAACCTTGATAACTTTTCAATTACAGCATTTTAAATTCCAAAATTTATTGTGAAATAATAATTTTTGCTGTACTCAAATAACAACTATGAAGAAGAACAGAATATGCCATACCCAATTCTTTCACATTAGCTCTAGCAATTATTAACCTTTCCACAAATGCCAAAGTATACATGATATAGCACTATGCATGGTGACTACCTGAAGAGAAGAGATGCTTAGATGAAAAAGAAATTACACCAGTCCTTTAGTAGAATCTAACAGCCTTGTAAAACCTGTAGGACAGCTTCCTTGAAAATTCAGTGTACTACTAAATTTGAAGATGGACAGCTGACCTGGGCCATGAGAAAACATAAAAATTGCAGAAGATAAATTATAACAACACACGAGATGGCTTTATACACAGGAATGAAGAAAAAGTTAATGCATTTTGGTTTTGTTCCTGTATATTTATGCCAGAAAAAATACACTGATTTTTGTTTTTTTCATATTGTAGCTGTCTCTGAAATGAATAAAATACAGGAAGCAGTGGACTTAAATAGTTTACATATTTATTTCACAAATTAACCATACATGTTAACATACAATACACATTGACGACAAACATATGTAATCCATCCTTTTTTTTTTTTTTAAAGATACATGATTTGTGAAAATGAAGAGCTTAAATTTGACAGTGAATTCATGACTTTTTAAAAAATTCCTATGAAGGTACAAGGAGGAGAGGTGGTCAAACACGGCACAAGGCTATACCAAATATCACAGAGGAAGCTTTCTCAAACTAAATTTTTTCAGATTTCCACTGTTGTAGCACTGGTTGGATCTTTATAAGCACACCATAGTGCTCCTAGCCAATTTATGAAACTTAAGTCCTTTAAACATACATAAATCACAAACAGTACTGCACAAGTAGACATAAATATGCCCTGCCTTATGTCTCAGATGTGGACATGAACTGGGACTTGTTTGGGTACAAGGTTTTGAAGCAGGATCATTTTCTACTAAAAATTTCAGTTCATGAATCTGCAAATTAAACACAGGTCACAATCACTTGGGACCTAACCAAAGGCTCTCTGACCTCATTGGCTTTGGACCTGAAAGACCCTTCATGTCACAGCTGACACAGAACAATTCATCCCACTTTTCCTAGGGACCTCTGCTGCCTAATAATCTATGCAAGGAATGGATAAGGACACATCAAGAAACAATTAACACCATCACAATGTTGGGTCAGACACTCTCCCTTCTCTTTCCTACCACCATTATCTATGAGAAATTACAATTGCCTCCACCTACTAACAACATACTTAAATATTTATTACAGGGTCATGACTGGGAAGAAAATTAAGTGACATGATTATACTAGCCTAATCACTCCAGTCATTTTCTCCACATGCTGGGTCATTAGAACTAGCCACTCCTGCAAGTCATGTTTATACTGTGCAGCACAACTGGGCAAAATGAATCTTCTGATCAAAAATTACTATAAACGATGGAATAGTTTTAAAGATTATTGAGGTTTTGAGGCATATTGACCTCAGTGTGAGAATGCACAGAACTCAGAAATAAGAACAAGCATGACCATTACTGAATATACTACAGGAATAGCTTTCTCACACTTAAAATCATCATGCTCCTTGAAGCAGTTTGCAAGGCAACTGACAGTAATTTGTAAATAATCTGATTTTTCACAAAATTAAAGTAAAAATAATTTGTTGTAAGGGTTCTTAAACTTCGGTTTCCATGCTGGCATATAGGCACCTGTAAAGCTGGCACATGCATTGGCACTATTTAAATTCTGCTAAATATTAATAACTTTAATACTTTTAACATGCTTGCTCATTCAGTTTAGCACTGTTGATCTAAGATTAATTCAGTTCTGATTTAATTATGTGAACTACTGCTGACTCCTCTTCCTAAATGTTAGTATTAGTTTAAATACAAAAATATATATTCATACTGAGAACGATAATGTAAAAATCTCTTCTGCTGAGAAAATGCCAAAGATAACTGAATACATTTTATTTATTTCTGGTCACCTTGAAACACAGCACTCTTATCTGTTACAAATAATTGCTTTTTTGAAAAAGGAATCTGTATTCATTTCTAATGCCTAACAAGAATACTGCATAAAATTTGTATTTTAATACTACATATATTCAGTGAGTGATACTGGAATACGGGGACAACAAAAAAATTATATTAATGAATTTACAGTTACATAATTGATGTATTATGCTCCCTTTCCTTTCTCTTTAACTTTTAAAGATACAGTACAAAATAGATTTTTATGTTTATTACTTGGTAATAGAGTAAAAATCCTGTCCAGTCCCTACTAAAGCAAAGAATTCTCTTCCCATTGTATTAATTTTCTTTGCTACAGAGTAATCCAATTGATATAATTAAAAAAAAAATCAGATACAACAAAGTCAGTAGAGTGAAGTTCATGGTAATACTAGTTTTGCAATGATAGAAACTGTAAACAGGATTTGAATTATACTCACACTGTCTGACACAACATTGTGAGAAAGGGGTGTATCAGCTTAAGGTGTTATTTCGTGGAACTATGTCCAAACTAAAAAGCAGGCCAAAGTTAGTATTGTATAACCATTAGTCTACAAGAAAAAGGCAATTTCTACATTTTCAGGTGATTTCCAGCCTATGAATTACAAAAACAATAGCACTAGTACAGACACAGGGCTATATACACTATACAAAACAAACAATTCCTGCATATGAGTGTTAATTGAAATATCTTTACAAGAATGAGTAAGGAGCTCGGGAGGAGTCTGAAATACACCTCAGTTCAGAAAGTATACACAAAACTTATTCACACTGCAAATCTCACTTAAATTCCTCAACAAAAGCAAGTTTAAGTGAGATAGAAATATGCCCACATGGGGTGAACTTCATCCCTAAAGAGATGAAAAACAATGCCCCTAAAATTACTGTTGCATTTTTACCTGCAGTGAGTAACAGCATAAAACATTTAGTGTTTCAAAAGAGACTCTGAAATAAGTTATGGAAATTCAGTACAATGTTAACAACGCGCAAGTCTCAGCAGTTCCTACCCTGTTAATGGCTATACATTTGTATAGCCCACTGTCACTTTGCATCAAATTGTCAATAGTAAGGCTATGAAAACCGCCTTCCTCTTCCTGCATATAGTACCGGTCCCCTTCCAACAACATCCCATCCTTGTACCAATGGACACTCGGGTGAGGGGAGCCAGTTACGAGACACTGGAAACATGCTGATGCACCAACAAATGTACTGTAGTCAGAAATGAGTGTCAGAAATTTGGGAGGAACTTCTGCAACCTGGAACTCAAAGCTGCAGCTCTCCACCCTAGACTCAACCTCTTTCTCTTGGGATGGCCCTCTGGACACATCACAATTAATGCTGACAGTCTTATCCCCTTCCACTTCATGCTCTTGTTCAGTCACCTCAGGTCTCCCAGAGTCCTCAGCACATGGCTTAAACTCACACTCCATCTTTACTTCTGACCATTTTTCTGACGTCTCAGCCTTACTTAAAAGCAAGTCACACTTCTCAGGCCTCTCTGGTTCACTGCCCATGTGTGTCTCACTGCTTGCCATAGCACTTGCTCCCTGCAAGTCACTCCCTGTGACTATGACAGAGCCTTTACACATCGCTTCTCCAAGCCTATTGATTGCCTGACAGTGATACCAGCCACCATCAGAAGGACCTACGTTAAGGACCTTCAGGCTGTGAAGTCCTTCTTTCTGACTTACTACGTACTTCCCTGCAACAGGTGTCACACAGGTGTCACCTCTGAACCACTGCACCACTGGGACAGGCGTCCCTGTTACCACACATTCGAAGACTGCCTCTGAGCCTTCTGTAACTTTCACATCTGTAAAGGGCACAGCAAAGCGGGGAGGCATTTCAGTCACTTGGAAATCAATTTTCACATCCTCATTCTCCTCTGAGGCAAAGCCTGAAACTTGTTCCAACAGGGCAAGTGGGAGCACATCCAGGGAGACAACCATGCTCTTCTTATCCGGGCTAAACTCTGGACTTGTTATGATTTTGACCTGCTTCTCAAACTCTCTCACCTCATTCTCATCCAGCTCCACTTCCAGGAGGATTTCCTGTGGTGAAGGTGACCGTGAGGATGTGTTTTCCTCTAGGTCAAACTGTATAACATGCTGGTGGGTCACAGGGGGTGGCAGTGCTAGTGATCGCCCATCTTCAGGCAAAACTTCCACCTGGGCAATGCTTTTAGCTTCCCCAACAATGTTTACTGCATGGCACAGGTACTGTCCTTCATCGTCTTTCTGAATGTTAGTGATCTCCAGCACACACTTGTCCCCATCCTTCTCTACCCGCACTCTCTTATCCACCTCCAGTAGGGATTTATTGTGATACCACTTTACTCCTGGCTCAGGCACACCTACCACCTCAGCCACAAAACTCAGTGTGCTGCCCTCATACAGCCTCCTCCTGCTTAATGCCTTCAGGAAGGCGGGTGGCATCTCATTGCCTGATGGCTCTCGGGCTTCACGAGGGGTCCTAAACACCTCATCCCGTGGTGGCTGCTCTGGAGCCCGATACCTTTCCTCGCAGGGGGGAAATACTGCCAGGGCATCCTTATATTCCCCAATGGGTGTCCAGTAGCTCTCTGGTGGTGTGATGTCCCCTGATGCTGAGTGAAGTCCCTCAAAGGGTGTGAAGTAGCACTCAGAGGATGTGTTATGCTTTGAATCACCTGAGGGTGTGGAGTAACGTTCGGGTGGCATGCTGTAGTTTGATTCCTCGGATGGTGTGGAGTAGCGCTCAGGTGGTGTCCTGTACCCGGAGCCCTCAGATGGTGTGGAGTAGTGCTCAGAAGGTGTGGACTAGCGCTCAGGTGGTGTTCTGTACCCAGAAGCCTCAGATGGTGTGGAGTAGTGCTCGGGTGTGCCGAGTGGTGTGTGGTAGGATGCTGATGAGGCAGTTTCAAAGATCTCCACTGAGGAGGGAGGTGTGTAGAAGCGGTCTGAATCAGGTGACTCCTCACCACTCCCACTCTCCAATTCTATAGATATTTCTGACTCAGGAGAGAAGGGCCGGATCAGCTCCTGCTGGTTTTTGTAATAGTCATAAACTGCGCTGAAGGTAACCTCCTCCACTTCCAAGGAAGTGATGGTTTCTCGCTGTTCCTTCTGAACTGTGCCTTTGATATTTGGAGCTTCCTGGATCCCTGTTGACCTTAAATACTTAGCCAAGGATAAACCAGGTTCTGGCTCTGAGACCTGATCAGCACTGGGCTCTGGACCTGCAGAAACATCTTCCCACTTTTCTTCTCCATCCAGGCTGTTCTCAGAGGCTTCTGTAGTGGAACTTCTCTTCTTGGCCCAAGAGTCCTTTTTTTGTTCCTTCTGTGCCACAGAATTATCCACTGTTAAACCAAGTATGAGTTTCCCAAACGAGAAGTCCTTTGTTCTGTTTGGTTCCTGCTGGGTGTCCCCAGGCTTCCCCTCGGGGGAACCTGTGCTTTCTATCTCACTAGTGGATAAGCTCACACTTTTTTCAAAGACCTTTTCTATCCTGAAGCTGCCTTCCTCCTCTGCCTGATGCCAGGTCTGCGGTTTCTTCTCCTGTGCAGCTTTTTTCAAGTCACTGATGAAGGTGTCACTCCCGAATTCTGTTGGCTCCAGTCTCTCCTCACTCTCCCTCACATGCATTTCTTGTACTGTTCTTTGGAAATCTGCAGAGGACTCCAACAGATAACTGTGAATCTGTCCCTCAGGTGAATCCCAACAAACATTTGCCTCTGATTTGTGAATTTCTTCAGCAGATGTCCGCTCTTCAGCAGATGTGATACTGCCAAGGTTCCCATTAGAGATTTGCAAATGAGGCTGCCTGATTTCTTCCTGAGCACTGACTTCCTCCTGCTGCATACCATGACTTGGACACAGAACCTCACTCAGAGTCATCTCTTCCACAAGCACTTCACATTTGTGCACAGGGGAGATGAGCCCAGCTTCTCCCACCTCCACACTCTCTAAAGCTGTGGGAATTTGCACCTGCTTTGTGTTTTCCTCAGCTGGAAAAGGCTCCACAAACTTCTTCAGATCAAATATGATACTGGTCTCATCAGTCTCAGATGGCAGTAACTGCTCTTTGAAATGTATGTCTGAATGAACCTCAACTTCTTCAGTAAATTCCTGACCTGAATTTTCTATGTCAGGAGGAGGAAGAATTAAATCCAAAGAGTAGATGTCCACATCAGACTCTCTTTCTTGCAGTAGCTGTCCATCAATGTTTATTTTATGTGCAGCTTCCCCAGCATCAATCAATTCTTCCTTATGAAGATGGTCATCAACGTCAATGTCCTGTTCAATATCTACTGATCTCTCTTGTTCCTTAGCCCATTCCTCCTGCTGCTCCTCTTTTAGGAGACCTAATGGGTCTTTTGAAGGTGTGCTATTGTCCAGTAGGTGGGGCACACTTGGCTCGTCAACAAGAGACATGTCAGAAGCCATTGCCTCCCAAGCAGAAGCATCACTGTCCTCCAAGTAGTTGTCAGTCTCTTCTTGCATCAGTGCTGATATAGCAGCAGAGAACTTTAGATCCTCGTGCTCCTTTGCCAGAGTAGACTGCTCAGAGGCAGGCATTTGCCGTTTCATTTCTGTAAGAGGTGACTTCAAGATATCCCAGGATAAGCTGTCTGTGTTTTGTGCCAGCTTGTCACCTTCAGCCTCCAGCTCCTCTGAAAAGTGGCCTGAGTCCTTGGCCACAAGTTCATACTTTTCCCTGGATGTGCTTGGGTGTAGGACAGTGGCATCAATTCCAAAGTCATGTTCCTCAGAGACTGCTTTTTCACTATGCTGTTCCATCTTAGAAATATCACCAGCATCCCTCACACACTCTTCTGCATAACCCACTTTCTGCTTTGCACAAACCTCCCTGACATCCAGCAGTATTGTTTCCCCTATCTTACTTTCTCCAAAGTCCTTTCCCACCTGCTCACCAGGTGAGGGAGACCACTGCAGGGACCAGGGTAGGTGGCCTTCTTCCTCCTCAGAGCACGTGATCTGTTCCTCTTTTTCCTTCCCAGGTGTACTGAGAAACAGGGCAGGGTTCATGGCAGGGAGTACCTCAGTGTCTCCATCCTTGCTATACAACCTTGATGCACTAGGTTGCACTGTAAGCTCAGAGGCTGACTGTGCTGTTCCAGCCACATTCTTGGCCACACAACAGTACAGTCCAGCATCTGAATCAGAGACCCCTCGGATGTGTAAACGGTGAGTGCCAGCCTCACATTTCTCAAAACTCAGCCTCTCACTGGCAGAGAGGTTCTGGCCATTCCAGGACCAGGTCACAGATGGTGGAGGCTGCCCAGACACACTACACTGCAAAACCACTGCCTCCCCTTCACAGCAATGGATACGTGCTGGGGCTTCTAACACAATTTGGGGTGGCTCATTTCTGACATCAAATGAAAACTTGAACTTGTGTTTTATGGCAGGCGCAGCATGGCCTGGAGAGGACTGCATGGTCTCTTTCATCTCTGTGTCTTGCTCCGGTGTTGGAGTAGGGGCAGTGATTTTGATTTCTACAGGCAGTGACAGCAGGTCTGAGTCTGGAAAAGTATTTGGCAGCCCCTGCTCTTCTGTAAAGGCCAGACTTACTTCCCTCTCCTCTTTCTCCTCTTTTTCTTGTTCCTCTTCTTCCTCCTCTTCCTTTTCTTGTTTTTTCTTTTCCTCCTCCTTCTCTTTATCCCCTTCTTCCTCCTTCTCTTCTCTTTTGTTCTCCTCTTCCTTTGCCTTCTCCATTTCTTTCTTTCTTTCCTCTTTCTCTAACAACGTAACAACCTCATAGGCCAGCATCCGCTGCCTCACATGGAGTGCAGCAGAGGTGCTAACCGAGCCCAGAGGGTTGGAAATCACACAGGTGACTGTGCCACTGTGCTGTGGGAGCAGGGGCGAGAAGGTTAGTGTAGAGCGGCACTCTGTGGTGTGTACTGCAGTGCCTCGGATGCGTCCCACTGGATTAGTGTTGTTGTACCAAGTGATCACTGGCTTTGGGCAGCCATGGAAGAGGCAGGAGAAAGTGACTCTCTGTCCCTCTACAGCCTCCTGGGGCCTGACTCCCTGGACGAAGAGAGGTGGGCAGGGCTCCAGGAGCCCACCACGTGCTTTCCATCTCTTCTCTGCCACCTTGGGCATGCTGTATTTTTCGACCTCCTGCATCTGGAAGGGCTTCGAGCCATCCATCTTGCCAGGTGCCTCAGGTGGGCAGGGCTTCCCAGGAGGACCCCCCTGTGGCTCGGACAGGAAGGACTCCTGCTTCTTTTTCAGAGCTGCCCTCTTTGCCTCCCGCAGCCGCTGCAGCTTCCAGCGGATTTCCTCATCCAGCAATTCCTCAGCATTCACCAGTTTTCCACTGCGCTCCCTACCACGTACTATCTCCAGACGGTGAGACTCCACTGATGGCAGTCTCTGGAAATGTATGGTCCGTACCCTGCCCCGGGCTGAGAAGTTTGGCAGCTGCTGCTCAGCCTCCTGGCCCTTGTCAAAGGGCGAGCCAGTGCAGCGGAGCACCACGCGCAGCCGGTCCTGGTGCCGCTGCTGCAGCAAGCATTCCCACCTCTCCTGCACTAACTGCACCTTCCCTACACGGCCCGAGTCCCGCTGCTCACTGCTGCGCGCCACCAGCAGTGAGGCAGCAGACTCAGCTGAGCCCTCGCTGTTAATGGCGAACACCCTGTAGCTGCCGGCATCGTGCTCTTGCACGTCCTGCACCTCCAGGCTGGCACGGTGCGTGTGCTCCTCGCTCTCAGTGCGGATCACCTTGCGGCAGTCCTGGTGGACTGGCCGATTGTTGTGGAACCATGCCATATGAGGTGGCGGGCATGCCACCAGCTTGCATTGGAAGACAGCAGGGTCCCCCTCCAAGACGGACCTACACTTGAGGCCCTGCATGAAGGTGGGTTTGCAGTTCTGGGAGCAGCCCAGCACCACCTTTCCCCCATGTCCCTCGGTGTTCGTCTTGCTGTGCCACTCTGGAAGAGAAGGGAGGAGACTGGGTTACAGTGTGCCTCGCTCTACCCATTGATTGATTGAAAAAAAAAAGCAATTGAATTAAAAAAAAAAAGGGCATGCAACAGATTTCATCACACACCCAGGAAAAAAAAAAAGGTAATTCACTCACCATATTTGTTCGAATAAACGCAACGCCTTGCTCTGTTTTAAAGATTGACACGAAAATCGTTCGTTGTCTGTTCTTTCTTCAGACTGTGGGAATTTCTTCTTGAACAAGCAAAAATGAATTTCAAAACAACACGTTCTTCTGTGTGTGTTTTTGCTGCCTGGAAAAGCTGCGTGTCTTTGAGTGGCAAAGAAGAAAATCTTACCTGACTTGCAGACAGTAGAATAAACGCCCTTTCTGACCCCTCTGCTTGTAGATTAAATGCTCAAACAATTGAGAAAAAATATTTTGAAAAGATATACAAAAAACATAAGTAATTAGCTAACATGAAATGAGAAGGCGTTTATTCGAACTAATACAGCCACTAACAGTGTTATGCACAGGAAAAAAAAGCAAGCAACATGAACCACATATGCTATCTGCAAGCCAGGGTAAGAGATGTATAATGATGAATTAATGTATGTAAATGAAGTGCAAGGAATCAAAGGAAATGTATAGCTTCCACATACCCTGAACAACAAATGTATTCTAGCACAATTCATTCATTCAATAACATTCATTGAACTGACTAGGTTAGGTTGATAACTTGCTTAAAAATAATGTGATTAAGATTTGTATAGCTTCTTACTGAAGTAAACTATTGCATGCATTCAAAAGGAAATTGAACAAATAAAAGCTCTGTGAACAGCTGCAAAGCATGAAGTAAAATTTCAAAACATGGCTGCAAAATCATAAATTTGAAGTTTTAAACATTTTAAAACTTAAATACCCTTATAATGCAGATAAACCTTTGCATATCAAAACAAACATGCAGTATGTTCCAATATGCCTCAAAACGTGTCTGTCTTTCCCCATCAGACACTACACATAAGCAGATAAAAGCTTTTCACAAAGTTGCTAATTACTGGTACTAATTATTCAGTGTGACATCAGTAGTGACTGTACCTTTCACTTCCATTTCAATCTCTTCCTCTAGCTTCTCATACATAATTTTTTCAGGAGCTAGAAAAGAAAAAGAAAGGATTTTTGAGCTCAAATTGCCAATCAACAGTTTATGAAGTAAAACATTCAATCTCTTGCAAAGATACAGAAATTCACACAAATACACATAAACGCATGCCAGACAATGCAAATATTTATCTGATAAACATTGAGAAAAGAGCAACCGAATGCTTTCAAACTTGTTTGCAATGTATACTTTTCTACAAGATTTATGTTTTTTCGCAGGATGGGGGAAGGTTTCTAACGGAGCATGCCTTTATCATGCCTTAAATCCCTGAAGAAAACATTCAGCAATCCACAGGCTTATCAGATGTTTATCATCTCTTATCAGATCCCTGAAGAAAACATTCAGCAATCCACAGGCTTATCAGATCTTTATCATCTCCCCGGGAAAGAATGTACTGGAATGCAATGATGCTGTGCAAGAGGAACTGATACTTGGAAGGAACATGCAGTTGCCAACCTGTCACTCTCAGATGGGTGCTGCACTCGGCTTGTCCTGCAGGATTAACTATTCTGCACTTGTATGTACCCTGGTGGTTCTGACCAACTTTCAACAATCTTAAACTGCACAGCGGCCCATCGTGTTTTAAGGAACACAATGCAGACTCCTCAACTATGAGCTGATTGCACAGCCAGACCACACAAGGTGTAGGCACACCCTTCATTATGCAAAAGAGTAACACATCGTCTCCTTCTTTTACAACGGTTTCTGAAGGCAGAGTTTCAAGAAACTCTGGTTTTCTGGCATCAGTTTCTGTGAAGTCTTCGCATGGCACAACATCAGGATAGTAGACCCTGCTTCTTTGCTTCTCAGCTTCATGTGATCTTTGGGATGTAGAAATAAACAAGCTTGAAGTTTTCTTTGATGACTCTTGTTTGACTTCAGATGCTTTAAACTGACATTCTTTGGCTGCTTTAAAGCTTTTAGTATCTGATTCAAGGGTAATTTTTGTTACTGCTTTGGCTTGTGCTTCTTTAGCTAGGTAAGAATAAAGTTAGGAAAAGGATTAGGTCAGATGTTTTTCAGGAATAAAAAGCATCCTTACATTTAGACGTAAAACAGCTGTATGTTAGGTGGGGAAGAAAAACAAACATTAATTGGTTCTGAAAAGAATGTCCAGCATATTAAGGCTACAGGGCTACTAAATATGAGAAGTTTATATATTTTAAGAGCTTCCTTTCTGCTGGGACTAAGCCTAAATTCTACTTAAGCCTATGAGACCTTCATTACTTGGTTCATAAGGCGTAATACAAGTCTATCTTTGCATTCGAGAGCTTCAGTGTAGAAAATAGAAGCAGGCGATTATGTAAAGCACTTTACACAGCTCAGTAGTAAAGAAAGAAAATTCAACATGTAAGAGCCAAATCAATGTTAGAAGGTCAATGGCTTCCTCATTATTTTTCTGCTCTCAATATCTTCAAGTTTACAAATACGATCACACATCTAGTGTGGCAATAATGCATTTTTAGTTTTCAGTAGTGGTAACACAACTAACATTTTAATATAATGATGTCAGGAGAAAGGGAAGGAGCTTGTATCTCAGGACAAGTGAAAGGTAGAAGACAATTCAGAAGTGCAGTAATACAGAACTTGCACCCATTAATCCTTTCAAGCATATTGCCCGATATTGCAAGCCCGATATGTGGGAGATAGGTTGGACCCCTCCAGTCTGAAATGATCACATATGTAGTTTAACTGACATGCTTTACTCTCTTAAACTTCAGCTTCAGGAATTCACAAAATGCAAAAATTCCTATCTGCCTGTTCTGCTTTACAGCTCACTTTTCATACCAGGAAAGATACAAAGAATCAAAAGACACAAAAGACTTCTGTTATTTGCTGGAAAGAGGTATGAAGTTACAACACTTATTAACAGAACCATATATGTGGAGGGGAAGAACCAAAGCATAGTTACTAGAACTTTCTCAATTAAATACTGATTATTAAGGACATTTGAATGAGCCACAAGCTGTGATAATAAAGTTGCAAAACATGTCATAATTTTTAAAGTCAGATAACCACCTTTGACTGTTAGTATTGCAGCAGTTGTTGTTCCTCCATAATCATTATATATAGTACAACTGTACAGTCCTTGATCTATCAGCTGAGCATTTAAAATTGTGAGCTGTAGGACACTTCCATTTCGTGATATCTTCAATTTTTCTGACACTTCTATCCGTTTACCTTCATGGGCCCAAAGAAACTCAGAGAAGAATTCATTTTCTAAGGCACATATGAACTGAGCAGTATCACCAGATTTCACAGTTAGGTCTCTGAGTTGCAGGAGAATCGCTGGAGGAACACCTTTTGGTTCTTGAGCAGTAGCCATAGAGATTCTGGTGCTCTGAGATGTCTGGGAAAGGACTGTTGTATGCATGGCTTCTGCTTCTTCAACTGATGTAGCTTTCATGGTCAACATTTCAGATATGCTTTCAAAAACCTGTACGCCCGATTCCTGTGATGGTTGTTGCATTGATTTAAATTCTTTTCGAAAAGCTTTTGTATTCTTCTTTGTGAAAGGAGTAACGTGAAGTTCTGATATAGCCTGTGATCGCATAGACTCTTTTACATCTTTCCCAGAACTTTGCCTATCTAGGGCTTGCACTGTGTAATCAAGTAACAAAAAAAAAAAAGTTAGTATCTACAGAACTTTACTGAGCCATGCTCTGAACAAAGTCATACAGCATGGAGAAAGAAAATGAATGATCTTCATTTGAAAACTCAGCATGCCAGATGCACTACGCTCTTTACAGGAAGAATATCCATACACAAATATGAATGACAAGTGATGCCTAGTCTAGTCATGCAGCTGATAAATAGTTGATGGTTTTTTCTTCTTTGACTTGACCGTTTCAATATGAGATGGCTTATTATGAAACCTTTTATGAGGTATTTTCCTTTTTTCTTTCCCCCCCTACAGAATAGGGTGAAAATACCTCAGTCAATGCTGTAACCATTACTTAATTCCAAGCTTAAAAAATCTGAACTTCTTCAGTAAGATTATCCTTATTCTAAACCTATGTCAAGATAGAAATTCACAGATCTCCAGGTATGTTAAACAGAAGAAATGAAAGTGGTTGGGTTATAGATGATAGGTATTATTAACATTAGCTGCTAAATAAAAGGTGTGAAAGGAAGAAAGAATATTAGTGACAGTGTGAAAGTGCGGTATACAACAAACTGAATCCCTCTGAAGTAAAAATGGGGCTTTACCTTCTGCAGTCACTGTAAGTGTAGCTGTACAAGTTGTTTCTCCAGCACTATTTCTTGCCTTGCAAGAGTACTGGCCAGCATGCTCTAGAAAAGCATCTACTATTATGAGCATAACTGTGCCAGTAAACTCATCAAAGTGGAACACTAAGTCTTTTGCTGGAAGCATGAGCTGTTGATTATGAAACCACTGGATTTCTGGTTTAGGCATGCCAGATACTCTAGCTTGAAATCTGACTGTTTCCCCACTGCAGACCCTGCAGCATGAAATAGGCTGGATAAAGATGGGCCTTTGGCCAAAAGTCTCCTCCTTAAGTGAAACAGATGAAGAAACATGCCAGTGGGACTCTGCTGTAAGATCTTCAACCTTTTTAAATCCTGAAAAGAAGCATGCCAACTTTTAATTTCTTTCCCTACACTACATTTTCTCTCTCATTCAAGATTTTTTTTCTAACTATTACAGCAAGAACATCATCTATAAAATTGCAAAAAGAAAAAAAAAAAGGAAATAATTTATGGTTAAATAATAGCAAGAATAATATAAAACCTGAATAGCAAATTTTCCAGACAATATTTCTTCTTTAAAGCTTTGATCAGTATTTTACCAGATTGTATTTCTGGGTTATCCTTCAGATCCCGTCCAACCCAGATTATTCTATATGTGAACGTTATTATTTTTTTTCGTCTTCCCAAGACTAATACACACCCTCGTTAACATGTTTTCAAAACTTACTTTCAAAGTAATATTTTTCATACAAAAACTCTTACTAGGTTCTCCTCAAAATCAAATGCAAGAATGTGAAAGCAAAGCACTTCCATCAGAAAAGAAGGTATGTTTGGTTCATGCCAGATTCTAATAGCGGAGAGAATGAAAATGTGAAATGTATGAAACACTGAGAAACTGTGACGCATTTTGGAGACACACAAATGTGTTGTGGACATTGTAAATTGTAGCAATGAGTTAAGTGAAAAGACAACGTGACAGACAAGCACTTACAACAGCGTTATGTTAAGATTAGTGTTGGAACATGACCTAAACAAGATATCTTCTTTAACTGCACACTGTACCTTCCAACTTCAGGGTGGCAGTGCTTGTCACTTGGCCCACGGAGTTACTTGCTACAAAGGTGTAGGTGCCTTCATCCTCTGGATAAGCTTCAGCAATCTCCAGCTGGTAAGTGTCTTCAAACTGAGTCATTCTAAAGAAACGTGATGGCTTGATCTCTTTGTCTTTGCTATACCAAGAGACTTTCAGATCTGCTCAAGCAACAAAAAGAAGAAAAAGTATGTAAATAATGATATTAAACCAGTAAGTAAATACCATTTTTATATTTATGGCTGTCGGAAATCTTTAATCTCAAGTCTGTATTTCTGTTTGAATATGCCTTACATTAACTTCGGTAATGTAGGATCAGTGGAAAATTACATATGTATTAAGTTTTGATTTTACTCATCCTACATCATAGGATGCTGAGTAAAAATCATTTTTTCCTCTTTTTAAAGTATAAATTTTAAAATATTTTGCTACTGTTAGAAGTAGAGTAAACCACATTTTAAAAAATGGATTCCCTTTTAAAACCTGACTGAATGTTTCAAAATCACTAGGCTGAGCTTAGCAGTTTGAAGAAAATAAAATGGAATGCCTTTTTGCTAAGAATAGTTTCTTGCCTCTTTTTATTGAAATGTCATAAGTTGCACAGCACATATTTCTTTAGAAATATCTTGTTTTTGTACCTTTGTAATAGTCCTAAATAAGATTTTGCATTACTTGTATAGATTCTTGTAGCCTTGGGAAAGAAAAGGAATGAAATATAAACTGTAAGCTTGACTCTTCATTTTGTGTTGTATTACATCATGAGTCAAGTATTTTCATGCAAATAATGTGATCACTGTTATCAGATGAAAGAGGAAGTGTTTTCAATAGCCAGCTGTAGTGTGTACCATTAAGCAATATATTTTCAGTAGTGTATTACCTAAGGTAACATAAAAGGTTTGTACAACACAAGTGAGCAGTACATAAATCCATTTTGAGACAGTATTTAATAAAGGGGATCTAGATGAAATAGATTTGTCTTTTTAAAAAGGGAAGAAAAAAAACCAAGACCCTGGAATTTGATGGTAAGTGATGGAAAAGCAATTTATGTATTGGTATAAATATATATATGTGGGCTAACAATGTATTATGGATTTTTACCTGTATCACTCTATTTTTAAAGTTTGAGTTTCATTTATCTTTAAATAATTATAAATCCTTAGGGATCTTATTCTACATTTTGCAATGTGAATAATTTATTACTTGACATACTCAAGACCATTTTTTGAAGTAAAGAAATATAATATTTTTTTAATTAACTTGGAAAGAATTACTTAAATTGTAGGATGGTTATCTTTTTATCTAAAAGTAGAAAAGTTACTTAAGAAAAATTCTTAAAGAGACTTCAAGAGATGAGTAAACACTTAGAAATCCTTTCTATGCTAGGAAAAAAATGCAGTGGCAGCTTACAGTTTGCAAAAATGCTTAGAAATATTAGGATGTAGATTTTGGTCTGTTTCTTCAATTAATTGATATGATACTGTGTGACACTGAAACCTCTGTCATATTCATTTAACAGGATAATGTTTTTCAGTCATGATGTTCTGTTTAGAAACTCCATATTTGCACTGACACAGTTTTGCAACTTCTGTTAGCATTTGAGACTCCCAGGTTTCTGTAGGCATATTTTTTGGTGTGTCAGATATGCTAAACACTTGTGTTAGAAATGCTTACTGTTTAAGACAATTTAAAATTTCCATGCTTGCTGCCATCTTTGACACATGACTTAATTGCTAGTTGTCAGTGGGTAACATTTTACAGTGTGCATCCAACAAATAACTGTACCTCAAGGGAAAGACTGATTCAAGTCCGTATGCTGCAGCATGTTTTCCGAGTTCAAAATGAAAAATTCTAAGAGGTGAAAAGATGTACATTATTTCATCAAATTAAACCTACCTGTCCCTGTAACTCTGCACTGAAAACGAGCAGACTGTCCCTCGGATGTAACAGCATCACGAAGTGGTACTATGACAGCAGGTGGATACACTGGTACCTCTAGCTCAGGAGAAACAACTTCTGGGACTAAACAATAAGAAAAGTAAGTAATTTTTGAAGGCAAAGGTAAGGTGCAACTAAATGTTGACAATAAAATTTCACAGACATTGTGAACATAGCAAACTCACTTTCCACTGAAAGTGAAGCTGAAGTTGTGGCAACTCCATAGTCATTTTTGGCTTCACATGTATACACAGCTGAATCTTCAGGGAAAGTTTCAATCAGCAACAGCGTATATTCTTGAGCATCATGAAGAAATTTGCACTTGAAACCTGGAGAAAGCTGTTGATCATCTTTGTACCAGGAAACTTTGGGCTGGGGTTTCCCTGATATCACTGCACAGAAGCGGGCAGGTTTACCCGACTCCACGGTGGTTGGCTGTAGCTCCTGGATAATCCGAGGCGGCTCCGGAGCTGAATTTCGGAAGGTGGGGGGGAGGGGAGGGAGAACACAGGGGGGAAAGAGAGGGGGAGAGAAAGAGAGGAAGGGGAGGAGAGGAGAGAGAGGGAGAGAGGGGGGGGGAGAGAGAGAGAGAGAGAGAGAAAGAGAGAGAGAAGAGGGGTAGAAGAGGGAGAGAGAAGAGGGGTAGAAGAGGGAGAGAAATCTCATTACTTCATCATGGGTTCTAAAGCATTAGCAAATAAATTTTCAATTTTAATCTTTTTGTTCCCAATCTTGCTTGCTTAAGAAAAAGTGCCCTTTTCCTTGATAGGAAGGGAATGATCTAGAAGCAACTGCCTTAACAGAAGTAGTTATGGTGACATATGTTTTGTCTCGGCAAAATGCCTCCAAAAATTGTTATGCTGGTCCTGCTGTGTATTTATCAGTATGAAAAAAATTAGTTTTATTTAAACTTGATATTTTCCTGGTCTAAAATAATACAGATTAAAAAAGGACTGTTACAGCATTTTCTTCAGCTATTTCATTAGAGCAAGAAATATCTACGTGTACGAGGCTTTTGACAGCGTTCCAGAAATAAGACTCCCTTTGCATTTATTTTTTAATTTCAAGGTATGATTTTGAGAAAAGTTATATAAATATCAGAAAAATACAGGGTAATAAATGAAGTCAAAGTGTTAGTTTTGGGTATACATACCATTCACATAGAGAACAACAGAACTCCTATTCCGTCCTGCAACAAAAGTATATTCTCCAGCATCAGAGTAAGTGGTTTCAGAGATGCTCATTCGATGAATTCTCCTTTCTACCACATAGCTGTATCTTTCCTCATAATGGAAGTTGATCTCAATGCCATCCTTGTACCACTGTGGTTCAATGTCATCTTCATTAACTTCAAATTCAATTTCAGCTCTTTGTCTCTCAATGACCTACGAGCAAGTATTAGAAACATTACAAATAGCATTTGTTTTTCCAGGTTTTCTCAAACTCCAGTTAAAACTTCCCAGAGGAAGGCTCTGGCCTTACAAATACTTTTTTTTTTTTTTTCTGGGAGGTTTTTCAGGTTAGATGTTGTCGCTGATTGAATTAGAATAATAAAGTTATAAAATATTTATTCTTCATTGTATGCTGTACCTGAATATCTTTATGGATGCTTCTGATTCGAACGTCACGACCTTCCACTATCAAATTGGCACTGGATGTGTTTCCACCTGCTACTACAGTGTACTGACCAGCATCAGACATTTTCGTGGAAGGAATGATAAGACGATGGACATATTTCTCCCGCTGAATTTTCATCCTAAGGAAACCAGAAAATAAAGTGAATACATTATTTTCTGGGGGAAAACACATTTAGAAAGTCAAGATGGTGTAGAAGGAATAATTTACCTCTCACCAATCTGAAGTTCTTGTCCATCCTTCATCCACTGGACCTGAACATCAGGTTCTGAAATTTCACATTCAAAAATGGCTCTCTTCTTCTCCACAACCTTAATATCTTTAATATGCTTCCTAAATTCAATGTGACGAGCTGGAGGAAAGTGGAACAGAATGAGTGCCATTCTTCTATTTAACTCATTATAAGTCACTAAACATAGAAATCAAGAGACCAAATACCTTCCACATATAAAGTGGCTGATGAAGCTGCTTTTCCAGCAACAAAAGTGTATTCTGCAGCATCACCAAAATGCACATTCCTTATGGAGAGTGAGTGTGTGAGCTTCTTTGTTCGTATCTGGCATTTGTCAGTAGATTTTATTTCCACTCCATTCTTCAGCCATTTATATGAGATACCTTCATAGTTAACAGTAACTTCAAATGTGATTGTATCTTTCTCTTCAGCATTGATGTCTTCGAGCATGGAGGTAATTAGGATGGCTAAGAGAAAAAAGAAATGGGCATGGTTTAGGGTTTTTGATTTTAACACACTTCAGCTGGTCCAGAGATGCTTAAAATCTTTGAGATAGGTTCTGATTTTTGGTGATATTTGAAGGAAAGCTTCAAGTTTCTGTGTCCAGAATGAATACTATAATTAAACTCCTCCAAACCTTCTGAATGATGTAAGAATCTAAAATTCATCTCCTGTGGAGATTTGACACTTAGGCACATTGCTCTAAACAGAGGGATCAATAGCCTGACTTTTAAGTTTGCAGCTTCTAGTCTCTTTCTAAAAATGTAGCTTAGGCTACTTTAGGTTATTTTAAAATCTCTCTGCAATATTCCTGGTTTTGTCTGAATTGCACCTGCATTACAATAAACTCTAGTATTGTTAACTGTAAAATATTCTGTTAATTTCATATTCACATACGTTTTACGGTCAGAGTTGCACTGACTCTGTCATTTCCACAGACAAACGTATATTCTGCAGAATCTTCACTGCTTGTGTTCATGATGTTCAGCTGATGGAGTTTCCCCTGGACCACTATTTTGAACTTTTCACTCATTTCAATCTCCACACCATTTTTCAACCAGACAGCAGGTACGTTGAAATGAGAAACTTCACATTGAAAAGAGGCAGTTTTGGTCTCAGGGATCTCAATACTTTTCATGGTCTTTGTGATGTGTATGGCTGTGGGTAAAAAATAAAAATAAAAAAGAAAGAAAAAGATTTTTTAAAAGGTCTGTATGTGTGCAGGAGTTAAAAAATAGAAAAAAGTCTACAAACTGTGAGATCTGTTTTATGTGAGTTGGTAAAGCAACTCATATAGTTTCTTACCAACTTGCAATACTTACTTTCCACAAATAGTTTTGCTTTACACTCAAGTTGTCCAACAAAAGCTGTATATTCTCCAGCATCAGCAGGAGATATATTATGCAGCATCAGCTTGTGGACTTTCCTTTGTGATATCATCTTGTATTTATCACTTTGTTTCAGCTCAACATTTTTGTGGAACCAGCGAACTGGTACAGTATCATGGGATACACTCAGTTCAAAGGAAACAACAGCATTTTCCAAAGCAGTCACATCCTTTGGCTTCTTGATAATCTTGACAGCTTAAGGAAGAAAGTTAGCAAGATTCAGAAATCTGCTTCATTTGAATCTCAAACCTCACATTAAAGCAAACACTCAAAATAGACTGACTTACTTTCAACGTGAAGTCTGGCATTTGCTCCTATCCTCCCAAGCTTAAAGCTATAAACAGACTCATCAGTGACAACACAGTGCTTGATTTTCAGTGTGTGAATTGTTCCTTTCACTGAAATTTCATATTTGTCATTTGATTCAAGTTCAACACCATTTTTAATCCACAGAGCTCCTTTCACATCAGGGTGAGTAAGTTCTACGCTGAACACTGCCTCCTGTGTTTCTGTCACAGTCAAGTTCTTAAGAGTCTTCTTTATCTTAACAGCTGGAAAAAAATATTTTAAAGAAATTAACAATGATCTTAAAAAAACAGAACTATATAAAATACTAAATACTAAGTATTAGTATAATAGTATTATTAGTATATTATATATCCAGTAATTAGTATATTATATATATATATCCAGTAATTAGTATATTATATATATACTATAATAGTATAATAGTATATTATACATATATATACTATAATAGTATAATAGTATATTATATCCAGTAATATTATATCCAGTAATTAGTAAATAATAGTATTATTATACTCATACCAAAATACTAAGTTTTGCTACCTCAGATAGAGTATCATAATGTAACATTGTTTTCAAAATGTGAAGCAAAATATGCTTGTATCTTAGGGTATGATCCAGACATAGTGAGTGATGCTGAACTGAGCCTTAACGACATGAGTTATTTATTTGTATTTAAATTTAAAAAAAAAAAAAACAAACTCAGACAAACTGACCTTCGACATGCAGTTTAGCAGACGTCTTTGAGCTTGCTATTTCATAGCTATATTCACCCATATCATCCATCTTTGTGGCAGGGATATTAAGTCTCCTCTTAACACCATCAGTTTCAGTACGATACTGATCTGTCCTGGGTAATGGTTTACCATTTTTTAGCCACTGGCCCTCTGATTCAGGATTTGCCACCTCACATTCAAAAACAGCTCTCTGGGACTCAGCTACAGTCAGGTCACTGAGAGGCTTTGAAATGGCACCTCCTATTGGAAAGCAAAAGTACATCGTTTTTCTTGTTTGTTTTGTTTTGTTTTTTGCTGTCATGCATCTGTTCAATTTCCCCCATATAAAAATGCAATCATATGAAAATCAGGTACTAGACAGAATTCTTTGCCCCGATTTTCTACATGCCCATAGTCATTCTGAGCTCTGTGAAAAATCAAGAATAGAATGTGATGTGACCATCACAAAAATATGTTTTTCTATCCTAGTTACTCTTATTTACTATTTTTATTATCAGCAGAGGCACACCAAATATTTAAGAAAAAAATAATCCTTCTTACAATAATTATATTAAAAGCATGCTAAAATATTCCCTTCCAAGACTGTGATTTAGTAAAACACAGTAAGGAAGTAAAACACTTCCTTCACTGCTCTGTTGAATTCAGTTTGCAGAGATCACAAAAGATAAATGGAAGAACAATGAGAACATTAAGAGAAATTAAAGTCTAAGAAAATACAGAAACAGCATACAGATATTACACTTACAAAGAACAGTATTTTGAGCATTATTTCTAATGCACACTGAAATAAAAATCTTGGACTTTAAGCCTACTAACCTGCCACTATCAATTTTCCAGATGTTTTCTTCCCTCCAGCATAAAATACATATTCTCCTTCATCATCTTTCATCATTTTCACCACTGTCAATTTATATATTTTGCCATGTGCTTCAATTTTGTATTTAGGACCAGCCTTGATCTCTTGCCCTTTGAAATGCCAAATTACATCAATCCCTGAATGGGAGAGCTCAACCTCAAAAGATACATTCTGTGTTTCAGTGCAGGTGATGTCATGAAGACCTCTGATAATCTCAATTTCTATAAAAAATAAAAATAATACATAACACATGCATTAGTTTCTTCCATTATTTCGTATTGAAAAATTATTTCAAAATAAATTTGCCTCAAACAAAACTTACCTTCAACTGTGACGTTGCAACTTGTTTCGACTTTGCCAACCATTAACTTGTAATGTCCTTCATCTGATGCATGGGTTCTGGCAACCACTAGCCTCTGTTTAGTGCCTTTACACACAGCTTGTACACGTTCATCAGGCTTTATCTGATGATCATTTAGGTACCATTTGGAGGAAGTTACATCTGGTGCTGAAACTTTGCATTCAAGGATAGCCTTTGTTCCTTCAACTACATGAACATCTTTCAGAGGAACTATTATTTCCACACCTGCAAAGTTACAAAAATTATCATGAAAAAGCTATACCTTTAAAAAGTAATCATAACAAACCCAAAAGCAAACATGATTTCAAATTCATGGTAATGACTTACTGTACACAGTAACTTGTCCAGTGGTTGATAGTTCAAGACCAGGAATGCTGAAAGAGTAAGTTCCACTGTCTTCTTTTGTTGCATCTTCTATCAACAACATGTGTGACTGTTTATCCAACACAATATGAATACGATCACTTGACTGAATTTCATGACCATCTTTCATCCAGACACCTTCCGCATTTTCTAGAGAGACCTTAACTTCAAGTTGTACAATATCTCCCTCACAGACTTTTTGATCAGTAAGTCCTTGAAGAATAGTCATGGGACGAGCTATGGAATGAAATGAAATGAATTAGTCCTTGTAATAGAATACTGAATGCTAAGGCAGTCTGGTATATAACAACTCATACTAAAGAACATTTATTTTATACAGATGATATAAATATTAGATATGCTTACGCTTTATCTTTAGTTTGCAGTGAGTCCTCTTCCCATCAACAACAAAGCTATACTCTCCTTGATCATCTTTATTAACATCTTTAATAGTGAGGATTCGGCGACCACGACGGGATGCAAGCACATATTTATGATTGGAACTGAGTTCAACATCACCATGATACCATTTCCCCTCAACGTCTTCTGGGGAAACCTCACACTCAAGTTCCCCTGCGAAGGATTCTGGGACTTCAACGTCCTCAAGTTCTTTAATGAACATAACCACAGCACCTACAAGTAAAAATAATTATGTTCACGAATGAGTTTGATTAGATACCCATGATGAAAAAATTTCTTTTTAAATTGAACATATATACATACATGTGCACACATTGTGACCATTTTTCATAAATGTATCTCAAAGCTTTCATACTGGATTCAAAAAATGCAAAAGGGGTTTAAACATTTCCTAGTGCATTTGTCTGAACTGTTTTATTTCTTCTTGAAGTAGATTTCACTTTAAAAGTACTAAGTTCTATATATAAGTACTATAGTTCCAGGCTGGGTGCTTCTTACCTTCAACAATAAGCTTTGCAGTAGTTTTTACTGATTCATCTTCTACCAGAGCACAGCTGTAGTCGTCAGCATCAGACATTTCTACTGCTAGTACAGAAAGAAAATGAGCCTTCCTGTCTGAGTGCATCCTGTATTTTTCTCCAGAATGAATCTCAATTCCATTCTTAAACCATTTAACTTTGACGAAGGGTTCTGATGTCTCACATTCAAATGTTGCCATGGAGTCCTTCTCTTTAGCAACAACATCTTGTAAGTTCTGGATGAAGCTAATTAGCTGCTTGGCTGCAAAAACAATATGTAATGAATCAATAGGGCATTTGTCGTATAGGCTTAACTAGAGTAATTGCTATAATAGGCAGCAGGATAAAAGTAAGAGATTTAAAATTACCTTGCACTAACAGGAAAGCATGGCTGGAAGTTTCACCAGCTATATTGACTGCTTTCACCATGATGCTGGCTGAATCATCAGAAGTCACATCTCTGATGACCAGTTCACAAACGTTATCTTCAGGCCAGTACCAGTATATACGATCAGTCCTTTCAATCTGCACACCATTTCTGAACCACTGGCACTCAGGGTCTGGTTTCCCTACCACTCTCACACGGAAGTGGGCATCTGTGCCTTGGGCTACAGTCTGGCTTTGAATTCGTTCAAATATCTTTGGAGCTTCCATACTTGGACTAAGTTCAACCTTCTCTGGTTTGAATGTTGGAATGGTGATTTTGCCTTCAGGAGGAAGGGCTTTCTTTTCTTCCTCTGGGATCTCTTTGGTCCAGTGAAGAAGTTCTTCTTTTGTCTTTTTTAGCATCTCCTCATATGATTCATCCTTCTTGCGAGACTTAAGTTCCACAGCAGTGATGGCTTCATAATAGCCCTCTTCTGTCCTTCGCTTGAACTTACTGCGCAGCTCTTCAGATTCCTCTGACAGTTTCTCATGTGTGATTCTTTCAGCTCTTTTAAGTTTCACTACCTCTTTGGTTGTTGCCTCAGCAGGCTTGTCTATCTTCTGTACCTCAAAGAGAAGTTTTCCAGGCTCTGTCACTACAGGTTCATGCCTGGGTTCAGGAGCCCGACGAAGAACTGATCTGAAGTCTTCTCTCTGCTGGATCTCAAGTTTCACCTTATGTTCAATAAAGCCTTCTGGATTCTCTGCAGTGACTTTCACCTCACCTGTGTCATATGATTTGCAGTCCACAATATCCAGGTAGTGGATTCCATCATAACGGAGTCTAAACCTTTTGCTCTTACGAATGAGCTGACTGTTAAGGTACCAGTTGACCTTGGGAAGAGGATAACCAGTGACACGGCAGCGGAATCGTGCTGTTTCACCCTCCAAGACTCTTGCAGGCTCAGGAACCAAAACAAGCTCTGGCTTTTGTTTCTCTTTTTGATCCATAGCAACTGCAGGAAGAGCACCTTCATGTGCCATTCTTTCTAACTCTTCAATTCGCTGCATTCCTCTTCTGCCTTCTGGCAATTGAGATTCTTCCACAAGACTTTTCTCATCCTTCACAATCAGGGTAGCAGATGTATGGTCTGTACCATATTTGTTAGTTGCCCTGCAAGTGATCACACCACTATCTCTGGAATAGGCTACTCCATAGTCCAGGCTACAGTACCCAAACTCATTAATCATCCGGAGTCTGTTAGCTGCTTCCAATGGTTTGCCATCATGCAACCATTCCACCACCATAGTTGGGTCACCAATTGGTGTAAGTCTGCACTCAAAATGCGCTGGTCCAAATTGCTTCAGCCTTAACGATGTGAGCTTCTTCTTAAAAAATGGTTTCTGTTGCTTTTCTTTGTCATAAAGATCCCCCTCCTCCCACTGCTCTTGACCATAACGCAAATGGAGGGGCTCTAACTCCGGTGCTGCAATCTCCTTGGCTTTGTAAGTCCCTTTTGGAATGATTAATCTTCTTTCTGGTTCTGGTTCAGCATGTTCAACTTCAACGTTCACCTTGCACCTAGTAGTGTCCCGCCCAGCTTTGTTGATGGCAGTAGCTGTATACCATGCAGCATCTTGCCTGACGGTGGATTCAATTTTAAGGGCAGCGGCCCCTTTTGTTCCCTCAATCCTGAAATATTAAAACAATTACTTAAAAACTTTCTTCACATCTCCAAAATAAAGTCAAAGCTTCCAAAGGAAATTCACTGAAAGGATTATCTGATTATTTACATTTATTCATATTTGAGTGCAATGCATAATAATCAAATAGACAATGATATAAGATGCAGTGTTGAATCCAGTGGCAGTTTTGCTTGCAGAAGACTACAAAACTGGAGACTGAGAAAGGTTCTTTAAGTCTCTGCTGTAAACTGGATTTGCATAATACAAAATATGCTGTTATACAACTCAGATAATATTGAGGGAAACCTAAAAAACATTTTCTGTCTCAGAGCTGTGCTGCAATGCAAAAGTTTTACTGGTTTCCGAAACCACTGGACAAAGCCCTCAGTTTATTCCTTCCGTGGAAGCAAAGATATTTAGTGCACCGTAGGAGGCACTTAGCATCTAACAGAACAGTGATTATTAACTGTTTTTACTATTAAAAACAAAATAATCAAACAAAAAACACGACAACTGCTTACTTTATTCTGGGATATTTGTGTGGTACAATGATGTCACTATTCTTCAACCACACAATGTCAGGATTAGGGTTGCCAGTTGCTTTCACAGACATGTGCAGTCTAGAGCCCTCTTTTACACTAACATTCTTGAGCCTTTCCACAAAGCGTGGTCTGACTAGATCCTCCTTAGCTGAAATAGCAAGGGAAAGTTATTATGAGAGGAAATGATTATAACCATTATTTTTAATAGGAAACATTATCAAGTCTCCTAATAACAGCATGTACAATAGATACCTTCCACAGACAGTGTGACTGTAACAGAAGCTTTGCCTGCCCTATTCTGAGCAATTACAGCCCATTCACCAGAGTCCTCAGGCATAGCAGGAACAATGATCAATGACTGGGTACCATCTTCTTTAATCACTATTTTATGGGTGTAATCATTAACCACTTGTTGACCTGCAGACACAAATGAATAAAAAAAAAACCATTGTACTCAAAATGTGTCTCAAGATGTTAAATGCTCATTAGATTTTTTAATATTATTCTTTTACATAAATAAGAACTGCATACCATTATGGAACCAATATGTCTCTGGCATAGGTCTGCCAACAACTTTTAAGTCAAATCTTGCTGTCTGCCCCTGTGAACATTTGACTGATGTAGGTTTCAGCACAAAAACTGGCTTATATAGTCTCTCTAGTTGTCCTTCATCAGTTTCATCTAATCTGCGTGCAGGAGAACGAGAAGGAGAGCTGCGGGCAGGAGAACGAGAAGGAGAGCGTGGAGAAATAGATCTGAAAGGAAAAGAGATACGTATGAATATGTCATATAGGAGCGTGCTGACATGGTAAACAAAGTTCAAATTTTGTCTTTAGGATAATATACTTTAAAGAGTTTTATCAATTTATCTATGTGAGAAACTGTGCAGTCACTTTATTTTTGAAGTAATTTTTATGGACAAATAACACGAGCATATGCCACACTAAGATAAATTTATTTTCTTCAGATACTGTAAAGTCACAGACGTAACCTATGTATTTTTGTGCATGTGTGTGCATATGTATATTACAGATGCCCCATCTCTGGAGATGCTCAAGGCCAGGTTGGATGGGGCCCTGGGCAGCTTAATCTATTGGTTGGCACCCTGTACAGCAGGGGGATTGTATCTTGAAGATCTTTAAGGTCCCTTTCAACCCAAGCTATTCTATGATTCTGTGAATATTGGATGAACACATGCTATTTCAAGGATAGGACTTAAGAGCTGCATGCAGTGCTAGAATTCCAAGTACAGATATTATTTTTCCCAAAACATAAGTGGGTTAAGAAAGATATATGGTTGCTGATGTCATAAATCTAACACCATAGCAAGATATATATGCAAAAGATGCTACTCTTGAGAGCTGCACAGCCTATTAAGAAAGCAAATCAGAAAAAAGGTTGGCACAGAAATCAGTATGAGCAATGAGAACAACATTTAGAACTTCTCTAGAGGCATGAAAGCTCCAATAACCTAAACTGTTTACCCACTGTGTAATGACTGAACAGGTTTCATTGCAGAAATTGAAGTCTCACATAATATATATGACTGTGTACGTACCTGTATCTTCTCATAACTTCTGGTCCTGGCATATAACCTGGAGTTGCTGTGGGTGCAAGGGGCTCAACATACAGCTTTGCTGAGCAAATGGCATTTCCTTTCATGTTACTGGCAAAGACTGTGTAGATTCCTTCATCTTCAGGTAAAACAACAGGCAAACGCAGACTGGCACTACCATCTTGCAGAACTTCCATGTGGTAGCGCTCCCCATGTCTTATGCGCTTACCATCTTTGTACCATGCAATCTGCATGGAAAGAAACAAGAATGCTGAGTGAGCTTTCCAGAAGACAAACATCCGGTAATAGACTGTACATACAACAAACTGCAAACTTCTGTTTTTCAGCTGATGTATTGTTCCAGCCCAGTAGTGGCGTTAACATTTTCTTCTTTTGAGGAAAAATGTTAGATTTAAGTAATGTGTTTTCATAGAAGCATAAAAAATTAGTTTTGGTTTTACAGGGCTAGAAACAAAGTCCATTGTGAGGGAGAGCAAAGTGATTTTTATCTTTTAATTTTTTTAAACTGTGCTCAACACCTGTGTGCATGCTAACTCATACTCTGAAGCAAGATCTATTTCACTGGTGGAATTAAGGTGGATTAAGTCTAATCTATCAGTGAAATGACTAACCAATCTAACACTGCTGCATTAAGGGACAAAAGAAAAATCAGTTTGATATCATCAGATTGTGTTTCTAATAGATGTGCTGTTTTCTGTGCAAAATAAAAATTTGATACTGAGATGTTAAGGGAGTTTTCAAGTAGAGAAGTTTTTTATAAATAGATAAACATCATGCAGGTTTGGAGTACCTTCGGCAATGGATATCCAGTTGTCTTACAATGGAAAGTAACACCAGTGCCTTCAAAGGTTCTGTAATTCTTTAATCTTAAATCAAATCCTGCTTCAGTTGCTTCAGATTCAGAAATATCAACCATCATCTCCTCTCCATCTTCCTCGAGGAGTTCATCTAAGGTTGTCTTAATAATTCTGAGTTCAATTTCCTTGATAAGTCTTTCTTCAAAAGAAGAAATGTGGAATTCCTATGTAGAAAAGCAGTGGCATTAGTTGAGTTGTGTGTGTCAAATAATGTAAAAAGAAGTGACTTGCACTAGTAAAATTAAAAAAGATTTTAAACAGCTTGTCAGTATACAAAATAAGCAGCAAACATACCTCATCTTCCACAAAAGTTCTGACCACCACTGTATCTTTGGCCATTTTCTTCCTAATTAAGGCTTGTTCTTTTTCATATTCTTTATCAAAGTCACCATATGAAATAGGTGGGGCTACCTCAGCCACTTTAGGTTCCTGGACATATGCAGTCACTTGAGTTTGGTACATCATTTCTTGTTGGGATTTTATGTAGGCCTCATAATCAGCTAGGAATTAAAAACACATTAACTTTGACAAGTGCTTATAGTTTTCACTCTATTGAAATAGAGAACAAGTACAAACTTCTTTTACTGAGGTTTTTTTGTATTTTTTGGTTGGTTTTTTGTTTTGACCGAAGCGAAGATGGTCTGTCTAGCCAATAAAATGCAAGTAGCAATAAAATCTGAAGACTAATGCCTTCAGATGAGCTTTTAAACAGGTAAAAGTTTTATTTTGCAAGTGTGCTAGTTCTCAAAGTGGAAGCACTTTTAGTGACTGTACTTTCTACCTGACAGCTCTGTCTCCTTCAACCTCTTTTGCATTTCATAAGGACAACTGAAATTAACCTAAGCTAGCTTCTTTTCCTTTAATAGAACAACCTATTATTGTTTTAAACTTTGCCCACATAACCCTGTGAAGGTCTGATGAAAACTTATTATGAATGCATATTTAACATTTCTATAGCTGCATATTCCAACAAAGAGCATATGTCCTTCAAGAACCTTATGTCAAATACACATGCAGAAACTGAGCCACTAGCTAGAGCAGGTATTAGCACGCTCTCTTTATGCTTCTTGTACTGATTAAACTAAACTGCTAATAATTCACAGCACAATTTAAAGTGCTTTTCTCTTTACAATGTACCTTCTTCTAGTAAGGAGACCGTTGCAGAAGCTTCTCCAAATTTGTTACGAATGACAATAGTGTATTCTCCGGCATCATCGGCAAAGGTCATGGAAATTTCAAGTTTGCATTCCCCGGTTTCTCGTTTATAACTTACTTTGTATCTATAGAAAACAGAAGTACAAGCAGCCTTTTTTTACGACTTTACTTTCAATAGTGATTCTCATCAGTTGCACAACTAACATTCATGAGAAAAAAAAATATCAGCTTTTGCAGGTAATTTTAACTCAGTGAATCTACTGAAAAGCATAAGAAAGTAACAGTACGCTCAGAGAGATGGGATGCAAAGAACAGAACTGAAATATCAGAGATCTACTTGGACAAAACAAAATACTATATGCTGTGTGCATATAGTTTATTCTAGTATGATATATTCCATGCTATAAATGTATATTTTTTCTCAACTGGAAAGCGTGTTGCTTTCTACAGACATTTTTGCAGACAGAATGCAAACAATACACAGACAGTATAAAACAGATATAAAATTTCTTCCTGATTTGTTTTCAAAGATTCATAGCATTTCTCATTTTACGATCTTCTGAATACTTATATTTTAAATCTCAGCAGACCTAGCATCACACAACAAGGTACGATCCTATGATTTTTACATAAATGAATGATGCTATATAAACGAAAGAAATTGGCTTAGCAGCAATAAGGGGTCAAAATTATGTTATTATCAATGACACATTCTTTAAAATTATGTTTAATTAGTTTTTGCACATTAAATTACCTGTAGCCAGTCGTAAGAGGAACTCCACCTTTCTTCCAGAGGACATGTGGCTTTGGGTTGCCCCCTACTTGGCACTCAAAAATAATGCTCCCACCTTCAATTAATTTGTGTACTACAGGTTTTCTTATGAAGAAAGGAGGTACGGGTTCTCCCGATACTTCCTCGGCAGAGACATCTTCCATTACAACATCCTTTGTCTCCACATAGCTGGAACAAGATTACAGCGCAGATTGAATCACCAGATGTCAGATGAAGCTGTCATAAACAGAATGCAAGAAACTAATGACCACCATAAGAGTGGGCTGTTTAGGAGCGACTTTACCTTTTCTCTTCTGTAACAACCTTCTCAGAAATGGTTTCTCTAGTCTCAGTTTCTTCTGAAACTGAAAGGCAAATAAGATACAGTGAATTTTGATAATACTTTTGAACAGTGACTAAGCAATGAGTTTAGCAAACAAAGTGAGAGAAGGCTAAGTAGCATTTCTCAAAGGACCAGGTACTTGCACTGAGGGAGCTGTCAGCTCATAATGGGCCTTTTTTTTTTTTTTAAACATACATTTTTGCATTCCTGCCTCTGTACAGCCTTAGAATGTAATTCCAGGAATATGCCTGACTTGACAGCTGACAAAATCTCAAAGTTACACTATAAGTAACACGCAGTTAATAAAATGATAACTTCCCTTCAGTAATAGGTATACTTACCCTTCACATGCAAGTGGCAAGATGTGCTGACACTCCCAGCCTTATTGGTAGCAGTGCAGGTAAATCTTCCACTGTCTTCTGCAAAGGCTTCACGAATCACAAGGCGAGCAAGTCCTGCTTTGAAAGTGATCTGGAAGTCCATTGAGCTCTCTATCTTGTAGTCTTCCCTGTACCACGTCACAGTAGGCTGAGGGTGACCAGAGATATGGCACTCCAGAGTGACAGACTCACCTTCAGTCACAGTCTTATTTTTGAGACCCTGTATGACAAAAAAAGGAAAAAGAAAAATCACAGTCATTATATATTTCACTATTAAACAGATATTTTAGATTGGATATTAGGAAAAACTTTCTCTTGGAAAGACTGATAAGGCATCAGAACAGGCTGCCCAGGGAGGTGGAGTCACTGTCCCTGGAGGTATTGACAAAGAGAGCAGATGTGACACTTGGGAACGTGGGTGGGCACGGTGCTGATGGGTTGACACAGTTGGACTAGATGATCTTAGCAGTCTTTTCCGACCTTAATGATTTTATGATTATATTATTTTAATAACTATAATCTATTGGAAATTTAATGACTATTTCAAAACAGTGTCTTGTTCAATAGTATCCATGAAAAAAGAGGCATTTTCCAAGGGAAGTATTTGAAACTAGATTTGGGATCTCTGAAAATTAAGAAGAACATGTAACATGATGTTTATGTAAATAAAGGAGAGTAATTTTTTCAGTGAAAAATATGAAATGACTTTATGTTAAATGACTGTGAACTCTCATCTTCACAACAGACATGCTTGACAGAGTAGTTTGTATATGGGATGAAGTGTATTATTACATAAAACCAAATTTTCACGGTCAAGATTTCAAAGATAAAAAAATCAGAATACAAAATGCATGAAAACACTGTGTAACTACCTGAATATGCATAAAACTTACCCAGACTAAGGTGGGTGGAGTCACAGGAATTTCTGCAGGCACAGGAACTCTGGCAGTTTCTGTCACCTAGATTGTTCAAAAGCATGATTAATAAACATCTCACAGGCAAAGGATGAAAACAGCAGAATTAGGTAAGGAGAAATCTTTTTTTTGCCTTAGATAAATATTAAATCCTTGGTAGAATTTGTGCAAAACAGCAAAGAGATAAAAGTCAGACAAATGCTTTAGAAGGGAAAAACTGGAAGGAGGAGATAATAATCAACTAGATTTTTAAGGTGAAAGTCAGTTAGAGTGCCTGAAATTTGCTTAATGATGTACCTTTGCTTCACCCTCTTTCCGCAACAGCAGGTGATCCTCCCGCACTGCTTCACCTTTAATGCTTACATCCACCTCTTTTTTCGTCTCAACATCATAATGAGTTTTATAGGTCTCAGCAACCTCTGTGAAGGGAAACTGTGGAGGAGCTGACTCTGGTTTTATCTTGACTTCATGCGGCTTTAGCTGAGGTGGTTTCACAGGCTTGGTAATCTTTTGCGCAGCAGAAGTAGCAGATAACTCCTTTTCCAGAGTAGCCATAGCAGATCCTGCTATTGAAACCTATGGAAAAGAAGATAAAGGGTTACAGCTCTGTAATTCTCCTGTTGTCAGAGAAGGCATAGTATATTTCTCCAGCAGACTGCATATCCATCACTTGCTTCCCAAGTTACTTTGTTGACACCGCAAAGGCTACATATACAAAATTGTCTTCTAGTTTTAGATTGCAATAGTAGAATACTAAAAACACAAAATCCTTTTATTAGTTTTTAATGTAGAACTTTAACAATAAGATCATAAGTGAAACTTCTGAAATGTCCTCTAAGTTTACTCACTTAAGATGTTAACTTTCTATTTTTACAATCTAGTAGATGTTGCAATAAACCATACCACTAATTATTTCAATAACAGTCATTAAGATACCCAAAGGGTTTTCAAAAAGTTCTTGCAGTTGTAGTAAGTTTGCATGCATAAACATGGAAAAAATCTATAAATATAAATTTTTAGGTAAGTTTATACAGTTTAATTACACTTGCAAAAAAATCTTCTCACTTTTAAAGTCCAGATAAAGAGAAAAATAGCGCTTGAAGGAGAATATTAATTAAGTGTAAATTTTAATACTATTTGAAAGAGTCAGAAGAATGGAAAGAATACTACTAAAAATGGATAACGTTATATTGCACAGTCCAGTTTTCAAAAGTTAGCTTTATATGAAGCAATCTGCAATGAAGAAAGGAGGCACTGCTATTAATGTGTGAGTGAAGAGATGCAAATAATAACCTTCATCAGTGACACTTCTGCTTTATAAAAAATGTGAATTGTATGAAAAGGGTTTCTGATTACACTGTCTAACAAAGTATTGAGGCTGCCTCCTTAAATAGATTCTAATCTTGCTTAAATGAGTAATAATTACAGGTCACATTTTAGCAGGTTGTGTGTGTTTACAGTGTTACTATTTATTAGTCAAACAAGATGATGAAAACAACTTTAGAGAACATAAAACCTTTCACCTGGAGAAAGTACCATACCAGACTGGAAGAAAAAGCAAAATGTGTGGGTTATTAGAACACAATATTCTCCTTATATACACTGTTTTTACTTCTTACCTCATACGTATGATCTGGTTTAGGAACAGCAATTTTGGAGACAGTGAAGTGAGGACTTGCTGTGCGGGGTCGCGGGTGTTCTATGTGGATTGTCTTCTCAATCTTGGCTTCTGTTTCTCTTTTAATCTACATGAAGCAATGAAAAGATTGTTGAGAATGTGATGCTGTTCTCTAAGCTGAAAAAGATCTCATTGAGACATAGTTTTTTGAAAATGATGGAATGGAAGCGAGTCTAACCTCTGTTGATACATGAACTTCCTTCTTTTCAGCAGCTGGAATATGTTTCTCAGGAGGAATGTAGACCGTTTTAACTTCTTTAGTAGCAACATGGTGTTCTGCTTGTGCCTCATGGTCTTTTACAGCATGCTCTTTATAGCCATATTCCAAAGTTTTGTGCTTGACATGAGTTTCATCTACTTGCTCTGTCTCCCAAGGAGATCTAACACGCGCCTGATCAACGGCTGCAACAACTGTAGCTACAGCTTCAGCCCTTTTTCCAGCTTCAATCTACGGATAATACAGGCAAAGTTTGTACAAACGCTCATCATTGTGTACTAAAGGTTTCCTTTTCTGGCAAATGCTTATAAACATATTGCTCAGTAAAAATTATTCAAGATAAAGAGATGGTGCATTCCAAACACAGATAAGCAAAAGTAATGAACTTTCAATGTGTTCACTCACAAATGCACTTCAGAGTCAGTAGATTCAAATATAGACTCATTTTCAAGCTTTATCTACACATATTCAGACTATAACTATGCTTGATTGCTTTACACATGTCATTATTTCTATCCAAGTCCACTTTTAATACTTTATGGATGAATTTATTACTACTTGTCTCTGAGTACAACAGCTATATAAATGTACACAATTTTAAAGTCAATCTGCTCATCAACTCTATATAAAATCTAAATGCTACTTAAAAATGTGTGGAATGTGTCTGACATCTGACACAAACGTATTTACTAAGGAATACATCCACATAATAAAATTACCATATGCATATCTGTAAACTCCAACGCTAATCTATTTTAAATGTTTTTACTAAAGAAGGAAAACTTGGCTTTCAGAGAAACTGGAAATAATATGTTTGTATCAAGAACTCTTTTATTCTCCTCTCTTTTCCTAACAGTTGATAAATAATGTCAGCTTCAATGTCATCAATGATATCAAAACCCAAACTTCTGCTGAGTCAGTTAACAGTAGATAATGGGATGTTTACTATTTACTGTCATATCTGGGTGTACTCCATAGCAACACAGCGTATGAAATGTACACCTTATAGATAAGAAAAAAACCTAATTGATAATTTCATGCTGATTTTAAAACAATTACTGTCTTAAAATAAATTAATAGAAGCAAGGCGAAGTAGTGTTTAGGTTACAGGAACCTCAGTTCTGTTTGCTGCAAATTTCAAAATCATTCCTTATACTAGCTTGAATTTGGCCCTCAGTTTATGCCTTCTAACAATTAATTTTAATCTCCTTGCACCCTGACTCCTTTGAGTCAGATTTGAATGTTACAATCTTTAAATTATATTTTATAACAGCACTGTATAAACGGATATTTTACTGTTTCTAACAAAGCCTATTAATTTTAAGCAAAGGGTTTTGGCAATTCTCATCCACAAATAAGAGATCCTATGCTATACTATGCTAGAAAAACTTTTCTACTGTGGTAAATCCTACTAGAACAAAGCAGAATCAATATGTATTTAGTTGCCAGAAATAACAAACTGGATAGAAGTGTACTGATGGTAGAGTTTGTGTGTCATGAAGAGCAATACAATCCAACGCTTAATTTACAGATGCTGTTTTGTCTGATAACGGTAAAATTGCAAAGACTGAGCTTGTAGAAAAGAGCACTGCAGATTCAGAAATTTCACTGAATTTGAAACAATTTGATCAAGTAAACACTATAAGAAAGTCATTGTTAGAGAGTAAATTTTCACGGAGACTTCTGATCTTAGTCTGAAAAGTGGCACTTTCTGTTAGGGTGGGACAAAAATCTTGGTATCACTAGAAAGTTAATAATTCATTCACACTGAATCTATTATTAGAAAATCATTCCACTTAACAGGCATAATATCAGGAAATAATTTAAATGCATCCTATTGTACTCAAATAGCTCTTAAAAGGTGAGGTTTGCAGAGAAGGTAAGTTGTAACAGTGCATTTCACATCTGCCACAGCAGTATTCACCTGATCATAAGCTAGATGCATTTTTTCTTGCTTGGCTGTAATTTCTTCTCTAGTTCTGGACACTGTGACTGGTGCAATTATTTTCGGAATTACAGTAGTTTTCTTAGCTTCCTTTTTAATCTAATTGTTATAGCAGAAATAAAAGTTTCAGTTACATATGGTCTTGAAAAATATTTGAACAATGGGAAAATACTTTGGATGGGAACACAGGAGGAGAATTAAAGGGTTACATCCTTGTGCACTGCAGACAGCTCTCTATTACTTGTAAGTATTGTTACGCCTTAATACCTATTTAAGTAAAAGTAATATTTTTTAAAAAATTAAAATGCATTTCAGGAGTCAGACAGTCCATTCCAAAAGTCAGTCCAAAATTATGGGCATCTCATTAATGAAAACAATTAGGAGAGAAAGACAGGGTGGTGTAACACAGTCTAATTAATGAGAGTTTGTAATGAGGTTTGTAAGTGGAATCAATCTTAGAAAGAAGTGACCTGGAAATGTACAGTTAGTATTTGCTCAGGGAAACAAAAGGTTTGCTAAGAATAGAGGATAACAAGACAAACATGGCCATTACAGTGCCAATCACCTTTTCATGGCTTATGCTCACACGTTCTTGTTTGGTTGCAATTCCTTCTTTACTTTTTGATAATAAGACTGGAGCTTTAGGTTTATCAGTGGTAATCACCACCTTTGGTACAGAGGGTTTCACATCTTCCCTTCTTATCTAGTTTTATAGTGAAGAAAAATAATAGCAATCAATTATATCTGTCACCAAAATTTTTCAGGAAAGCAGGTCAGGATTTCAGATTATATATCAATAAGAGAAAAATACCACCTCTGAAATAACTCCTCTGTACAGATCAAGCGGTAGCCTATCTTATATGCTAGCTGAACCAAGTCCATTCAAAGTCCATACATTGCATTAAACTATATGTGAATTAAAGAATCTTTCCACTTCTGAGTTAATTGAAACATATCAGTGCTGTTTTGTAGAGACAGTAGATTTAAAAACGTGAGTTACTGATTCAATTTACTTCCATCAGTTGATGGAACTATTCCATTAATTCAATGAAAAACGATTCCAGAATTTGATCTATCCGATGCATTCAGTTTTCATGTAAATATGAGCTTCATTAAATCAAGCTCCAGATATAAATATTATTGTATGCTGATAATTACCTTCACAATTTATCTTCATAAATCTACCTTCAGATGAAAAGCAAAGGTAGTAAATCATCAGATTAAATTCTGAGAATGCTAGCAACAAAAGCCATAATGCTTATAGAAACCACAGGAAAGGAGGCTACATTATTTCCCTGTAGACAGATCCACTATGAATTCAGCAGATTTGTACCTCCAATGCTGGACCTATGTCAGGAATAAGTCACTTTATAAAATTTTGATTTTATAATCTCATCTTCATAAAAATGCAAAGGGAAGAAGCAGAGGACATGTGATGAAGAATGAAGTATTTATGAGGTTATTAGAGTATAAAAATGAGTTAAATATCTATATCAGATTTACTCACTTGTTCATGAGAAACATGTACTTGCTCATGTCGGGCTGATATTTCTTCTCTAGCTGCTGATATTATCTCTTGTTCTTTGGCTTTGTCTGTGGCAATTATTACTGTGGGTACTGGAGTTTTCTCTGGTTCTTTTCTTACCTGAATGTTTACAAACAAGGAATTTTAAATTATGTATTGTTCAAAATATAAGGAATGTGATTTTCTGTAAGTTTGGGAAAGAGAATACAAGCAAAATGGATGCAAAACATCAAAATCTGATTTTCAAAATCATCTAGCATGAAAGCTAACAACATAAACAGCGTTTCTATACATTTCGCATTAAAATAAAACACTGGAAAAATGTTTGCTTTGCTACTGAAAAGCAGTAATAATAAAAGAAATGGGGTCTGAGAAAAACTGTTCTGCATCATAATGAGTTTAGAAAAGTGAAGGATACTAAGACTACGCTTTAGGTAAATTTCATTTTGCCAGGAAGTTCTCATGAACATGTGATTTTCTGCTCAGGTGGATTTCGGTTTCTCAGTAATCTAAGTTACAGCTTCTTTCTTAGACATTCTAGTATATAGGTATTTAAATGTAACATTTATCTACAAAAGTTGGTCTTCCATTAAATCAAATTAATCTTACAAAACACATTCTAAAATAACCTGTATCCCAGTCACCTCCTGGTATTTTCAAAATAGATTTCAATGCAGAATGAGTTTTTCCCACTTGTTCTCACCCACAGTGCTTCCAACAAAGCAGGCTGCAAATAGCAAGCTTAGAAATAAAGTATTAAAAAAAAAAAAGAAGAAAAAGAAGAAAACTAAGAGATATTTCTTATGTCACTTCTAAAATGTAAACCAGCATGAAATAAGTAAACAATGGGGTTTTTCTAAGTTAAATTTTCAGAAGTTTAGATATCACATTCTTAACTGTGGAAATGAAATTTAAAAAAGAATGACATCACCAAGGAGGGGTAGGAGAATGATAGCAATGTAAACTGGAAGAGTGAACAGGGTATCAAATGAGAAGATAGTTTTTTTTCCAGATGTCGTTCATGTTCTTCATAGGTTGTCCATCATACGTTTGATTTTTTTAAAAAACAAGATAGGGTATGAAAATTACGGGTAACATCTGTATTCACCTTTTCACGAGAGATGTGCCTTTGTTCTTGTGAAGTAACAATTCCTTCTCTAGTTCTTGATATTACTGTTTGTTTTGTAGCTTTATCACTGGTAACTAGTACCGTTGCCTCCTTTCTCATCTGATTTTTATAGTAACAGACAAACAAAAGACCAAAGCCTTAAAATTCAGTTTAACAAAGAAATCATGAAAAGAGAAGAAGGGAAAATAAGAAAGGAACGCAAATCAAGGAAAAACACTCCAGAAGAGTTATTTTATCCCTAGTGGGGAAAGTATAAATGAGGTATTAGACGGAAAAGTTCATCAGTGTAAGAAAAATGTTAGAAAGTAACTGACACGGGAGAATTTAGGAACACTTTCATAGACAGCATTCTTAAACTTGGAAAAAGTTTAAGAATAATTAGTTCAATCCCACTATGAAGAGAAGTGATGGCGTAAGTAATCCACAAGCATTCCTTTAAAGGAAAGATGTTCTGTATGAGTTATGCATGCTTTTGTGGTGAACGGTTTGTTAATTCCTCACATTAAATCAAGCCTTGCTTGCATGTAGGATAAAGAGATAAAGGGGAAATTAAAGAATGTCTGTGCTCTACTTCTACCTGCTCCTGAACAGGCTGAACATGGACTGCAGTCATTGCTGTCCTTTTAGCAGCTTGCTCTACAACACTTGGAGCTGGTTCTCTCACCATGGCTTGATCCACAGCAGCAACAACCGTAGCAACAGCTGCTGTTTTTTCACTGTCCCTTCTCACCTACATTAGTCACATCAAAAAACATTTTTTCGTATTATGCATACACACAGAAGAAGCACAAAACAAGTACACAGACAGAATGTTGCAGTCCAGCATTTAAACATTTGCAGAAGAATTCTCTCAACTAAAGTTACACGCAAGTCTTTACAACATTTAGCTCATCTATTCAGCAGCAGTACATCCACAGACAGAGCAAAAACAGTATTCTTTCCAAAAATAGACTTTACCTCTTTAGCAGCAGCTGCAACCTCACCAGCAGCGGCACCACTAATAGTAACTTGTTCTTGCAGCCCGTATCTCCCTTCCCATCTTTCTTCAGTTGTTATTTCAGTAGCACTTGTGGATAATCTGGTTTCCTTCATCTGGGCTTCAGCGGTTGCAGAATATCCTTCCTGCCTCCAAGGAGGAAGGACTTCAGCCCCAGGTGTCACTACCTGTGCTTTACGGATTGGTGATGGAGATTTCACTGGTCGAATAGGAGAAGTAGAGATTCTTCCAGCAGGAGAAACAGACCTAATGAAAATATATAGAATTCATGTAGTGTCGTGACTATACTATAAAGAACATTGGCCTGAACTTGAATTCATTTCCCCCTTTGGAAGAACTACAAAGCCCTGAAGATACGTTTTAAAAGTCTTGTTAGGTGTTCTATTTGAAAGTTACAATTATCTACTTTAGTATATGCCTTAAATTTTTTTGTGTGTTTTGTTTGTTTTCATACTCATCTGTGTAACCTATAGCTCAGATTCCCAAATTGAAATAAAGGTAAATGTAAAAGTGCATTTCACACAAGTACATACATTTAAATACAAAAATATATAATTAGTCTCCAATTCCTCTGTCTTCATTCTCCTAATAATGATATAAAAGGCATTTTTCAATATACTTTCATAGGCTTTCTAACTTTTTTCTACTTTTGCAAGGAATTATGTTATGTTGCATTTCTCAGATAATGGTCACGAATACTGCACCATTGCAGCAATAGGTGGCAGCAGCATCACATTAACTTTAAGATTTATTTTTCTGACATAATGCAGTCCTAAAAATGGTTTGACTAGCACAGGAGAATGAGACTTCTAGTTCCATGTACACTCAAGATGGCACTACCGAGTCACTCTTTCACCTTGATATCGCTAATTACTACCAATTCATTTCTGTCTGCACTGTTAATTACCGTCAGTAGGCAAAACTCATCAGCACATCTAGTAATGGCAATTTAGTTGAGGCTTTGCAGAGCTTGAACACATTGCTTCCCTAATGCTTGTGCTTCAGAATGCTGGGACCACAGGACTTACAAAACTATTGCCTCTTTACCTGTCATGAAACTTTCAGGATCTTCCAGAACACAGGCCCTGCTCTTCAAATTACTCTCAAATTCCCTCTCAAAATCCTTTACATACGATTTGCAGTCATTACAAGCACATACATAGAACATGGGTGGTGACACACTGGTACAGGCAGGCCAGAGAAGTCATGGAAGAACCATTCCTGGAGGCGTTCAAGGCCAGGTTTGATGGGGACCTGGGCAGTCTGACTGGATGGTTAGCAATTCTGCCTGCAGCAGGGAATTTGAACTGGGTGAGCAGTAAGGTGGCTACCTAAGCCATTCTGTGATTCTATGACTAACCTGTGTTCACCATTTTCAAATAGTCTTCCATTCTGTTTACCACCCATCAAAGTCATTTTTCTTTTCTCTGTTTGTATGAAATAATCATAAAAGGGGAACTGCTCTGTTGTTTTTTTCTGTTTCATCATGCACTTGGAGCTTTGAGTGCTATTTCGATTGTATATAAAACAATCAAATGGGATTTATTGTGTAAAGGATTTTCTTCCATATGGGACAGAAAATTTACAGAAGAGAGTCACACACTTCTTTTTCAGCAGTGGCAAATATAATACATTACATTTCAGAATCAGAATAAATTCATGGTACCAAGTCAGTGCATTCTTTCATTTTATATTATGGCCTCATTCTGCAGTATTAAAGCTGTATATTGAAGTGATTAAAAGAGTGATATTGTTTGAAAGATGTTTACCTTACTGGTGAGGGTGTTGGTGCTCTGACATGTCTTACAGGTGATGGTGATTGTCTTACAGGTGATGGCGACTGCTGTCGTGCCATTTGAGCTTTTGCAGTAATTACTGGTGGAGTTGGTGATTTTGATGTAGGTCGAGGAGGCATTCGTGGAGGTGCTTTGTGTGGGAGCTGTTGGGCTGTTGCACCTTCTATGACCATTTCAACACTTGTAAGTGATCTGGCATCAAAGTGGGCTTCAATCTTCTGCAATGAAACCAAGAAAACAAATCTGAGATACTGTACACTTAATCATCCACACTGAAGTTTTATATTACTTGTTTTTGAAAAATATACCTTTTCAATTCTGGCTTGTCTTGTTTGTGAAATCTGAGCAGTCGAAACAATTGTTTTTGTCTTTTTAGCAGGAACGGCTTCTTCTTCACCTTTTGAAAGAGAAAATATAGTCAGGAGAATATGCTAATAAACATGCAGTTGCAGAAATAAATGAGTACTCAATCTATATACAAGTGTATATAAACAATAGAGAAAGAATGAAGCAGCAAATGATTTTCCTGCAACATCTGTACACAAATAATTATGAAAACAGTTGAAATAACGTTTACCTTTTCTGCATTACTATGTTATTAGAAGTGAATTAATAAATAAATATAAACACATTTATTTTTGATTGGAGAATCAAGTCCTCGATCCCCAATGACTAAACATACGATCTGGAAGTCTGACCGAGGTAAAACCCAGTAGAAACTTCTTTGGGTAGAATGATTTACTGCTACAACTCTCTGCTAAGCAGTCTTCATTTTTACCAAGCTAACTTACAAGACCATATACAGTTACATACAGTTACATAGTCCCATATACATATGTTATCAAAGTCAGCTTACAAATATAACCTTACAAAATACTGAACAAATTAAGAATAACAGAAACCATTCCACACTTGTTTCTGTCTACTGTATACTCAGTTTAAAAAAGACTCGTGGTGAATCATGGGTCTTTTTAAAATTTCAGACAAAACCTTTGGCAAATTCCACCGGAGAGAATGATTTTTCAGAGGAAGTTAATAAATACCACTAATATAACTATGATGTAGTTGTATAAATATTGTATCTTTACAACAGTGCATACTCTTATTTTCATGGCTTGTAAATCTAGCTCCATTACCTTGAATCAGCAGTTCAGCTGTTGAAGTAGCACGTCCCACGTTATTTGTGGCATTTACTGAATAAGTGCCGGAGTCTTCAGGATATGCTTCTGCAATTATTAGGCTGTAAAGGTCTCCTTCTTGTAAAATTTGAAAATCGGGGGAGCTTTGGATTTCTACTCCATCCCGATAAAACTTCACCACAGGTGTAGGGATTCCAGTCACTCTCACATCAAGTCGAACTTGACTTCCCTGCCTTGCAGTCATGCTCTGTAGTCGTTGTGAAAAGTTTGGCGGTGCAGTTCCAGCTGCAATTTTATTGAAGAGAAAAGTAGAAAAGTAATAAGAAGAATTGTTAAACAGAATTGTTAGGACTAGATATTTTCTCTAACACTAACTCTAAATGAGTTATTGAGCTAAACATCATTGAGTTTTCTTTTCTGCAGAACTCTATCCTTCTTTAATGATTGGTTTGACTGTAGCCAGTGTGACAGATCAGACGAGTAGCAGTATGTACAGAGATAGGCCAGAAATTTGTAACTGTGAATAAAAGTTTATGAAATGAAGATTATATGTTAAAGCATGAAGGATGTTACTAGTAATTATTTGTGAATATAAACCAGCCTAAACTTCATCATATATGAGAATATTCACTATTAATATTCATTTCTTTGTTAATCACGTACTCTAAATTTAAACCTTTTCAACACCTGTGACACTTCTGCTATTGCTCTTTTCTCACATTATTACTAGAGAGAAACACTTTTATTGAGTTACCAGGTACCTGTAACAAGTAGCTCAGCAGTACTAGTTGCTTGCCCAGATCCATTGGTGGCTTGTATGGTATATCTTCCACTGTTTGCTTCTGTCACGGAGGGGATCACTAGTTTAGCGCGGCCATCACTAAACGAGATCTGCACTCCGGGCAGAGTTGCAGCAGAGAGAACCTGGCCATCCCGATACCAGCTCACCTCAGGAACTGGGAAACCTAGAGAAAGCAAACAGAAGACAAAATGATTTTTGCTTGATACGCACTTCCAGTCAGATGCCATTTTCTCAGTCTGTCCCTCTGCTGCCATCAAATGGCAACAAAATGTAACAGAACTGTGATGAAAAGGTTCAACGTCTACTGCCGTACCACCACAATCTGCCTCTGACATCTATAGACAACAGAATAAAATAGGAAGCTGTACTTTCGGAGAAGCCCTTGAACTTCATTGTGTATACATGGCTAAAGTGGAGAATATTGTCACGGGCCCAGATTTATGATTATATTTCCAGTAACAGAGTGATAAAAGAACTCCTTGTTAGAAGTGAGTTTAAAACATGGTAGTTTAAAGAACAATAGTATAAGCACAGTAGCAACTGCACTTAGGAAATTGCTTGAATAAAGAATGGACTGTACTGTTTGGCAGCATATATGAAAATTATGAGGATGAACTGATGCAAGATGATTGTTGCAACTGATGCAAGATGATTATTTGCTAGTGTCTAAGTAGTAATGTTTATTGCTAGCAAAATTATCCAATTTAATAAGAGACAAAATAAATTAGATTCTCCAGTCAGCTATTACAATCAGCTGATCTATTGTAGTTCAAATATAACTGTATTTTGTTGTCAAGCTCAAAAACATGATTCTTTTGGTCAGAAGAGCTCCACCTATGTCTGCATTTGGTTCTTCTCAGCTTGAAGTGGTGATCTTATGTTCCTGATGGAAACTCTCTTCCCAGTATTCAACATAGTAACTTTATTGAGAAACCAAAACACTTTTGATAAACTAGCAATTTTATTTATTTTTAATGAGCTTCTCAAGGGGAGCAGCTACTTTAAACAGACAGTTCCAGAGCAAAATCTTTTCTTGATCTGGAACATCAGTTCTGCAAAATTAAAATCTGGCCATATTTACTTCATAGACTTCCTTGCTTAAGTGAAAACACTACAAATTGACTCAGGAATGAAAGACTGCAATTATTACTGCTGCTCTAATTTTCCCATTTCCACTCTCCGTTGTTTGGAAATTTCTAGGACCACAGAACTTAGATTCCTTTATGGATAAATCCTCTTATAAATGTATTATGTTGGGTTTTAATGTGTCAGGATAATGACTGCTTGAGAATAAAATGAAAGAGAAGCTGAGATATGTATTTGGAAGCTTTTACTCAATGTTTGCAGTCACACCAGATGGTTAGAAAAGTTTCAGGTTTTACTCACAGCTGAAAAACTAAGTACATATGTAGAATACAAACACTGAGAGAATTAGGTTAGTATTAAAAGAGTTTAGAAGTCTAAAATGGAAAAGTAGACTTAAGCATTGCTAATTTCACCAATGGAAGTTATTAAATAGCTGTGATAGGGATAGTATAATGCAATTTTGAACTACAAGTACAGGACAATTTGGGCATTATCACTGTAAACATAGCCTCTCCAGCAGATCTCCCTGATTTGATCCTAGCTATGCGTTCTAAATTTCTGCATATCACTTTCAACACATCCTAAGCTAAGCAACTGAGAATTACATAGCCGATAGTGAATTGCTTGAAATGTTGCCAGCATCATTTATTTTCTTTGTCCAGTGTCATATGATGATTACTGAACACAGATTGGTGCACTAGGTTGAACAGGGCATACATTAAAAAAGAAAAAAGAGGCTATTTTGACATCTCAAACTGTTATGTTCAAGAGATTTAAAGTTAGAAGTCATTTGAATAATCTGAACACAAGTACCGTCCCATAAAGCTAGGGACCAAATTACACAGTCTTCAGATTATCACTATTAAAGAGAGATTTACTTTTATACTTGACTTAAATTCTAACTACTGAAAAATTATTTTTCATTTGAAAATTACTCAAATTTTTTAGTTAATTGCCAAAAAGAAGAACATGAATCTGAAGTTTCCGCAAGTTAGTGTTTAAGAAATTGAATTCTACTAAATTGTCCTGGCAATGATGTAAATGTTGGGACCTGCCAATCTATGCAAAATCTATGATTCTTTCAACAATATGTAGAGTGTAAACTCTGCCTTGCATCAGGTAATACATCAAAAATTCACTTATGCGGAAACATAAAGATGGGCACAGTTCTAACACCAGCAGCACTGCAAACCTTATAGACAGTGATGTGCTATCTCATGTCCTCTCAGTCATTGCTCACCCACTACGGCTACCACTTGATTATTTACCACCTGCTCTAGAATTTACTGCTTTTGAATCATGGTTATTAAATGATCTGAGTTTTCTGAGTGTACAGGGAGACAATGGGTATTTTTATCAACTATCAGAGCTTCACATCATGTCACTTGATACACAATCTGACACAATATAGTTCATTTTTTTCCAGTTACAGACTGCAAAATTGCATCACAAATGGTTGCTGAGATCATGTCGGTACCCCTACATAAAGTAAGCTTTTCACGTTCAAATGGCAGCTCTGTATTAATACTTGTATATAAAGGGCAATGTTATCAGAGATAAACAGAAAGCTTGAGTTTCAATTTCAAAACCATTAATGAGTTATGGAAAAAAACAAACTATATAGCAGAAATAAAGCTTTGTAGTCCATTATTTATGCAGTTAGATCAAGAAATAAATCTTTCACTTTTTTATCTATTGGAAAAACTAAAACACTGTCATATCTGTCAGTCTTGGTGGATTTCTGTGGTGTAGGAAAGATAAAGAGTCTTACAATATGAGGTGAATAAAAGCTGACAGGAAATATTCTCACATAAGACTTGGTACTGAACTATACCATATTTACCATAATTTTAAACAGGTAAAAAAACCTTAAAGTAGGAAATCAAGTTCCCTTCCTAAGAACTTACTAGTATTTACATAAATGAAATGAGTTGAAATCACACGTTGAGAAGTAGCACTAGCAATCTTATTAAGTCTGATTGCAAATATCTCTCTGTAAGGGTCAGTGAATTTGTTTGAAATTAAATTTTCAACTGAAAATTGAAATGCATAGACAACAAGGCAGTTAACTGAAGAACAGAGAACCAAATAGAAGAATATGGTAAGAAAAATTATTATGGATGTAATCTACAGTAATAGAGGTGTTCAAATGTCTTCTGTGAACTAGAGCTCACCAAAATGTCCAAGTGATGAGCCCCAGTGGACCGCAGATGTCAGCGCTTTATAGATGGACAGATCATGTGTTCGCACCTGTCACAGAGCATCTGGGTAGTTCTAGACTCAGAAGAATTTTTTATGGTATGTGGCTTATCATATTGTTAATGCCTCTAAGACGGTATAATTCCCTCAGCAAGAACATGTGCCATTTCTCCTTAGTCACTGCTGAGGTCAGAGACACGCTTAGAACAGGGTGTTGGTTCTATGAAACCTGGTCTCAGGGTTTACATGCTGAGGGTCTTGGGTTTTTTTCTACATTTTAGGGTAGAATGGCAAAATGAAATATCCTTTAAAATGTGACATCTTTAAATTTCAGCAACAACTGTGAAGTTCTATTCATCCAGCCTTGTATTACAATCATGATAACCATATGCTTCTACTATCTGGCTAACCAGATGGACAACATACACCTAGATGTCATGATTTTAATTTTGGAGTTCTGGCAGAGATTAAGTAAACTCAAGGACACACAGAGAGAAATGCAGCTTAGCCAGAAAAATAAAAGGGTTAGCATCACATCAATGAAAAGCTGGCTTCGGTTTTGTGCCTAGGTTCCTCATTCCATCTCGTTATCATCCAAACAAGATTACCCTTTCTGCATTGATATGAGGGTCTCTAATTAGCACAGTATGCATTTTTATCTACATACCATTCTTTATGCTGTTTTCCCTATTTTTGATGATTGTAACATACATGAGAACTTAACACAAATCTCACTGGCAGGATGATTGGCTATTTCCTCGGAGCCATCTTAACTTTATGCAGAATGTTTGTGAAAACCTGACAGCACCTCACAGCGTTGACCACCACTGCTTGAATTCTGGTCATTCTGCACATTCAGCTCTCAACATTATCCATTCAGATTATGAGCTATGCAAAGTGTTTTCATTTGTTTTCCACAGCATGAATGTTACCAATAACAACAAAAATTAATCTTGCAAGAATAAATCAAAACCTTACCACTAATATGAGCCTCAAAGGTTGCGGCACTACCCTCCAGTGCCACAACACTTTGTAACGGCTGCGTAAATGTTGGTGCTTTCGTTGTCATCTTTACAGGCACTCTGAAAACAACAAGAACATGATTAGAAATCACTGGTCATTTTGTTACTATACACACATCCTTCTTGTTGGTTTTTAGGAATATCTGTAATTAATTGTAATTATTCATTCCTAGTTTTAAATCACATTGACTCAGTGAAATGAGAAGAATGTAGATTTTTACAAGGTTGTGTAGCGAGTTAATCTTAGGGCACACTTAACTGAGTTGGATGTGAAACATATTTAGTACAGCTATGAATTGGCATTACAAATATGCAGCAGGAGAAAAAGTTCCACTTGACTCACTGCATGACCTTGAACAGGACATCTACCCTCTATTTTTCCATTAATCTCCTTTACCTAAAGAGAAAACAATCTCTGTGTAAAAGTTCTTTGGAAGGATCTGAAAATATTTTGGTATTGCGAATTATTTGCATCCTCCATTGGGAAGATAACTAGGCCAGTAAGCAGCAATTTAAAATGTGAAGGTCTACTATCTATTTTAATAATCAAAAGTTGCCAGGAGGCTCTCTTTTAAAGGCAATCTGCAAATAAGGAATAATTTCATTTTACACAGAATCATACTGGCATTATATAGATGCAGATAAAATTCTATTCTTTCTTAGAGAGTATCTCAGTGGAATTTTGAATATGGGGAGACAACCACCTTCGAAATGTGAGCTAGGGTATAAGGTAGCCGCTGACACTGATGGTTTGAACAACTGCAGACCCGTGTGAAATCACAAAGAAAAATGGTTTGTCTTCTCTTATGAGACGAGATCCTACTTTGAAATTGAACACTGTCACTAAAAAGGCTTCTGCATTAGAAGTATTTTATGTTTGCTTGAAACTATTTAGGTAGTGATGTTGAATTTAAACTCAAGGCTTTAAATATGCAGCTTTTAAAAACTTAGCTAGTATCTTCTTAATAGTGTCATTCATATAGTAAATTAAAGTTACATTTTTTTCTCATAAAAAAAAAAAAAAACTTCCCATGAATGTATCACGGTCTACTAACAAAAAGTTAATTTCATAACCCTTTCAAACTCATTTCTCTTGAACAAATTTCTGGTGCTCACTTTGGCTTTTGAACTTGATTATACGTCAGTTCCAGGCTTAAAAACTAATGAGAAGGTGAAGCGCCTTTCAAAATTATTTTACTCCACCTTTACTCCACAAAATTGACTCCACCTTTCAAAGGTGTGGAAATTCTTCAGAAGAACTTCTCTCATTGAAATTCATGTCTGATCTGATCATAAAAAAAGTGGAGGGACAGAATGAGATATTCTGCAGGAATTCTGAGCTGTTTTTTATTGCCTTTATCTGGATACTTGTTCAAACTTGGAAGAGGAACAGCCTTTTAACATAGTTTACAGTTTCATGGGGGAAAATATGACCAAATTTCATCCTAAAACAACATCAGTTCTCTGAATGGCATTTGATGAAAAATTCCTCTCATGTGTAATTCACTGAGATCTACTTCAGCTGTAAGTTTTAATGCTCAGATAATATACATGAAAATAATCTTTTAAGTATTTAAACATTGTGAAATATTATAATTTTCAGACATCAGAATAGATTATTAATCATTCAATTAAGTACACATAAAATTCACATATTTGATTTGTCAAGGCAAATTTTGATGTTGAAGATCTGATCTTATAAGGCTTTTTTGTATAATTAGGATTGAAAGTATGCATCTGAAATGTCATGTTCCAGAAATAACCTTCCTGGCTATGAATGACAACAGACAAGTGTTCCAGAGCTGCCATGTAATTGATACCTTAGCAGTTGATTCCCTTAAAAAGTCATCAGTGCTTAGCTGATACCACATGCATTTTATCAGAGCTATTCTTGGAGCTTCTCGGTTTATCTCTTGGTACCATAACCTTGAACACTCCCCAGCAGAAAGGAGTTTTTAAGTTAAGCAGATGTTTCCATGCCCTCTTCAAATCTTCACTTACATCAACTTTAATAACAATTATACTGCAACAACTCTTTACTGAATGTTATCATAACTTACCCCATGAAATTTAAGACAATCCCGAAAGAGTTTATGTGCTTCATGCTCATACTCTGAAATATATACCTCACCCGAGTAAACATATATAATAGAGAGCAGATCGAGCTTATTGACTACTAGAACACCAGTTACACTAGGAGAAACACATTACTAACCTGAGATCTCAAAGTGCCTGTAGGAGTGGGCTAAGCCCAACGAAATCTTCTTGAACGACGTCCTTATCCAGAGTAAGATTTTTTTAGACAATCCCAGCATGAGAATTGATGAGCCTCTAACCATAAAAACAAAACTACACAGTCTTGACAGTGTAGTTTTGTTTTTTGCAATCCCTACACCCGAGGCGAGGCGGGGAATGCACGACTGCTCAGAAGTGCTAACATAGTTGTTTTACTTTATATACCCCAGCTCTGCTGACAAGGTCTACATCATCACGCCAGTTCTGATTGGTTTCCTGAAAGAAAGTATCTTGTGAGAGGGGATCCACTGTGTAACCATACACCACCTGTTGGTTTGATTGGCAATGCTAATTTTGGAAGCACAAAAGGGATTCACTGAGGAAACAGCATCTGTTCCAAAGATTTGGGTCTATAATTCAGTTTGGTTTGCAGTGCACAGTTTAAAAGCCACAGCAGATTTCTGAAGTCATAAGCACAAGAGGAAATAAGCAATAAGTAAGAATTTTGGCAGAGGACACAGACGAGTCAGTAGTAGTCATATTGTTAAGATTTAACCTTATTTTCTTTCCCTATAAAATATCTAAGAAGATACCAAATGCATCTGTCAATCACCAGACTAAATAAGTAAGCTGATCTCAGACATGTGGCCACATGCTATTAGAATACACTGTTTGAATTATATCTTTTTTTCCCATGAGTTGCAAAATTGTATTTGATGATATGTGGATTTGACTCTGATTTTTAAAATTTCATTTATGATTCTTCAGTTGGATGTGCCAAACATTCAAGCTTAAACAATAGTAGGCAGAGTGCAGAAATACAAGATTTGTGAACATAAATGAACAAAACCTAACTGACTACAATTGCTTCATAAGTAAATTTTAAGTCTAACAGCTTTTCTGTGCAGAGACGGTTTTGGGCAGAGTGCAGATTTAATCATCCATGGCATATTAGTTAGCAAGCTTCCACTGCCCATACTTCTCAGTCCAAGCAGCTAATTGCACTATTAATTGCTTCGGAGACAGCAGTCAGTTAGAAAGCTGCTGTTGCCTATAGATGGAATGGGAGCTGTATCACCACAGCCTTACATTTGCTTCTCTATGAAAACGAAATGCATCTAACTCACATTAAGGAAACTCTTTAAGAACAGAACTGGCTCATAAGACTATTTATGTGCTTAAACCAAGCTTTTGCTATATTCATAAGCAGAGCACTTCAATGTGCTGTCACCAAGATCTGCATTGAAGAAAATCCCTCCAACACATAGGAAAGCCATTTTTGTCACAGGTTTGGTGCTGCTAAGGGAGGGAGGAGCCCAGCAGCTTCATAGCACCCATCTCCTTCCTCAGCCAAAAGGCTTCAGGAGTGCAAAACACCACACGCAAATGAAAGATCAACTCAGGAACGCAATATAAGAAGGATGTCTAGAAAAATAAACAGACTAGAGTTTTGTAATATCATCTGCACTAAGGCTTGAAAACAGCCTGAAGAAAACTTTCAGCCTGATCTCCAGAAATTGCTAAGAGGAGATAACACTGCAGTTCCTGCAAGGGGTATTATACAACAGTTCATAGAACTGAAAGAAACCAGAAAGGACATGCTGCTGTGGCCTCTCTGCCCTTTAGTTTATCCATCTCATAAAGTCAACTTTACAGCTAATTCTTGGCATGCAGCAGCAGCGGCAACTGCAACAGAAACTGAAACCTCCTTCTACATCGGTACCATCTAAACCCCCCACAGAGTTTGAAAGTCAGAGCACTATGCCTTATATTTGACTTGTTGGTGCAAACAGATGTCAGATAACCTAATCTCTCTGTGTAAGACTTAGTATGATAACGAGCGCATTCATTAGCAAGGAAGACAAGTTGGCTACAAGACGTCTGAAGAAATCTGTGTAAAGGGTATCTCACTTCTGATTCTAAACAGAGACTTGCTAAAATAGCAGACGGTAATTTTATCCTGTATTTGAACACTCAAATGTTCAGTGAAAAATCAGCTCAAAGAAGAAACTGGCAGTTATCAGCCAGTATTCAATAACAGAAAGCAGCCAGCTTTTTGAAGATAAACAGTGAGAATGTTTAGGAAATTGTGATAATTTTTAAGTGAAAGAGATATGAAAATTGCCAGTTTTGAAGATGAGAAGGCAAGAAGTTCAATTTTTGCAATTTCAATCAAATCAATAATTGTTAATAGATATTAAAAAACATTGCAATGCATTCAAATATGTGAACCATGTATTTTGTATTTTTAAAACAAGCTCCTTCCCATTTTTCTCAGTGAAATTTTATACTCGTTTTACTAAATGTTAGGACTTTTTTTGGGATTAGGATTTGCATCCTAATAAATGTTTGTACTTTTGTAACATATTTTTGTATCACTAGTAGATCCAGAAATGAAGAAAACAGTAAAATATTTCTTTATGCTCTTAAGAAAATATGAATGATTTATAATTACATTACTTTAAAAAAAACAACTTGGCTCAGACAAGTGTGATTTCTGCATGTTTAGTGTCATATCAACAACATATGTGCAAATGGAAAGATGAAATCAGTCTTAATGTTGCATAGCAAAGACATTGATGGTAAGAACATGGCAATATTTCTTTACTCACAGTTGAGGCAAAAGCCAGGTAGAGACTTTTTTCTGGTATACATAGAAATGAGGATTATTAATAAATTTCAGCATTAGCTTAAGTTGGCTATAACTTGAAGTATAAACTATAGTGCCAATGCTACTGCAGAATATGCATCACACTATAGGCCAAAAATACATTTGAGGAGTAGTAAATAATCTTCAACATAATTGAAGATTATTGTTCTAAATAGAAATCAATAATGCTATTGACTTGATGAATGGAATAATTATGTGAGTAGGCCTGCAGGAAGATACCTTGAAAATCACGACTTTAACTGTCAGAGCTAAGAAACAATATCATTCTTTCCAGAATATTGAAAGCTTCCAACTGCTGCTCAGGCAAGTTTTCACTGTACGTTTTTTTTTGAAGTGGAAATTTGTGATTTTTTTTGTTTTGTTTTGTTTTGTTTTTAACCACATAAATTGCATGTTTTTGTTTTTGTTTTTTTTTAATTATTATTTCTTAAATAGAAATTTCAGTGGCTGTTATTACCGTTGCATTCTTGGAATTATCTAAGAAGAAGACATATAGATGTTGCTTTAGATTTAGTTTTTCCCAAGTTTTCCTTCCATAGTATTATATATATATATATTTACATATGCAGAACAAGGAAGGAATATTAAAAAAAAAATACTTAATATCTCACCTTAGTATACAGGGTCTTCTCAACAAGACCTATGAGGTTGAGTAAAAAATATATAATCTAATGGCTCCATTTCTTTTCACAAAATATTAACTAAAACTATAATACTGGGGAAAATAACAAGTAGCATAAGATGGTTCTTAGAATTTGATAGATACATGCTTTGTGAAAACTCTTGCAACTTTTAGCAAGTTCCTGGGCATCAAGGATTTATAAAAAGAAAGGGAAAAAGCTTATCAAACTTACCATGCTTCATAACTGATACATTCTTGAAAACCATTTCAGTGATTAACTGTGCTTCTCACTGCCAAAATAAGGTTGCCAGGCGTTTTATTTGTTTGGAATCAAAACTTTTAACATGTATTCTAAGGTGATTTCTTTCTTTTTTTCAAAGGATCTGATATGTACTCAGTCACTCCTCTGACTACAGTAACAATATTTTCTGTGAAACACCTGAAAAAGAATACGTATACTGGTGAAATGCCATAAAAATGTAATTGTACAAAATTCACTTCATGTTTGATATTTGTCTGTTTCATTAAAAAAAAAAAAAATTGAGAGACACTATGTAAAGGAAAAGAGTGCAAACCTCTGTCTTCAGGTCTATATTTATGCGCACATGTACATGGTCTTATGACTCTTTTATGGGCAGGATGCCACTGACTTTTCTGTAAAGTCACACAAGTGATTTATGTGATCAGGCGATGACACATATGTGATGCATTTTTTTCTTCTTGCTTTGTCTTTAGGCTTGTGCTTTAACTTGGAGAGAAATCTAAGTTACTATCAGCCAAATTGCACCTTGTTGGAAACTTGTGTAATGCTTTGGTGTTAGGCCTGGAAGGAAATCTGTAGAGACTTCCTTCCCTGTTTTGCACAAATGACATCTACTTGGATGAAGCACAAAGATGCTGTGCTACTTAAACCTGGTATGCTTCCTTTCTTAAGTGCATTGCTGTGGTATACAAATCCAGCATAGGACTGATAAATGTTTATAGAAAGAATGACAAACTGTTTTATAACTGGCAGTTGAAGAAAACATACACTAACTTGTATTGTACGAGCCAGAAGTCTGAGTAGCATAAATCATTTGCAAGCTAGGACTTAGAAAACTTGAGTCAGAAGCTGAATAGCAGATAGTCCCAAATCAAACTAGTTATTGTTAGTTATGATGCCAAATAACCAGATGAAATAGGTGTTTTTCCCAACCAGTTTTTCCAATTCTGCAAGTGGATGGCACTTCGGATGTCCTCATTTTTTGTAAGGAGCTTTGCAATGAGCTGAAAAGACACCTTGAAGCAAAACTTTCACCTTGCTAATGGTTGCCCTACAATCCAAAAGGCTCATTTTCTTTTCAGGTTTTCTCTATACTATGAAAAGATGCTGCAGGTCATGAGTAATTTTACAGCTGTGAAATCTCTGGTTAAAGCAAGTTTGAAACTAGTTCCACTCTTCTAGACTACAGTGGCACACACCAGCTTGAAATGGACTGCTTTATCACAGTAATACAATCATGAAGACAGAAGCCATTTAGCTAAAGACTTCTCCATTATACTGCTTTAAAGAGAATGCCTGGTCCCTGAAAACATCCGTGGTACAAAGCAAGCATTACACAAAACTGCAACACTTATTTACCATTTCTTTTGATGCACAGTCCCTCTGGGAAATGCCAAAGCATTTTCTTAGGAATAAGGCAACGAACACAATATTTAATTTGCAGGAATATTTATAAGCAATATATGAAAGCCATATTTGTGTCTGAATTTTCCACGCAAGCTAGAGGGAAGAGCTGATGCCACTGATTGTAACAGTACAAAATGGTTGGTGCTGATGAGCCTGCAATTTATAAGGGCTCAATTCTCTCTTTTCCCATTGTTTTATTCTGATCGATTTGTCCAACACACCAGAAAAAAACCCA